CAAAAAAAAAAAAAAAAAAAAAAATTATTAAAAGTATTCCATGCAATACAAAATGTGTTTCACTGTCTAATCACACTTGATTCGTCTCACTTTGTTTCATAAAGTCTTTTATTAACAGTACTTTACTTTAACCTGCTAACCAGATTTTCAACATATGTATACGTTGTCTTCAATACTTAAATATGAAATTTCAAAAACAAACAAACCAAAAAAAAAAAAAAAAACCATATCATACCTAGACCAATTAAAATTTTGGTTTTATTTAAAAATCAAGATGATATATTGAAATAAAATTAACTCCAAACAGATGTTTCTGAATGCATGCATGTATTTGTTTTATCACCAGTTCCAGGACAATTCCATTAGAATAACAATATTTTATTGGTCTAAACGGATTAAGTAATTAAATCTGCGTGGCCTCACATGGCGTGTTTCTTACCGTAGAGGACAGTGAATGTCGGTACTTACATCACAGGGCCATCATGGTCGTGTAATATGCAGGACCAGGACTGTAAAATGGTCAAGTATTGATTAGATGTTTACTGGACAGGTCGGAGTTAGGCCTCACGGCAACAGTATGATTCAGTAACTGTAAGTCTTATACACAGTACATAGATACATTGTAAAGGATTTCCAAATTTCAAATTACGGGCGAAGCCATTAAGTTTACATTGTACTCACTAATGGTTAAATGTACATGATTAAAATTTTCGAATAATTTATGGTTTCTGAAGTACATAAAAATCCTTACAAAGATACATAGCGGGTCCCTGTGAATGATCTACCAAGACTTTTTCTTTACCAATCACTCAACCGGTGAAGGAGAAAATTTAGGAATACAGTACAACAATAATATAATTGATAAGTGGTTCAAATCAAATGTGGGAACTTAAAAGCTCCATTTTAAGTAATTTTTAGAAAACTAAATAGCAGAAATAAAAATAAAAGGCCTACTTTTTTTTCAACACTTGATACAGCCAATCCTGCACGATAAATCATGGAACAGACTTAGACTTAATTAAATTAAAATTTCAAAAAATTGTATTATGTTTGTAACTTTGGCACTGAAACTAGCTCTCCACCTGCAGATTACAGTACTTTGATAATGCAGTTGTTGAGTATAGCAATTTTATTTTTGATTTTTTTTGTTCTATTCAGTTTATTGCCAAAAAAGATTTCAGTTTTAAAAGCAGTTTCATTATCCTGGATCCGGGTTTTCGACGTCCTAGACAGCTGGATTTTAATGATTAAAAAAATTAATAAATAATGGAATTTTTAAATTTAACGTCATTGGTCATTTGAAAAAAATATTTTTGTTTTAAACATTCTGATTGTACACACGAGTACTCCAAAGCTGATATTAAAATTAAGAAACTAGAGTTTCTAATTGACAATATCTATATGTGGTTTCTCCAACAATCTGTCAGATTTCCGATGTGTAAATAACTACACGAATTACAAATTGTTATAAGCAGACCTATTTTTTTGTTTTCTTATGGAGTAGAATTCATTCAGAAACTTCTGCATGTAAACAAGGTCTGCTGGTATATAATCATTTTTCCCCTTTCTACTTTGATTCGATATATCCTTCTAATATCAGTTGAAAGCTAACACAGAATCAGGCATATCTGTTTCATTTTTTTGATTTTTCACTAGAAAAAGAGGCGAATGGAAACTTAACAAGTAAATTTAATGATAAATGTCGTGAATTCAACTTTTATATCATCAACTCTCCTAATTTATATCAAAATACCCTTAAAATTCATATGAAGTCTCCCAGCTGATTCGTTATGCATGAGCTAGCGTGCTCTACATACAAATAATTTCTAAAAGGATTCAAGCTATTAAAAAAATAAGATAAGATGAGCTTTTAAAAAATAAGTTGATAAAGCAAGGATTTCAATAATCATATTTAAAGTCAACGTTTTGCAAATTCCATATATCGAAACAATAATTTTAACCTTGTCAGCAAACATGATTTATGAATGTTGACTAATGTTTTTCAAAAAAAATATTATTTTCACACTGAAGTACGAGGGTTGATCCAAAAGTAATGTCACAACTTTGATAAAATTGCTATAAATCGACGTAAAGCAACAAAATTTCACATGATGGAAGCTTTATTTATTTCAAATCAGACCTGAAAAATTCAAAGGAATATGATATATACTTATCAAAATATCGGATTTTAAACAATGCCCGCATCTAATTATAACGTCGTATGACGGATACACACCGTCATACTTTTAAGCGTTTCCCCTTCTTATATTAAAAAAATATTTGTGATTCGCAAAAACTTTCACCAATTCAACTTTCTTATTTTTGGTACCATTATACACTCACTCTTTACATAATTAAGCCCACTGTCAAAATTTTTTGAACAGTAGCTTAAGACAAACTTAAAAATTCACATGTCACTCTAGGCCTATACGTCTGTCTTTTTTGACAACGTCAGACACCATTGAACGTTTCCGTCCGATCTCGTATCTTTCGGTCTTCTTGTCCTCTGCTAATCATTCAGTGACCAATCACCCGCCCAAAATTGCTGAAACCATCTATTAAGATGTCTCTTATTTACATTCTTTATTCTGTAAGTCTGATTGATTAACGAAAATGTCGCTATATAGTGATGATTCCAATATTTTGAAGCAAAAATGCATTACAACTCGTCGAGCCTTTTTCCCCCATTTCGACAATCCCTTAATTTGTTCAATTCAACAGAGTAAAACAACAATGTTTATGATCACAAATACCAATCCCATTTAATTTTTTGTTCAATTTTTCAAATGAATTGGGAGATTAGGTGCTTTTTTAGAATCTTTTTAATGTGTTTGTCTTTTTCATTCTAAAAAAAGACACTTTAAAAGGTGACGTTTTTTTGTGACGCGGCGACACCCCCTATGCTCTATGTTTTAAACATCTATGAAATAAATTCAAATAAACATTATTAAATTGAAATTTCAATGTTAAGTAGATTTATATCTGTGCATCTTTTGGTATATTGTATTTTATAATATGACGCCAAACATAAAAGATATGGACACTGTGACATTACTTTTGGATCAACCCTCGTATGTACGATTTTTTTGTTTGACAAGGAGTAAATGGTGGGAGACTAGTTGACAGGGGATGCTTACTCCTCCATGTCACCTGAACCCACTTCTAATGTTTATTGAGCTCTTTGCTTTGTTCCTAAGTATAGTTTTAAAGGATTGCTTTTCGTTATCTCCATCTTTCATACAAGCATTATCATTTGATAATGCTTAATCAAACTTTTCAAATTTAACAAACTGGTTTTTGACCCCATCAACACAATCGAGAAATATAAAAAAAATCTCCACGAAATTTAAGGTAGGATTCTTCTCTGGTTTCCGACAAGATGAAATATTCAAAGTACGTTTGCTTATACGTCTGATATATTTAGTTGTAAGCGATTTAAAAGACCGTATTTTTCTTTCCTCATCACAGTTGTACAAATGGTAAACCGCGTTTGAAAACTAGCAGGGTCTATATTTTTGGCGGAATGGTGGCGCATGAAAATATCTTCTTTTCTGCCTCTCAAAATTATTATAGAACAATGAATTTAGTAATTTAATTCTTACACAACCAAAGACTTCAAGAACTTTTCAAATGTAAGTCTAATTAATAATAAGGGACTAAAATTCCTAAATATATCAAATATGTTTTTTCAAACAAACTAGTACAAGGTTATATAGCTTTTATAAACTTCCAATCTGAATACAGATTTGAGCCAAATATCCGTAAAAAAAATTTTTTTTCTCTCTCTCTCTCTTAAGTAAACGATCGAAATTTTTTTGTTTTTGTGTCATTTTGTAACTTTACCATATGTGAAAATGAGAAAAATTTAAATATAGGAAGCATATAAACTTAATAAATTAATATATCCTAAAAAATTAAGAAAGGTAGAGAAAATTCGGATTAGTCAATATCTATTTTAGTCAAATTATTTATGTCAATTTGGTAATATCATCTTATAGACCCTTTATGGTAGTATCATTTTATAAATGCAAAAAGAAAAACATTCAATCTTTTGAAATAAAAACTAGAGGTACTGTGAGCGATGAGCTCACTAAATGATACCCCCCGCCTCCCATATAGTTATAACTGGTGAAAAAGTCCATGTTTTCCTGTGGCCGGGAAACCCAAAATATGTGTCGGATCAAAAAGTAAAATAGGAGGTGCACAATGGCAATATGTAATAAAGATTCTGTGAAAGTGGCATCAAATTTCATTCAGTAATATGAGAGGAGTTGTAGATAAGAGATGGGTACCCCGAAGCGTAACAGACGGACGGACAGACGTACAGACGGACGGAATTAACGATTACTATATACCCTCCCGCTTTTCAAGCGGGGGGGGGGGGGGGGGTATAATAAGGATCGCATAATTGGCAACAGTAATGTTTTATTATTTATGTCCAGGAAAATGATAATGACCTTGACCTGACCTTGTCTCTAATATTAAACGGTCAAATTTAATTTCAATCAATGATACCATCACTCAGTGATAAATTAATGTCTTAATTCTTGATTCTGCGAAAATTTCATTAATTTTTAAAAATACAACAAATATGAGAAGAATCCTACCTAAATTTGTTTTATTAAAAAAAGCACATAAAACATATTACTATAACACCACCCTTCATTAGGGAAAAAACATAATTATATATATATATATCTATAAATCAAAATTATTGTTAAAATGTTCTGGATCCGCCACCGATGTATGAAGAACTTGAAAAAATGGCATAGCCTAAAATGTGGACATTCCTAAATTTTCCTATTAATTCCGCTTTCATATTTCATTCCCTTCGTATCACTTTTTTTCATTTTCATCTCAGAAAGAGGTGTAGTAATGAGACCTAGACTTTTCATTCCACGAATATGTATAACAATGTCAATGCTTATATTTTTAAAATTGACACGTACTTTTAATTTAGAGGGTGCCATCCATCAAACATGACGCATAACAATGAATGCGCGCGCAAACATACCTGTTATTTTCCCGACAAAGATGGATCTTCAACAAAAAGGGGGACAAGGATAGAAAAACTTTCAATATAAGGCGTGCAAATAGAATGTTATTGCAATTGCTGGAAAGAATAATTTTCTGAAGAAGGTTTGTATCAAGATTTGCCTAACCGGTTGACAGTTATTTAATTGTCTCTCAAACACGTATACTATGAAATGTTGTGACCCCCACTGTTTGGTATAATCCTGAGTGATTCGCAATGGAACACTCCAAATGTTGGTAGGTTCCATTTGTGGACTAAATCATTCTATTCGTGGCTAAGTTTGGTGCGAGGGGGTGTCCGAATATCACGTAAAGCAGGGCATGTGTTTAGGAATTGTCAAACAAATCGAAAACCGCTGTAACATAGTCCTGAGGTTATTAGTACCGTCTGGGACGTGTACTAACCTTGTTGTCTAGTTTTTAGAACCCATCAGGTCCCATTTAGACTAGAGCCCATTTTTCAGTCTATCCCATTGTCTAGTGTCCAAGCTGTATCTGTATTCATACGTTGTTAGAATCCTTATAAGTTTTTTTCCCCTATATATTCTTTAATACTTTTTACATGGAAACATTCTTACAAACAAGGAAATGTATACTGAGTCATCTTCAGAATGGCAGAAGCTCCTGTTAACCTTTTTACTAGCTTTAGTTAGGTGTGTATATACTATAGCCTATTTCACTGCACGAGGGGAAAATGATTCAATCTACTAAACCAGTTTTGGTACAGCACATGCCCTCAAAACGTAGTACTCTATCAACTGATGTATAGTTGTCAACGAAAGAATGAGGCTTTTACTGGCAAGTCCACCCCCTTCGGATGTTAATAATCTTGCAGCCCTGAAGACACCAAATCCATGCAACTCTAGCTTTCACCTGCTCTGTTCCAGTGGCATGATGCTGATCTCGATCTTTAGAGAAGTGGCAGGCTTTAACATCATCTGTGGCAAAATTAAACCAGTCTACTTAATCTTGAATGAGAATAGAATGATTCAGGAAGTAAACAGAAGCCACAGATCAGCTAGATAAATTTGAATCTGCCTCCCTGAACTCTTGAGAAAAGTCCCCAGGTCTAAACCTGAATAAAAAGTGAGCCAATGCCATTGATATTCAAATTTGCCTGACTCCCGAGTCCCATGAGTCCTTTCTTTAATGCTTTCATTCCAAAGACAATAACCCAGACTCTTCCTGAGTATTCCTTGCTAATGGAGATCTTTCAAATTGCTACTTTCTAAACATGTTACTGGCTAATGCGCCAAAATATGTGTCAGTCAGATCAACAGGCTCGATCCCAGGTGGCCAGATAGCTCAGTTGGTAGAACATCCGACTGAAGATTCACGGGTCTTGGTTTCGAGTCCAGGTCTGGTATGTGTGACATTTCTCTTTTTCTTTTACGGTTGATGCCTTAATTGCTATGACCAAGATATGACAGGCAATACCTGCCTTAGGGAAGAGCCTGCATCTGTATGTTCAGGAGGGAATACCTTAAGTTTAAGAATCCTGAATGGAAGAATATTTAGGTCAAATAGGTTTTATCACTGGTTGCCTGAGATAGCTTGAAGTTATATAGAAAACCTGCCTAGAGATTCAGGCGGCCCATGTTCAAATCCCTTTCTGGTTCGTTGTCCATTTCTTCTCTCCAGTGTTACATAGTTATGTAATAGTCACCTGTGTGGTGCATTGGTGAAAGCATTTAAATTGCTCTAGTAGAAATGCCATGTAAGGAGTTGATCCTTACATCTCAGGTTGGAATCCCATTGCTGAATATATAGACTGAAGACGTAAGGAACAGGTGCATACATGTACCTTGAGATACCTCAAAATCTCTGGAAGTCTGTGGGACCAAAGAAAAATTTTAAGAGAATGAGTCAGAGTCTCCAAGATCTAATTATAAATTGAGACAGGGTTCTTTTAGCAGACCTGCATGCCATGGAAACAGAGAAAAAAAAGGTAAAAAAGGGGTAAGAAAATGGGTATGAGGAAACAAAATAGAGATCCCATGATTAGGAAAGGATGGACTTGAATGATAATTTTAAAAGATGCCTCTTTTACATTGCCGGTTATACCAATTTCTTATAGCTCAATTTTCATTTACAGGTGTACATCCTGTGGATTGATCTGATCTGTCGACCATGGAGGATGACAACAGTGGAGATAAGTGGATGGCTCCGGACTCGACCAATGAAGCATATCCGGTAAACGTGACGTACACATCAAGTCACTCAAACTTTACAGCGTCCACCACCGTAAGCTTGTACAACCACCCCACGTACAACAATCACTTCAGGGGCCATGACAGGTAGGAGATTTAGTGGTCATCTCAATTTTTTAGATAAGTTGATAAAACTAGTACGTCTCTAGCTTCTAATGTCACAAAAGATGGATAACCTGACATGCTGTGTTTGTTATAAATATATAATTTAGATCTAATACATATACCGCAATGGTAAAGGTACATTATATAAGGGCAGCATACTTAAAGCTTCATATTGTATTCATGTTTCAAAGGAAAATTTCTTCACATTACAGAAGCCAGCAAGGGAACTATGAGCAGTCCTCATACCAGATCTCTCCCCCTCAGCAGTTCTACCAGCCCACAACTTCTAGTACGACCTACGATAGGCTATCCCCAACCTCCTACAGGGAAATCCCCACTGATAATGAGGCTATATCTTACTCCGGTCTACAGTCTCAGGAGGGACCGCAGCTCATCAGTTCTGTAGACAGCAGCACCATCAGCCAAATGGTAAATTATTCTCAAATTGACTTTTTAAAAAATAAAATCAGAAGTTTTTCACATAGCTGACTAATTCAAAAGGTATAAATGCTTTTTTTTAATGAAAAAAGATGTTTTGAAAAACTTTTTAATGGAGAACTGAAAATGGATATTTTTGAAGATTTTATAATTAACAGTTTTATTCGGTTGCATAAAGTATGTGGAGAGGATATTTTGGAGTTAATCTATAGTTATAAATGCCTTAGTAAATATCTCTGATGCCATATTATTTTTTGTGCTATTTCACAGGGCTATCAGATGCATCATGTGGTGATGGACGCAGACAGACTAGTCACGGTACAGAGAGTTGTATCCCCTGTGGACTGTTCCGCTGGTCCGTCTAGTGTGTCCAGTATGTCACACACAGAGACCCTTAACCAGCTGCCCACCCACGCCATACTGACCCCTGTACCGGTATGAGCTATACAGAGTTTATGTACTAATAACAGTCAAACCTTGTTAGCTCAAACACATTCTGACACCTGCACTGGTTTGCTATTAAAAATTGGGTCCACGAAAAACTTTGAATTTCCTGACTCTAGATATTGAGGTTAAAATATGTGAAGAAAATGTGGTTAGAGCTTCCTTTGGCAAATCCATCATATGTGAGATATATTGTTTAGCTGCAGCTTTGTAGGGTCAGAATATTTTCTCAAGTCAACCATGGGGCTCCTGTGTATTATTCAAAATTAGATGCATTAGAGGAGTCATAATGAAAATTAATAAGCTTAAAAGGATATAAGCTTTTAATAAAATAAAAATGTGATGGAGAGATCAAGTAATTTTCTTATTGTTGGCTTAAATGACTTTTGACATGTATGATTTCATTGACAGGTTTCCAGCATCCAGGGCTATGCCACCTCTTATAATGAAGTGACAGTGCCAAAGAGCCTGAGGAATGGAAACATAAACGAGGCAATAGCACATGAGGATCAGAGACTGACGTATTCCAGGGGATCCATAGACAGCAGCAGGTTCCCTCCCAAAAAGAAGGAGGTAACGTACCTGTATTCACTGAAATGTTTAATTGGTGATAGTTGATTTCCTTCCATTTTCATAGTATTTGTCTGGGCTGGAACATGAACTCTGGCTTGCCGCTTTACAAGACTGGCCCTCTGCTAGATTAGTTAATTAAAGGGTTTACATACCAAATGATTTCACCAATTTAAGTCATTGAGACATAGTAGCAAGGCACTATTTATAAAACATTAACTATAAACATTGTAGATAGCCAGGGACATTGTCAGTGGTGATGCAGATACTACCAGAGATGACAGGGACCTGCAGAACTATCAGTCAGCCTCTCATGGTATAAAATTATCAATACATCATTAGAAATAATTAATGTTATATCTCTTACAGCCCCCCAAAGCCTTCCGGATGTTTAAGTTATATGATAGCACTGTATTTGTTCTAGTGAATAAAGTTTGAATGTTTCTTTAGCTACTTACTATGTGCTGGTATAAATGGTGACTTTCAAGGGGAATCAACTCTTTAATGCAATCATAGTAATTCTCTTGTGACTAATTTAATTTTAGACATGGTTCAAACATTTTCAAAACCAAATGAAAAGCCACAGAGATAAGAGTAAACTTTTTGCTACACAGAAAATTCCATTATTTCCTTATTTTTTTAGATAATTTAGCACTAATTCATTTCAGTTCATGGCTACATCCTAGAAGATGACCAAGTTGGAATCCACTCCACAATGGTCAAGGAACCACTGCACCACAACCAGGAGGCCCTGATAGACACCACCCAGTCTACCGCCATCAGCTTCTCAACTGGCGGGAAGAGCCTGGAGACGTCTGGTGTGGGAAATTCACTTCTGCCAGACATAGGTAAAATGTGAATGAATAAGATATACAATACACATCCATAGCTGAATAGTTTGATTTCAAGATTGATATTGAGGCCTGCAAACAAAAATTACTTATAAAGCAAATATTTCATACTTTCAGTGTGTGTTGGCATAATAGCTGATGTTAGAGCTTTTATATTTGACTTGTATATATGTTTCTTATGACAACATTTCAAAAATTTTTTACTGGTGAGATACCAGCATTCTTAGAAACCAAAGGCCGGATAAATGAGGGTCCACTGTATATATTTCTTATGACAACAAGAAATTTTTTTATGAGTACTAGCATTCTTGGCCTCATGAATTTGACCTTGGAGATTTTCCTACTTTTGAAAAAAAAAATCAACCTTTACATAACTTTTGAACAATTGGTACTAAAAATTTCATATTTTACACATGTATTCCTTGTTGCAAAATCTACCTTGAGCACTAACATTTTCAACCTCTTGGCCTTGACCTTGGAGTTTGACATACTTTTGAAAAACTTCAACTTTGGTCTATGAGCTGCCACATGGGGGTGTCAGTGTTTCACAAATGCACCATGTTTTCATGGAGATCTTAAAGATGTATGAGTAATTTGTCTGTTTTTCTTCAGGTCAATTGAGCCACCATACCAGCTTGAGGCCAGGCCTTGATGGAATTCAGATGCATCATTTGACAAGTGGGAAAAACCAGAGGAATGAACCGGACTCAATATCAACAGTTCCCGTTCCTGTATGTCTCGTATGTTAGAGGGGATAACTTATCTACAAGTAAAAAACTATCAGGTCTGTGTTTTAAGATGAAGCATTCATTCAGGACCTTTCATTTTGTTATAGATAAGGAAATCATCACGTATTGCTGAGATGGAAAATGAACCCCAGACATGGAGAAAACCAAAGTACAAGCCTGGGGTATACAACTACAATGAAATATGTAAGTCTAACCTGCAAACATTATGAAATCTTTGAAATCTTCTATGATGAATTTTGTTTTTAAAGGTGTATCTCTACAATAGATTTTACATGTGTTTTATTTAAAGACAAGATGCTGGAATACTTATGTATCAGAACCCTCTATTATGCCATAAATGATGTATAATTTATAAGCTATTTTTTTTCAGGGTGTGATGATTGTTCTACTACGTACTCCACAGAATGCCCCACCCACAAGTTGACCTTGGTGCCTGACAAGGTCGTTCTGTCCCGAGCCTGGTCCAGTCTCCCTCCACTGTTACAGATCTTCAGGATCGGGGACCCAAATCTCCATCCTATAGGTATGAATTAAAAGGCTTCATAATATGTGTCCTGCTCTGTAGATCTCCCATAGTGATCATTATGTCCAATCTCTATGTATCCAATATTACTTGTCTAAAACAAATTCTTCCTCTCCTTGGCCCAATCATACACATGCCTTAACCAAATGAGTTTCCTTGGGTAGAGGGTGTTCAGTCATTTCTATTCAAGTTTTCAGCCTCATTGGATTGTTGTCAAACCAAGTCAAAGGTAAAGGTCAAAACAGATTTGTGTATACTCCAGGGACACTGTTTCAATTTTCAGCTATATGATTTGGAACTCATTATCTTAAGAAAATGATGTTTCAAGTTATATTTAAAATGGAGTTTTCTTTTTACCTCTGCTGCTTGAAGTATCACAGACTCTTCATTTCATAACTGTTAAGATAGAACAGCATTATACTTGTATAATATTTTCTTTTCAGAAACTAGTGTTGGGGTCTTTGCTAAGAGAACCATACAGAAGAATGTGCAGTTTGGCCCTTTTGTTGGAGAACTTGTCACTGATGAGAATATAATTAACAGCAAATTCCCCCTGGCTGTAAGTATAGGAAGGACTAACAATTGGCAAGGTTAAATTAAGTTTGTAATAAGTGTATTAGAAATACATGTATCTTTCACTTATATATATAAATGAACATATATATCTGCATATTTTCATTAATCATAATTATTTTTTTCACGATGATCATTATAATCTTCATACCGTATAAATGGAAAATTTAGTGAGATGCAAATATAGCGATGTAACCTTAAAAATTGGTAATTTATTTTTAGCGAGATGTAATTTTAGCAATTTTTAAAAAGCTCACTAAAGAACATATTACAAATAAACCGATATTAATAATTAGCGATATTAAATTTTAGCTATCTTGGCACCCTCGCTAATAATGCCAAAGTTAAATCCTCGCTAAAAATTCTACTTATACGGTACTATTCAGGGAAAGGATTTTCCAAGTTGCAAGAACATGTATTTATTATATGTGATAAAAAAATGTTCAAAACCAACAAATCAATTAAGTTATTAGATTACAAAATTCCTTCTCTAAAAGATTTGTTGAAAAAGTTTCAAGAAAATATCATTGGAAGGGGAAGAGACTAAAATATTTGGATTGACTGCTTAATATTCCTGACAGTATAAAACATTTAGACTTTAATTATAACATAAACACAGTTGACTTGAACTTGTGAAAATAAAGGTAGAGTATAAATTATTCTGAAGACTATGAAGTGTTATATACATCTTTACCAGATTGAGCGAGGCGAGGGAGATATCAGTTATTTTGACACGTCAGATGAGAACAAGTGTAACTGGATGATGTTCGTACGACCCGCCGAGAGTTACGCAGAGCAGAATTGTGTGGCCTATCAGTACGGCCTGGATATTTATTTTACTGTTACACGCAACATTGAAGCAAAAGCAGAAATTAAGGTTTGTAGCTGTGTTCTTACATGTGAAGACTACCTTATTACAAGATATCACTTTAGAAGTGTCATTTTCCTCTTCCTTATCCGCTTTAGAAATGATCTAAAATGATTTTAAAGTTTATGTTGATTTGAATTTTGGAAAACAGGTCTGGTATGCCCCACACTATGCAGAAAGATTTGGATTTCCAAAGCTAGAGATCACTGACCAAGATATTCAGAGTAAGTTAAACAATGCAAGGCTCAGAATGTAGAGACTATATATACATGTATATCTCATAGCTTTCTCACAAATTTTTCTTGCAATACCTCTCTAGCGTCAGATGAAAATTTTTAAAAAGCCAGTACATATTTGGAAAAAAGCTTATGATATTACATGTACATAGTATGATCATTGTGTAAAAGTTGGAGAGAAAAAATTGAAAGAAAAGGTATAAAAACTGAATTATCATAAATTTCTATTTTATTGTTTGTTCATTTAATCCTCACATGTGTATTCCAGGGCTTGATGACCAGGAGAATAAGTACAGTTGTTACGAGTGTACTGAGTCCTTCAGAACACAGATGGCACTACAGAAGCACATAATGATTCACGAGGTCAATACGTCCACCATGAAGGACACCTCTAAGCCATTCACCTATACTCCTCCGGCACCACAACAGTACACCACAGAGGTGGTGCCCGAGGGTCAGATGGAGGCCTCTACCTCCACAGCTTTTGATAGAGCTAAGAAAGTGAAGCCACCCAAAAAGACAAAGGTACTGAAACAGGTGTAATCGTACTCTGCTCTTGAATGCATAGCCTCTAAATTTTTTTTATTCCCTGAGGTTCTTGTTTTATTAGGTCTTAATTCAAATGCAAGATTTGTAATTATAAGAAAGGGATTTTTATAGAGATAGCTTTTTTGTTTTATTGCAGGATATAGGTGAAACATACATGTGGAAGAAAAAATCTACAAGTTTTTACTTGAACAAGTATGTAATAAATTATCTAAATATTCCTCAAATTTCAAATGTGTCTTAAGGCATTATTTCATTCACATTTAGTCTGAGCAATTCCGTTAATCTGGTCTTCAAGTGTTGCAGTGATAAAGCATCTTCAATTTTTAATTTCAGGACCTTGAAGAAATACAAAAACCGACAAAATCCAGAACAAATCAGGAAGAACCTGATGAACTTGTATCGACGGAAAGGAAAGGGCTCAGGTGCAGGAAATGACTGGGAATGTAACCACTGCCACCTCTCATTTGAAAACTCTAACGTTTTAAATCTCCACATACTGGTACACGCAGCAGAGGATATAGATCTGGAGAAGGTGCAGCAATACGCCATCACCAGCAGCGAAACCGTGACTTACGGGTCCGGTACAAACTACGTACAAGTCGATAAAAGTGTCCTAGCTTGTCCAGTCTGCCAGATGCAGTTCAATGACCAGAAAATGCTGATACAGCATGCTGCAGAGCATGGAACGTCAAAGTATAAATTCCTACGAGAGAGACCATTCAAGTGTGACAAATGCTGTAAAGCCTTCTATACGCATGAGCGACTTCAGAGACATATTCTTTGCCATGGTGATGACTCAACAAAACCACTGCAGTGTGACGTTTGCTATAAACGCTTCATGAACAACTCTGCCTTATCCTGTCATCTAAAGATCCACAGCGACAAGAAATATTACACTTGTCCAGTTTGCCATGAAGGATTCGATCACACTAATGCCATGAAATCGCATGTAGTTAAACACTGCGTCAATGGATACTACAAATGTCCAGACTGTGAAAGACAGTTTGAGGATTTCTTATCACTGAGAAAGCATTTAAGAAGTTTTCACTCAAACAAGGAATATCCTTGCCCAGAATGTAAGAAAGTGTTTCCACGTCCAGACAAGCTCAAACTGCACATGCTGAGGCATTCAAGTCATCGGGAGTTTATGTGCGAGACTTGTGGAAGGCAGTTCAAGAGAAAAGACAAACTCAAGGAGCACATTCGACGAATGCATGCCGGTGATAAAGAGGCTAAACCTGTGAGTCAGCATAACATTTCCTCAAAGAAGTTTGTTCCAAAAGTTTCACCCACAGATTTTCACAGATTTATTTACAAGTGCCATTTATGTATGTTGGGCTTTAAGAGAAGAGGAATGTTGGTCAACCATCTGGCTAAGAGACATCCTGATATCAACATGGAGTCTGTTCCTGAACTCAACCTGCCAATACTGAAAACCCAAAAAGATTATTACTGCCAGTACTGCGAGAAGGTTTACAAGTCCAGCTCAAAGAGAAAAGCCCACATCTTGAAGAATCATCCAGGGTCTATTCTGCCTGTGAGTGCTCGGAAAAAGGTCATAGACATTCCTGGCTTACCAAACCCTACATACTCCCAGACAGTAGGGAGTATAACAACAATGCCACACTCATGTGAATACTGCCACAAGCAGTACGCAAGTAAAGCTAAGCTCACCCAACATCAGCGCAAGAAACACCCAGACACAGTCATTGAACAGGGCTACACTCCAAAGATTTCAAAATCTGACATCAAGGAAGTTCAGCCCCCTCAAGAGCCCCATCAGACACGAGAGCATCAACCACAGCAGGTGCAGCATTTAGTCCGTTTTGTTGATTCAGAAAATGGAGTTGTTGCTTGCATTCAGCAACCCAGTGGAACAGAAGGAATGCCACAAGCAGATCTGCTGACACAAGCCATGAGTGAGTTAACTCACTCCTTACAACCAGTCCAGGAATATCGCAGCAGCTTAGGTGAATTAGCCACTGTAACACCCAGAACAGGTGCTGCAGCAGCAATGGTACAAGTTCAGAATCTCTCCACTGCTCACTCCACTATTGAGTTCAGCCATCTTGGCCAGACCTTATCTGGAGCTCATTTTCTGCCCTCCAATCATATTCCAGGAGCTCCCATTCAACTGACAGCAATAGCTAGCTCATCAGCAGGAGAACAGATAGTGGACACCAATTTACAGGTGATAACCTCCCCCACCCAGTCTCCGGGGAGGAGCCAAGCTAACCAGGAGAACCAGAATATCATCGTGTCCTCCCAGTCAGGTGTAGCCATGCAGGCCATCCCGGTGTCACTCCCACCGGGGGCCATTATCAGCACACAAACATGGCCAACATATCAGAGATACAGATAAGTCGTAAAATGCTTCTATATTTATTTATTGTAGGACTTTTATTTATTGGTGTGTATGTATAACTGTAGTCTTTTCATGATGTTCAATACTGCCTATGGACATGCAATTTTTTTAAAAATATGCCTTTGTTTTACAAATACAGTGTATTAAAATCTAAATTACTAGTTAATTTGGATTTAATGATTTACCTGTTTTTTACATTTAAATTAAATATGTGAATTGGCCTTATATTGTTTTAGAATCCCAGAATTGTTGCATATAAAGTCCTTAAACCTGGGACAGTTGTTTATTAAATCAGTTTCACTTGTTCTGCAAACTACAACTTGTTGCATATAAAGTCCTAAAACACAGGACAATTGTCTCTTAGTTTAAAGTTTCACTTGTTCTGCAAATTACAAGTTACTTTCAAATGCACCCATCTCGGTGTAAGAAAGTTTAAAAGTTCAGCTATGGTGAAGGTTTTATTTAGTCACTGGTTTAACATCAACAACTTGGAAAATGTTTTTTTTCCACATTTTTTTTTTAAATCCATTTACTCATTTTTATTTCCAACTCACTTACAGTGTGTCAATTATGTTTTTTGTCTACTTTTATCAATGCTTACAAATCATTTAAATGAATTTAATATTGGTAACTGATTCTAAGAACTCTGAAGGCTGATGTTTATCAGATGATTTAAGACTTAAATGAATTCCAAAGGGGTCAATTGTGGCAATTAATTCAATGTGTAGCCAAAGGTTGCAAATGCTTTAGAACTCTGCATACTTGTAAAATTCTGTAACTAAATGCAGTTTTAGTAATGCAGCTGTTTTTAAGAATGATATGAAATGTTCTTGTGAATGCATGTTAGTAAAAATTATGAATTATTTGTAGCTTAATTTATTTAGTAGTTGTTCCTTTGTTATGAAATAAATGATTAAAGTATATAAGGTGGTTGATATTTTTTTATATACCCATTCAAAAAAAAAAATAAATAAATAAATAAAAGGGAAAAGATTTAAAGCAATATGAGCTGCAACTTTGATGTCGGAATTTTTTGTTGTAAAACTGTAAATAACTATTTCAATGACAGAAAAAATTACGTTAATAAACTTCTTTGTTCATATTTGCAATGGAAGAATTTGATTTAATCAAAATTACATTATTGTTGTCCTGTACAATTATGATTTCTTATATAAAGCTGTATTGAATGGATTGTTTTAGAAGTCTTTCTTCTGCTTTATTTTAGTCTAATTGATCATAAAGGTATAAGTTACATACAAATTTATCATAATAACACATTTTAACAGCAAAATATAATTTTCAAAAATGCAGCTCATATTGCTTTAACTACGATATAGGATTTATGGAATTTTTTCCCCAGCTTGGGTACAATCGAGCCATGAATGACAGAGTTATGCCCCTTGACTTAAAGAGATTCCAATTATTTGCAGTTTCAATTTCATTCATTTTCTTTGCAGAGCTTGCTTATATTGAAATAAAATTTAATATACAGATTTATCAGAATATCTAGGTCAAGTTCTGTTTTGGGTATGATCAAGCAATTCTGAATAGAGGTTTGCCCCTTGGACTTGGAAAAATTCCTGAATCATTAGGGTGTGGGGGCATAAGTGTTTTACAAACATCTCTGTTTTCAGATTTTACCCGACAATAATCAAATTTTGTATAAAGAAAAAAAAATCGCTCATAAATACCAAATAATTACCTTGTGAAAACATGACACAAAAAATGGTAATCCACAGTAATGTCAAGCTCAACAGCAAAAACGATTTACGTTTTTACATATGAACAGTCCGCATTGCACAGTGATAGAGCATCTGCTCTAGAGTTGAGGAGTACTTGTAAGGAGTTCATTCTTGTGGGTTCGAATCCCACTGTGGAACATAGACCAGTGCTTTGGATGAGACCACATAAACAATTAAGTCTCGTGTCACAGTAGATGCTATGGCATGATAAAAACAGAGCTGCCAACCCTTACGATTTTGGCGTAAGGCGTACATAAATCAGCGTCTAAAATACGCCTTACGATTTCTCTCTATATTCCTCCGATTTCAGTTTTTCTCATTCAAAGTTTATAATACCGGTATTTTCATAGCTGGCAGTCCATAGTTTCTACATTATAATATATTCATAATTCTTACAATGTTTGCTTGTATCATGGTTTCGGTTTTAGAAGGCCAGTCACATTCATGTCAATGTTTTAAAGTAAACAAAATGGAAACAATCATGCCTCAGATTGCATGTTCATTTACAAAACATCTTCAGCGTCAGGGGGCTTAGGTGGTCCCTAGATCCCGCCTTCCTATTTGTCATTTCAGAATGTTGGCAGCTCTGTAAAAATCCTTTGCTGCTCAATGACCCTAAGTGCTAAGTATAGGTCAAAATTTGCAACTCTCCACTGGCAGGTGGTTGTGTCTCTATGTGTCGTATATGAGTGAAAAATTCATTGCAAAGGATGTATAACAACAAATACATTGAAAGAATATCATTTACATGTACTTGAATATCTTACAGAGATGCTACTCTCCAAAAAACACATTCAATAAAATCAAGACTGAATGTGGCAGTGTTAAAGTTTTAGGACAAAGGCTGATATTGTGAACATCAAATCTATCCTCTATCTGAGATACAATTAATTGAATTAAATAAACTTTTTTTGGAAAATTTTATTGTAAGTCTAAGAAGATTTTCCATTTTGCAAAGCTCAGTGAAGAAGACTATATACAACAACATATTAAATAAGTTTGCACTATTTTAATAAAAATAAATAAAATTCTATGTTGACTTCATGTTTAGCATGATCAGAATAATATAGCAGTAATGGATGAAACACAACCTGATTTAAATGGAATACATGTAAAATGAAATCTGCAAATTAATGTAAACAACTGACAAATGTTAGTACACAGTCATCATTTTCACAAATTTTCAGCACTAACTCTACAAACTTCCATTCCATACAATTTAAATCTAAGCCAAACATTTTTGATATGTCCATAAAAAATTATAAAAATTCCTTCAGCTTCATCGCAGTCTGCGTAACGACTTTGCGTAAACTGGTTCCATTACATGCGTACCGAGGTAAGCACCGAGTCCAATCAGAAGAAATAAGAGACATCCTGACATCAACAGGTACCGGTATATTATTGTATAGTCATATATCTGGAATAGAGAGAGAAACATCAATAGCTAAAAAGTCCAAACATAGAGGAACTGTAGGGGAAGTTATCAAGGATACTTTTCTATTATTATTTATTATATTATCAACCAAAAGTCTAAAATATGAATCAATGTTTGTGAATTGTAAAGGGCTCATTATATTTATAAATTAATTGCCTCTTGTTTATCTAAGACTAGTGTAAAAAAAAAAATTCAAGCTATTCTTTTAGCACCCTTCTCAACACAACAACACCACAACTAACACCATCTAGATTCCCTGGATAGGCAACTCTGGTTACACTGTAAATTTCATAATATAATTTGATATAACCCGGAAGCATATTGAATGAAATATATAAAACCCTACCCACCAACCGATGTTTTACAACCCCAAAATACAGTAGGAAATCATTTTCCTATATAAACCAGGGTGACGAGGTAGAAAGTTACGTTTAAATGCAAAATAAATTTGTAATAACAACTCAAACTTATAGTAAATATTTTTTAGATTCATTGATTACATGCATTACTGGAATAGAAGGTATTTCTCACAGATTTTTGTGTATTAACTCACAATGGCTGTTTGTTCATCTGTTGGTACTTTTGGTTCCCTTGGTAACACTACCAAGATCAGAGTCACCAACCCTGATACTAGGACAGCTGCAACCCCAGCATATCTGAAATAGGCAATAAAACCATGAAAATATACTGTAATGAAATATACAGTAAAGCATACTGTACTGAAATAATCAACTGACAACAAAGAATACTTTGCTGAAATACACAATAAAACATACTAGTATACTGAAATACACCATAAAGCATCGTAAATTTAAATATACAATAAAGTATACAATAGGCCTACTGGAATACAAAATTGTCATGTCTGAGCAGGTTGAACATTTCCTGAAACATAAATGAAGAATGTGAATGTTTTATCAACTATTCATCTTCAACTTACTGAAGTGCGCCTTGGGCTTTAGCAAACAACACACATACAAACAAGGTGAAGGCCCACAACAATGCTAACGTAAAGAAACCAGCTCCAACTCCTAAAATAAGCGCCATGTCTAAACAAATCACATCATTGATTATCGAGCCCGATGTCTTTCACATTCCAAAGTGATAAATTAAAAGAAAAACACTACTTTATAAAATTATGTAACATTTACATATCAGTTCTCTTCATTATATATTTGAATTTGTTAAATGGCATTATTATTGAAATTAAAAAAGAATTGTGTAAAAATTATCGGGTGTGGAATGCATTGGATCACGTGGTTAGAAAGCGCGCCAATGCTGACGGACAAAAAATTATGTCAACAAATCAACAAGCCACTTTAACGTCATTTTTTGGGCGCAGTCCGTTAAGCACTGTTCACCAAGGTATAAATTTATGTTCGTCATTGGTGTTTAAATGATAATTTAATAGTTTTAACCTTAGTTCCTTTTCAAAGTTCCATATTTGAAACCCTCTGAGTCTCTCGTAACTTTTAGCCATTTTTTTTCAATAAACACTGTTAAAGATTCTGACACTCTCAGGTAAAAAGTATCATGTCTTCAAAGGTTCCAAGCAAAAATTTCGAAAATGGGGGAGTGGGGGGGGGGTTCCCAAATATCTGAAAAATAATCCGAAATGATCAATTCAAAGGGGGGGGGGACTTCGAAAAATAATCTGACAAGCAAGCAAAACAAAAAAAAAATGCTTGACCTTACATTACAGCAACAAAGTGTGTGGAGGTGGGCAAACATCTTAAGAAATTTTACAATACCATATTACTATAATCAGAAAAAATGGGGGGAGGAGGCACCCGCTTGCCCCCTGCATTCTATGAGCCTGCTTAAAAATCACAGTTCACACCAATAAAGTAACGTCAGGAAGGGTTGAAATCTGCCCTCTAGCCCTTCTTGGACCCCCTCACCCTCCCACTTTAGCACCTCTTCCTGTATTCTTGACCTAGGATGTATTGATGTGAAGAGAAGAATTACTGGTGTGGTTCTTGGTCCTTGTGCATGCACTTATGGTTCAGTTAACAGAAAATGAAAAAAAAAAAAGTTGATGTGGAGACTCGTCTCTCCATTTCAACCCATTATTAAAATTCCTGCCTTTCTGTTAGAACTGGATTGCTATATCTGACATGAATGCACACATTCAACTATTATTCCAAACCTGTGTTTAGATGATGAAAACAGGCATCAGTTTAGAGGAACAGTTTTGATTAAAAGTCCACGAAGGAAAAATAAAATAAAGTCACAGAAATGGGTGTGTTCCTATTGTTGTAAATATCCTTCATCTTTTCCATTTAAAGTACTACACGATTTGTGAAATTGTGTCGACCGTCTTTTTTAAAAAAACCCTCTGTAAATTACATGAGAGATATACAATTTTAATAACTCCCAACTATTCAGTCATATGAATGTGTTTTCACCTATTTCACTGTAGTTAAAATATTTAACCTAGAAAAACTTATTTTGTCATTGTCAATTTATCAGTTGAAGGCATGTACCAGGGCTACGTATTTATATACATGTATTACCAAGTAAAAAAAAAAGATAGTAAAAATGTTTATTGAATACAATTTTATTTCCTTTGATTAAATACTTATATGACATTTGATTTTTATAAAGTAAGAACTCCTATTTTAAACAAAAAAATTTATATATTAATTTAACATTTGTATCTATATATTTTTGTCCCAGTATCTATGCTTTTTAAAAAAAATCACAGAGACCATTAAAAGAATTTAGCAGTGGGCTCTTAAATTTGAAATTGCAGAGCCCACATGGAAATATAAGTTTAAAACAGACTTTGCACCTCTTTCTGTATTCTTGACCAAGATGAAAGTAATAGAACAAGATGGTGTGAGTTTGTCCCTTGTGCATGCACTTATGGTTCAGTTAACAGAAAATGAAAAAAAAAAAAGTTGATGTGGAGACTCGTCTCTCCATTTCAACCCATTATTAAAATTCCTGCCTTTCTGTTAGAACTGGATTGCTATATCTGACATGAATGCACACATTCAACTATTATTCCAAACCTATGTTTAGATGATGAAAGACCAAGAAGGACTGCATCAGTTTCACCAGAGGAACAGTTTATCCAACAAAGAGGAAAATTAAGATCAAGTCCACGAAGGAAAGCTCTCACTTCTAATTCTCCAAGACTCAAAGTCACAGAAATGGGTGTGTTACTGAATTCATGATCTTAAAAAAATGCAAGCTTGCACTTTTGGGACAGAAATACAATTAAATCTTCTTTTCTCTTCATATTTTGCAATGTGTGTGAAAATATTGGTAAAATATGTATTTCAAATGCTTGTTTTCAGAACTGCACTTGAGAAAAAAAAAATCACATACCATTAAGTTTAACATTTACATGTATACATTGCACAGTGGACTTGATATCAGACTCTCCTAATGACAAAAGTGGATGGACACCATTAAGAAGAGCGGCTCACATTTGATGGAATCTCTCGAAGATTGCAGATAAAAGGAAAAATGCTAACAGAGTGGATCTAGAAAGTGAGCCCCAAGATGAAAGTAATGAACAAGATGATGAAGAGTTTGTCCCAAGTGTAAGGAACCATGCTAATCTTTAATTAAAGGGGGGGTCTGCATCACAAAATGTCTTTTCAATGTTAATGTACATGTAAAATTTGTTTTAGAATTATCTGTTATCTCAATTATTGTTTGCAGCGAGATGATTTGATTACTTAATGACAAGTTTATTTTCAGAAAAAGAAGAGACGTACCAAAACAAAGAAAACAGATCAACCTACTTTACACAAAAGATTGTCAGCATTAAGTCGTGAACAGTTAACAGAAATCATAGAAGATCTTGTAAAGGACCATCCAGAATTAGAACAAGTTTGTATTTTGATTATTCCCCCTCCCCACATAAAAAGGTAAACAAAGTAAACTGAAGATAGATTATTATTATTATTATGTTAGAAATGAGAATTTTCTACCTGCGAATAATAGAAATCACTTAAGAAGCATTTCCAGTTTAGCTTGGACTTTCAGTAAGGCATGGCATTCTCTACGTAACGTAATTAGCTTCTGAAATTTACACAGCTTTCCTTCACTCTTGAAATATACATGGGATAGAAAATGCTTGCATAAAAGCATATTTATGCCCTCCTTCGAAGAAGGGAGGGCATATTGCTTTGCTGCTGTCTGTCTGTCGGTCCACTTAGTTTCTGTTCATTTTCTTTGCAACTGTTGCACATGCTGAAATGAAATTTGGTATACAGATATACCACATGAATATCTAGGTCAAGTTCTGTTTTGGGTACGATCGCACCATGTTTTACAGAGTAATGCCCCTTGGACTTAGAAAAATTCCAATTATTTGCAGTTTCCTTTCATTTTCTTCGCAACCGTTGTACATACTGAAATGAAATGTAGTATACAGATTTATCATATGAATATCTAGGTCAAGTTCTGTTTTGGGTAAAGTCGCGCCATTTTTGACAGAGTTATGCCCCTTATACCTATAAAAATTCTAATTATTTGCGGTTGCCGTTCATTTTCTTTGCAACCTTTGCACATACTGAAATGAAATTAAGCATACAGATTCATCATAAGGATATCTAGGTCAAGTTCTGTTTTGGGTTCGATCGCACCATTTTTATGCCCCCCTTCAAAGAAGGAAGGGCATATTGCTTTGCTGCTGTCCGTCTGTCAGTCCACTTATTTTCTGTTCATTTCCTTCACAACCGTTGCACATACTGAAATGAAATTTAGTATACGGATATATCACATGAATATCTAGGTCAAGTTCTGTTTTGGGTACGATCGCACCATGTTTTACAGAGTTATGCCCCTTGGACTTAGAAAAATTTCAGTTATTTGCAGTTCCATTCATTTTCTTCGCAACCGTTGTACATACTGAAATGAAATTTAGTATACAGATTTATCATACGAATATCTAGGACAAGTTCTGTTTTGGGTAAAGTCACGCCATTTTTGACAGAGTTATGCCCCTTGGACTTAGAAAAATTCCAATTATTTGCAGTTTCCGTTAATTTTCTTTGCAACCTTTGCACGTACTGAAATGAAATTAAGCATACAGATTCATCATAAGGATATCTAGGTCAAGTTCTGTTTTGGGTTCGATCGCACCATTTTTATGCCCCCTTCTAAAAAGGGAGGGCATATTGCTTTGCTGCTGTCTGTTGGTCCAATTAGTTTCTGTTCATTTCCTTCACAACCGTTGCACATACTGAAATGAAATTTAGTGTACAGATATATCACATGAATATCTAGGTCAATTTCTGTTTAGGGTACGATCGCACCATTTTTGACAGAGTTATGCCCCTTATAAAAATTCCAATTATTTGCAGTTTCCGTTCATTTTCTTCTCAACCGTTGCACATACTGAAATAAATTTAGTGTACAGATTTATCAGATGAATGTTTAGGTCAAGTTCTGTTTGGGGTATGATTGTGCCATTTTTGACAGAGTTATGCCCCTTGGACTTAGAAAAATTCCAATTATTTGCAGTTTCCGTTCATTTTCTTCACAACCATTGCGCATAGTGAAATGAAATTTAGTGTACAGATTTGTCACATGAATATCTAAGTCAAGTTTTTTTTTGGGTAAGATTGCACCATTTTTGACAGAGTGATGCCCTTTTGGACTTTGAAAAATTCAAATTTGGGGGGAGGGGGCATAAGTGTTTTACAAACGTCTCTTGTTGACAGAGTTATGCCCCTTGGACTTAGAAAAAATTCCAGTTATTTGCAGTTTTCTTTCATTTTCTTTGCAGAGGAAATTTGGTATTCAGATTTATCAGATAAATATCTTGGTCAGGTTCTGTTTTGGGTACGATCGCACCATTTTTAGCTCACCTGAGCCGAAGGCTCAAGTGAGCTTTTCTGATCACATTTTGTCCGGTGTCCGTCTGTCCGTCTGTCTGTCTGTCTGTAAACTTTTCACATTTTCGACTTCTTCTCAAGAACCGCTGGGCCAATTTCAACCAAACTTGCCACAAAGCATCCTTGGGTGAAGGGGATTCAAGTATGTTCAAATGAAGGGCCACGCCCTCATTCAAGGGGAGATTATTGGCAATTAATGAAAATTTGGTGGCATGTTTTAAAAATCTTCTTCTCAAGAACCACTGTGCCAGGAATGATGAAACTTATGGGGAATCATCCTCAGGTAGTGTAGATTCAAGTTTGTTCAAATCATGACCCCTGGGGGTAGGGCGGGGCCAAAATGGCCGACCAAAGTTTTACATAGAAATATATAGGAAAATTCTTTAAAAATCTTCTTCTCAAGAATGACCAAGCCATAATTCATCATATTTATATGGAAGCATCCTCAGGTAGTGTAGATTCAAGTTTGTTCAAATAATGACCCCTGGGGGTAGGGCGGGGCCAAAATGGCCGACCAAAGTTTTACATAGATATATATAGGAAAATTCTTTAAAAATCTTCTTCTCAAGAATGACCAAGCCATAATTCATCATATTTATATGGAAGCATCCCCAGGTAGTGTAGATTCAAATTTGTTCAAATCATGACCCCCGGGGGTAGGGCGGGGCCAAAATGGCCGACCAAATTTTTACATAGAAATATATAGGAAAATTCTTTAAAAATCTTCTTCTCAAGAATGACCAAGCCATAATTCATCATATTTATATGGAAGCATCCCCAGGTAGTGTAGATTCAAGTTTGTTCAAATCATGACCCCCGGGGGTAGGGCGGGGCCAAAATGGCCGACCAAAGTTTTACATAGAAATATATAGGAAAATTCTTTAAAAATCTTCTTCTCAAGAATGACCAAGCCATAATTCATCATATTTATATGGAAGCATCCTCAGGTAGTGTAGATTCAAGTTTGTTCAAATCATGACCCCCGGGGGTAGGGCGGGGCCAAAATGGCCGACCAAATTTTTACATAGAAATATATAGGAAAATTCTTTAAAAATCTTCTTCTCAAGAATGACCAAGCCATAATTCATCTTATTTATATGGAAGCATCCTCAGGTAGTGTAGATTCAAGTTTGTTCAAATCATGACCCCCGGGGGTAGGGCGGGGCCAAAATGGCCGACCAAAGTTTTACATAGAAATATATAGGAAAATTCTTTTAAAATCTTCTTCTCAAGAATGACCAAGCCATAATTCATCATATTTATATGGAAGCATCCTCAGGTAGTGTAGATTCAAGTTTGTTCAAATCATGACCCCCGGGGGTAGGGCGGGGCCAAAATGGCCGACCAAAGTTTTACATAGAAATATATAGGAAAATTCTTTAAAAATCATCTCAAAGATAGAAAATCCATGGTTGTTCATGGGACTACTTTTGGATTTTACCTTTTCAATAATAAACCAATTTATACTTTTACTAGCCACAGTGCTCAGGTGAGCGATGTGGCCCATGGGCCTCTTGTTGACAGAGTTATGCCCTTTTGGACTTGGAAAAATTCCAAATTAGGGAGAGGGGGGCATAAGTGTTTTACAAACATCTCTTGTTAAGATAGAATATGCTGCAATGCAATGAATGCATGCATATGTTTAAAAGTGTGAATGTTTGATGTAGGAAATAGCAGTCCCTTGTCCAGATATTGGTAAATTGCTGGAAAATTTAGAACTCTTCAAAGGGAACGTCTACAAGTCATTTCCCTACTCCAGGTGGGGATCAGGGAGGGATGCATTCTGTTACAGGCGTGTCAAAACCCATCTGGATAGCTTTGTTGTAAGTATCTTAAATGTATATTTTGATTATTTTAACATTGAAACTTCTTGAAATATTTTTTCTTGTTGAGTCCAAGCAATTTTGTACCTAATAAACATTCCTATTATGTTTAGATTCGTTAAGAATGGTTTTGTATTTTAAATTTAGAATACAATAAGCAATCTATATAAAACCCATCACAGTAATAAAGAGACTCCACTCTCTTTGATGAGAGATGTATTATTGTATTCACCATTTTCACCTATCTTAACATCTCTCTGTAAATTTTGTTTCCCAAATTATAAAGTCTTGTATCATCCAATCTTGTCAGATGATGTTTTAGGAGGTGGGGAGGGGGGGGGGGGGGTGGTGGTGTGTGTTTACGTATACAGATCACAGTTTTGGACCGTGCCCATGATCATTGTTTGGTCCATACCATAAGTATTGATGTTTGATTAGGCTATGCTTCAGTTTCGTTTGTAAGAAATATACAATGATCAAATACCAGTAAATTTTCACTCTAAATCTTAATGTTAAAACAAATTGTGAACACCTATACAATGTACTAGTATTAGTGATTGGCACCTTTTCTGATAAATGTAGTGGGGGATTTTTTTTATAATTATATATTGTAGCATGCAAAACTATAAATTCAGTATTGTTACTGTTATTTTAGAAATCCTGCATTGAACAAGGAAGACAGCTTGAGGTGTTAGAGTCCTGGCCAGCATTGATAGACTATATTCTGAAAGCCTTGGAGTTTGTGGAAGAGCTGCCTAACTGGGATAACCCTGACCATAACAAATCTAAGAACAGGTGCTTTAAGACACTAAGTGGGCAGTGTAAAAGGGCCATCACCAAAAGTCACCTAACACAGGCAGAGTACAAGAAAATGTTGTCCAGGTTGGTGCAGTTCAAGTGTTTTTCAACTCATACGCTTATTTTTTGAAATTTTTCTAATAACAGCGAAGTTTATATAGTTTAATTAAGGCCATTTTTATTTTATTAGTTGTTTTACGGATTTTTTTATTGAAAATATCCATTGGGTGGCTACAAAAAAAAAAAAAAAAAAAAAGAAGTGTTCAATGTTCAAAACTTTTAATATGCAGCATATCAAAGCAGTTGGGGAAATCAACCTCAGAACATTGCACAGAAATGTCTTTCTTGGCATTCCTCACTAAAAGAGAACGATTCTCCGGGCAGAGAGACATATTATGTGAACAATGCTAAACTTTTCTGTGTATGTCTATGACTGGATACGGGTGTCCTCTCACTGCTACGTCCACATTGCCACAGAAAAACACACTTCAGCAAATTTTACACAACCCCCTGTAAAATAATAAAAGTTTAATCAAATTCAGATAATACCTTTTGTCCTTTTCTTAAACAGTGTTAAACAGTATAAAACTAATATTAAGTGCACAATCAATGGACACAAATAAACTTACTAGAATGATAAGTCATCCCCATAGGGTTTCACATTCCTATGACTCTCATACAAACATTTTTTGTCTTAGAACATCCTGATGAGTCAGTTCCTTTTCCAAATCTAAAATTTAAAACTTTAAAAAAACATTTCTTTCACATCATTCAGTAGATTCATTTCATACCTGTACAATGACAGAAAAGTCTTTTGTTTCTCTGACGCTTTAACAATTGACGACACATCTTGCAGATTTTTGAAATACATTTCTACTAACCGACCGTTACAAGTATACATATATATAAAAGTATACATTTATACTAACCATTAGATATAACTGTTTAAAACTTCGCCAAACCCTCAAAGAAAAGTTATGGGTGTCGGATGGAGTGCAAGTGACGACATCAGATTCGTTGGTTTTGGCTGTAATTTCCTCAACCACCACACTCAATTCGCTGATCAGATAACATCATATATAGAATAATTACCAGCCTGATCAGCTCATAAAAACCGTCATACATTTATACATTTACTATTGTCCTTAAAACATTTATATTCTGTTTTGAAAAACCTAAAATGTTTCACATGGCCGTCATACTTTATTTCATCTCTGACTATAAAACGCTTGAAGAGTTATTTAAAAGGGTCGATAGTGGAAGCGTTTACATGATTCTGATCACAACTAAGTAAAATTCAAACAATGTACGGTCATTTCCGGATTTTTTTAATATGTTTGAAGTAAAGTTCGATCGGCGATTATAAAAAAAAAAGGGATTGAATGGAATTTTTATTTTTTTTCCAAAACTTAGAAAAATGGGGTCGGCGGATCCATAAAACAACTAATAAAAAAAAATTGGCCTAAATCTTATTTATTAAAATGGAAGCATTGTCAGGTAATTTAGAGTCAACGTAAGTCCAAGCATGATCTCGACAGAACAAGAAATAAGAATGTTTCATGAATGTGGCCCCTAGGCCCTCCAGAAGTGCACAGTTGGGAACCAGCTATCTGCTTCCAATCCTTACCTTTTATTTATATTACTTATTGTTATAAAAGGATATGATTATAATCTTTTATTAGGGCCCCGTTTGGCGGGCACCCTATAGTGATCAGTCTGTCCGTCAGTCCGTCCAAGATCTCTTGTCCGGAGCATATCTTCTCTCTCTTTGGCCCAATCTGGCCCATACTGCACTCACAGAGTGCCCTTGGGTAACTGGTGTGCAGTGACCTTGAACGAGGTCTAGGTCAAAGGTCAAGATCATAGCAGAATTGTATGGAAAATCCTTGTCCGGAGCATATCTTCTCTCTCCTTGGCCCAATCTGGTTCATACTTCACCCAAAAAGTGCCCTTGGGTAACCAGTGTGCAGTGACCTTAAACCATGTTTCTAGGTCAAGGGTCAAGATCATAGCAGAATTGTATGAAAAATCCTTGTCCGGAGCATATCTTCTCTCTCCTTGGCCTAATCTGGCTCAAACTTCACCCACAAAGTGCCCTTGGGTACCCCGTGTGCCATGACCTTGAAACATGTTTCTAGGTCAAAGGTCAAGGTCATAGCAGAATTGTATGAAAAATCCTTGTCCAGAGCATATCTTTTCTCCCCATGGCCCAATCTGGCTCATACTTCACCCACAGAGTGCCTTTGGGTAAAGGTTGTGCAGTGACCTTGAATAATATTTCTAGGTCAAAGGTTAAAGTTACAGTAGAATTATATGAAAAATCCATTTCCGGAGCATATCTTCTCTCCCCATGGCCCAATCTGGCTCATACTTCACCCACAGAGTGCCTTTGGGTAAAGGGTGTGCAGTGACCTTGAATGATATTTCTAGGTCAAAAGTTCAAGTTATAGTGGAATTATATGAAAAATCCTTGTTTGGAGCATACATGTATCTCTGCCCTTTGTCCAACTAGGTTCATACCTATTTCACAGAGTGCCTTTGGGTGAAGGGTGTGCAGTGACCTTGAACCATGTTAAAGGTCTAAGGATAAGGTCATAGCAGAATCATATCATTATTATTATATCATATCAAGTCCTTGTCCGGAGCATATCTTCTCTCCCCTTTGTCCAATGTGGCTCATAATTCATTCACAGAGTACCAGTGGTAAATTGATTTGCAGTGACTTTGAACAAAATTTCTAGGTCAAGGGTCGACAAGGTAAAAAATAGTCTCTCTGTTTAAAATCTTTGTTCGGTACATAAATTTTTTCCCCTTAAGTCCACTCAGCCTCAAACAAATTGACTGGGTATGTGATTTTCCTACCATATAATGATAAAGGATATGCAACAATATTCATAGAGGATACATTTCTATAAGTTTTTTAGTTGTATTATTTTTCAGGGAGTAGTTACTTTTTGTCCCCTTTAATCTCAAACACCTTCAAAATTAACCCTTTTCAGCTACCTTACATTTCATGTTCATTGCTAAAAGCGGGGCCCTTTGAGATGGCCACCATCTCAATGATATCTAGTTACCATTTTTTTCTTAATATGAATAGATATTTAAATGCCAACTTTATCATAGAAAGTGGAGTATTGCATTTGTATTCTATTATGACATAGCTGTTTCATGTAACAAGGACATCGCCAAGTTTATCTGAAAAACTTCATGAACATGAAAAATCTCACATTTGTCAAAAGTTGACCTTTTAAAGATTTTAATGCAAGGCCATGGGGATTGGACATGTGCATGCTTTCTCCATATTTTAGACATGAATTGGTTGAGGACTACTGTAAAAGCACAAATATTCGTGGGGGATTAAATTTCGTTTATTTCGTTGTTAACAAGTATCAACGAAATTAAATCCCACACGAAATTTTATATGATTATATATTGAATAAGATTACTTTCAAAACAACGAAATTAAATCCCCACGAAACTATTCTAAATGACAAAACAACGAAATTTTATCCCCACGAAAATTTGTGCTTCTACAGTATTTGATTCTAATAAATGTTATTCTATTTTATTTTTAGGGTTGAAGAAGCTGTGCAAGTAGATGATAATATTTCGCCATGTGTTGAACTGATCAGAAAGAAAATTTCCTAACTCTTTAAGATGATTGCTCAGCATGACTTTTCCACAACGTTTTGAATGATTCATTGTTCATTGACAGTAAAAAGTAATCTTTTGTCTTGTATTGATAATTGACATTTGAATGAAATGACATGAAAACTGGTGCTATAGTAAGTTAAAGTAGAGATATAAATCATATGTGAGCATGTAACATTGTAAAAATTAGAAATGTAGTGTACATCCTCTATGTGAAGCGTCCATTACGTGTAGGAACTATTTTAATTAGTGCTCGTTTCTGTGTTTTAGTTGTTTGAATTAAATACAAAATGTGTTATTATTTTGGTTTTTATTCTCTTTTTTATATGCTCATTGTTAAAGAGAACTGATTTTATAAGAACAAGGCAGGAATATAATTATCAGATTATAAGGGGATATATACATAGCTTCATAGCTATTTCATCAAAAGTGATCAATAGAAAAGGAATGTGATATGTGCTATTGATTAGGCCATGACAAATAAATTCCTTGACTCTAATCCCCATCCAGCCTGACTATTTATAAATCTCAAATGATCCTGACCTTAATTTAAAGAAACAACCATTTCAATGAATATGGAATTTACTGGTCATAAGAAGTTCAAACATTTCTTTTGATTTTTCATATATATATTCCAATACAAGTTTGATTACTCAAAGCGGCTCCATCCTAACTTCAGGCCAGAGGATATGTATCTGTATTGATGTTACTTTTCATGGCTTTGTTGTACTTAGATTTTTTATACCCCCGCAAACGAAGTTTAGGGGGGTATATTGGAATCACCATGTCCGTCTGTCTGTAGACAAGATTTTGTCCGGACCATTTCTCAGAAACTGTTGGATGGATTTGTCTGAAAATTTATACACTTATTATTCACCATATGAAGGTGTGCACCTGGGATTTCCATCATGATTGGATGATTTTTCTGCATTTTACAGGCGTTTTTTTCTTTCTTATTTTGTGATTTTGTTTGGCTCATAACTAGAAAACTATTAGACTTACAATCATCAAACTTGGACAATTTATGCATCTTGGGTAGACGGTGTGTCACAACCTATTTCAAGGTCACTGTGACCTTTAATTTAAGTGATTTTTTTTAAAAAAGTAAGTCTTTAAAATTTTAAATTTCATAATCCTAAAAAATGTAAAGATATAGTTGTATCCTTATTAAAAAATGCTAAATTAAGTAAAAACTTATTTTTTATCATATACTTTATAGCAAATTCTATAACAAATGTTAATGATTTGAGAGGAATTCAGTTTGTCCCATGGGCATAATTATCAAGCACTGGTCAAGGAGAATTTTTGATAGCAGAAATGTGCATGTCAAATTAGAGAGAAATTAATGAGTTCATTGTTGGGAGTTAACTGGCAAGAGCATCTCTAGATTTAATCTTAATTTATCTCTTGGGAGTTGGGCAAAAAGAAATGGCCTTATAGTTGCTTGTGTTAATTAAGAGTTCTTGATGGCTGTAGTTCAGATAAAGATCTTTCAATTGGTGTAATGTAATTAAAACAAATTGATGTTTTAGTGTATGATTAAAACTGAATTAGTATTGTATAATATAATTAAAATTAATTATACATGTGGTCATTGAAAAAAAATTACATTTCAATTTTTATATATTTGCAACAAATTGCAGTCATGACTCTCACTTAGAATTTTATAGTCTAAAGAATAATTAATTTTTGATTTTTTTTTATTAGACTGTAGCATTTCCATTATTTCATAAAATATGCAATAAACAATTTAAAGCTGCAGATGGATATTTGTTAAGCTCTAACACAGCCAGTTTAGAATTATATGATGTATTATTTGTTTTAATTAATCCCTACACTGTAAGTCTCTTAGAGATGTATGTACAATATTTTAAACATGATAAGAAATGGAATTAGATCATTGAAATCTGTGTCAATCTGTTAATCAAGGTTACTTAATTTTCTTGCACCCTAACCAATTTATGATTATCGAACAATATTTGATGGGCGTATCATGCTGTGGCAAGGCACTTTATTAGACAATAGTGAATACCTCTTACTAGATCCATAAAATATTTCTGAATTGGCACCTACTCTGAAAAACCCAACGGGGGTATTTGTCCCTATTGGACAGTTCTAGTTCATACTTTCTCCATATTAAACTATTAAACATCCCTAGCTGTGGGTCATGATTTGAACAACTTGAATGTCACTACAAGCTTCTATACTAATTTTATTAATCATGGCTTGCTGTTCTTGAGAAGATTTTGGCCCTTTCGTACTCAAGGGAGTCAGATTTGACCAGAGTGGAATACAATTTTTCACTTTTTACAAAAATTTCAGCTTCTAAACCCGCTTATATTGGACTTCAAGAAATTGAAAGGCATCATCGAATGTTAGTCATTAAAGTTCTGGGTTGACAGCGGGTCATATTTGCTCCCATCTTAATTCACGGTGTCAAAGCGTTGTAATCGCTTTCCACACCCATTATTTTACAATTTATCTCAAGTACTGTTCATTCAAGGAGAGTAATAAAATATTTATATATACATTAGATAAAACAATAGTTAGTCAATTTTTCTTCATCCACATTGGAACAATGGATGTTCATATTTTCTTTGTTGTTTTATCCGTTGGTAAGATTTTTTGTATATCTTGGTATATTTACTTGTATTATAGTTGTATATATTATGCAAGGTTTGATCTCTTCTAAAGAATTATTACAAATTCATGCAAATTGAATTCAATTAAAGGTAGCATTAATTACATTTATTTTACGCTTAATAGTTGAAATGTTGCGTGCAACAATCCAAAAAACGAGTACAATATCGTGTAAATTGAATTCACCGGGTGGAGTTACTACAACTCAATTATTATATATTCAAGTTGTTCTTTCCAAATGAATAATTGCGAGCACCAATTAATTCAATTGCTTATAGTTTTTTATATTGGAGCAAATATATTTACATGCATTTCTATATATCATTAAAACCAACAAAGAAATATACTATTATGTAGCAAGAGCAACAGAGGGACACGATTCATGTATTCGATCCCTTTTCTGTTTCTTGTTTGAAGAACTGCAAACTTAAATTGGATGTAAGAATGCCGGAGCATTTTAAAGATTTTGTAGCATCAATATACATAGTTATTCGAAAAAAATATTTTTCCAATATAGTGTAAAAGATCAATTGGTTTCATATGTTTCGTATATTTTATCTCATTGGCGTCGGAAGCAAATTGAAAGAGGGGGGGGGGGTCTAAGTGAAGGAGAAAAAAATTCAAACCAAAAAAAAAAAAAAACTTGACAAGCCTATGTATCTTTATCGTAAATTGAGAAATGTGTAAAATTTAATGCGATTGTGTTTGATTTACAACACGAGGTACAATATATAGAGAATTAAAATCATGCAGACATGTTAATACCTATTTACAACCTTGGTGAAATACTCCAAGTATCATTGTGTATTGTTTACTGGGCTTATCAAAAATTATCAAGGTGATATCAACAGCCCTTGAAACGTTAAAGATCTGGGTGGAAAGTAAGCTCAAGGGTCATTTAAATGTATGAAATTTGATAAAAATATATCAAGATCAACAAAAGGTGAACAATTAAAAACAAGTGGAAGCTGTTCTTTTAGTACATTCGGCTGTAAAATTGATGTCTTATGGACACAAGTGCATTAGGCTATTGTCACTGTTAGGTTACCATGATTTAAATCAAAAAGTACTATAGAACGAGAGTCATTTGCACTCTTGGAAGAAGAATCAACATCCTATGTGGTATTTGTTGATACACATCTTTATTCATATTCTTACTACTCAAGCTTTCTAAATCTGAATTAAAATTTCACGTGGAATTTCCATTGAGTACTGAGTAGTCTTGATTTGAAACAATAGACTGTAAATACAGTAAAAATAAGTTGTTTTTTTTTTATCATGATAATTATTTTGCAGGGGCTCTTGGAGAAGTTCACATAAACGTAACAAATTCTATAAACCTTGGACAAGAAGACCTGACCGTTGCATGTCGGTACATCACAAACGACCCTGCAGTAACCGATGTTAACTCAATCCAGTTATATCGCAACACCTCCGGGCTGCTCGGCTCAGAAGAATCAAAGACAGTTTCTATAGTGTATGATCGTGGTTCCAACGCAGGCCTCATATCATGGCAAGATTCTGGAGTAGAAATCAGAGCCAACATTTCAGGCAACGTCGACTCCCTGTTGTCATCAATTCTTCTTTTACATATTCCCGCCAATCAAGTGCTATGCGAAGACGGCGCCACCTATCGGTGTGAGTTTTCAGTGACTAGATCAGGATCCCCTCTTGTTGAATTTAATGATGCGACCATCCTAACCAGAGGTTTGTCTTGCATTATTCTAGGTACACAAGAATAAAGACTTGTTAACAGTTAGCAAATCGATTGTGCTATTAATAGTATACTAGTATATACGGGTATAGTTAAGAAATTAAGTAATTTAAAAAAGAATGTATCAAATAAGAAGATCCGAAGCAACATTAGTCGTTCTATAAAACGAATCTTAACTTTGTACATTGCAGAGGGTCCCAAGGACATTTCGTTTTCAACATCGTCTTCTGAACAAGAACTTTTTTCGAACGCCACCTTCACTTTATACCCAGCAAACACCTCCGTTACTCTAATCTGCAATGTAACGGTCGGTTCGCAACCACTATCCATGCAGCTTTGTTTTAATAGTGATTCTGAACACAGTGAAACAGGATTTGTTCCATTAAATATGTCCAGTATTTCTGATTCGGGGATCATGGCAAATGGAGCATGTAATAATTTCAGAGAATTTCATTTCGAATACCACTTGGGAACAAACGTCACTGCTACCTTCCTCTGCTTAACTGGCCAAAACACGACATGTGCGAATGGAATTGTGGAAGGATCCTTCACAATATCATCTGGTACAAAGCTTTCATACTTTATTTTGAAATTAAGATCACCTTGTTCCACCATCCTTATTTTTACGATTTCATTAACAAATGTTACCGTACATTTAAATTAACTTGCGCAAGAAAAGTAAATAAAACGGTACAGCTGCGCATATACTACTGCCAAAACTGCGCACATATAAATTATATTTAGTTTATGTCTTCGTAATTAATTTATATGTTAAATTACTTTCTATAGTTGTCTATAATCTAATCTTTAGATCAGCAGAGTAAGCACGGTTCTACTCACATTTTATGAATGTCAATTTATTAGGATCCCTTTTACAGTAGAAACACATCAAACAACAACAAATAATCCTAGTAGTCCGGAGACGGAAACTTGGTTCACTGCTTCTGAACCCCAGAACGGGACATTGTTCACAACAGATGAACCAATTACAGAGACCAGTGAAGGCGTTACAGGAAACGATGTCTTGCTCACATCCATTGAAACTGATACTGAGAGCGAGTCCTGGGTCACGGCTACCCAACCTGATACAGAGAACGGGACCTGGTTCACAACTAACGAGGTCGATACAGAATCATGGACCAGCACGGAGTCGAACCCAGAGAACCACACCTTGTTCACAACCACTGAATTCAGACAAGAAAACGAGACATTATTATCATCCACCATTGTTTTATTTTCGACCAGTTCGGATATCGAAGATTTATTAACGACTGTAGAATCTAGCTCTGAAAATTATCAGAATGCTTCATTACCCACTGTCACACAACCGGATTCCACAAATGGCAGAACTACGGACAATGAAATGGTGTCCCAATCCACAGAACCAAACCTTCCTGATAATGGAGGATCAACCGAGGATGTCACGAGTCATGTTATGGCTACAGAGACTGTACACGCAATCACAGAGGATTTGTCAACAGACATCATGAATAACTCGACATCCATATCAGTTGTAACCGAGAATACATCACAACAGACAACATCAGAAAAAGAATTCACCAACTCTTCTCTAGCTCCCATTACAACAAATTCTTTTTCTACGCTTACAGACTTCAATTCCAATGAGGAAACATCAGAAGACACGACACTTGTATTCAGTACCATGGCTACAGAAACGAGTTCTATCGATTCCATTGGAGACATGACTTCGTCTTTGTACCACAGCAGTACAATTTCCAATAACACTGGTACTACCAGAAGTAGCATCATAAGTTCTTCCCAGGAAGGTAACCTCAAAGACGTCAAATATAGAGCTCTATAAATAGCATTTAGTACCCGTGATAGCGCTTATTGTAGCTAGCCAACAAATACATTGCTTTTCGCGATTATACATTTATGAATAGCGCGTATAGCGGTCGCTGCAATCTGTACTATAACGCTTTAGTTAAGTTATAGAGCAAGATTCTGCATAACTTTTTGCGTCGATGATAATTGTGTGAATGAAATAACATATCGACTATGTTTTTCGTTTCTCATTTCTTATCTCCTCAACTTAATACATTTTAGATTCAACAAGTTCAACGCTTTTAACGACATCTTCTGATTCACCAAACACACCGTCTTCCACAACAATAGGTGCTCCCCTCACTTCTACAACAGGTACTCCCTTCACTACAACAACCCGCGCCCCTGTTACTTCCACGCCCGGCAGAGAGACCACTACAGGTGCAAGTTTCCAGAAAGCTCGCTCTTCCGTTCTAAGTAAGAATATAATTCTTATCGAAGAAAAATACTTCTAATCCATTTTGTTTGTTTGGTTTTCTTTTGTTTCGAATCAACATTTGACATGTTTGATATTTCAAGAATTTGGATGCAAGTCTGTTAAAACAGATGTAAGAATTTCTTTCGCTGTTCATGTTTCATCTTAAGTTTTTATTTCTTATTTTACAGATTCCAACGCCTATTTGCTCGTGATTGTTTGTATTTTACTAGCTTAGTATACACTGCATCAGATGTATGCTGCGAGTTACTTGTACGAGGTCCCCAAGTCTAAACGATCAACCTGTCCTCATTTACACTGTCACAGACAGTCAACTGTAGAGTGTTTTTTATGATTGTCAAAATAAACTCATTAAAAGAAAAAAGAAAACGGAAAGGAAAAAATCTCTCCTATTAATACTGTAATCGAAGATTTAGGGATAGATAACGTTTCCCCTGTTCGTGCGTTTGTCTGTTTTTCTGCAGAACTTGAATCTTGGCCATAACTTCAGATTGGATAGAGCGATGACTTTTATGTTATACATGTGTACAAGACCTTTCTTTGGTTACCAACATATATTTCACCTCTTGACATTGGAGTTTGACCAACAAATTTACTAAAGTTTGACCTTGGCCGTAACTTTTGAACAAATGGCACTAGGCCTATTAGTACAATTCTCAGTTAATCTTGCACTTTTAGTAAGGTGTGGCATTGTCGACATTACATATTTAGCTTCTGAATTTACACAGCTTTCATACACTGTTGAAATGTACATGGGATAAAAATGTCAACGAGTGTAGAAAATAGCCAATAAAAAGGTCTCTTTCGGCAAAGAGGTTGGGCTTAAGTGTCTCATCGTTGTCAACAACAATTTTAAGTTTTTGACGTTATTAATTTCTTAACCAATGAGAATCTATTCGCCATTTGACAGACGCTGATTAAGTAGCGCCGAGAATGCCGGCCACGCCTTACTGAAAGTCCAAGGTTAACTGAGAATTGTACTATACTTCTAAATCGTCGTGTATACCCCGATATTAATTGTGACTTTTTCTTAGGAATAAATATTTTTGACTTTGACCTTAAAGTTTGACCCCCTTTAAAAAATATCTTTTGAGTGGCTTGTGCTTTCATATTTCACAGTTATATTTATTAGGACATTCCCTTTCTTTTTATTTCTAGAGCTTAACTTGGAGTTTGACTTTCAATAGAGAAATTATATCCTTTGCCGTAACCTGCCATACGAGTGTTTCACAACACATTTTGTTTTTACTTTTAGAAAATGTATACAATGTAGTAGTGCAAAACTTTTGAGTTGTATATTGTAACCCTTTCTTGTACTATTTTACATTCAGCATGTAATGTGTTAAATTTATAAAAAGTAAAATCACCAAAAATTCATAGATATGATTAATTATTTATTCGCAAGTGTAGCTAAAAGCATGAAAACTAAGTTTATCATTGATCTTTTGTGCATATTTTATCAATAAAATCTAATAAACGTTTCTTCATAATATTTTTTTTTATTTTAGTTTTTAATAAATATCGGATAAAAGTGTTTTGAAAACACGTCTATTCGCGGTTGCAGTCCTTTTTGAAGTTCAGCAACTTTTTGAAGTATTGTTTCAGTTATATTTTAAAGGTATTTGGGAAAAACGCACATGATTCGAACACTCTGTAAAGGTCAAGATAACGTACCAATACCTTCTCTATGACGTTTGTCAGCGTGGTTAATGAAAGAGTTTATTGAAGCACCCCCCCAACATTCGATTTTCCAATAACACATATGGATGGATTCAGACTACATTTTTAAAAAAAAAAATAGAGGTACTGTGAGCACTGCGCTCACTAAATGATACCCCTCCTGTCTCCCTCATGGGTATAATGGCAAAGTCGATGTTTAACTCTGAAAAACCCGAAATAAGGGTTAGATCAAAGAGTAAAATAGGAGGTGCACAATGGCATTATGTAATAAAGAATCTGTGAAATTATCAGTATATTTTATTCAGTGGTATAAGAAAAGTTGCGGACAAGAGATGGGTACCTCCTATTTATGAAAAAAGAAACTGTAGCTGAAAATCAAAATCCATTCTTGTTTTGAACACATGATGTCCCATTATGTTTCAGCTTTTCTGACCCAGTGGTTCTTGAAGAAGATTTTCTTGTTTTGAACACATGATGTCCCATTATGATATTGCATTGTTCACAAAGAAAATAACACACCATCCACTCATTAAATAAATCTTTTTTATTTTGTATGAAAGTATCAGATACCAATAATGAATTATTTATACATATAAATGTACAATGTAGCTGCCAGTGAAAGCAAAACTCCAAATATTAAATATTTCTCTGAAATTCTCTTCAGTGCCTTACTAAGTATTTATTTTCTTGATGATTTATTATGTCTGTTGAAAGGACGTGTATAGCATTATTTGTCAATATTAAACAAAAGTTCTACATAACAGTATCTATTTGAACAAAATATTGCGAACTTTTGCGGCTTACTCTTTTAGTACAATAAAACTTGTCTAATCTTTATCACACCATTGGTAAAAAGAAAATGGTTGGATTAGACAAAAGTTCAGACATTTTAAACATTTGAATTTATTGAGTAGTATCTAAAATTTACATCACATCAAGCAAACATTTTACAATAATTAACATTTGGATTAGAAAATCTTCACTGAATGTAAATTTGTGTAACAACAACAATGAATGCTTTTTAAAAGCCATAATATATGTAAGTGCTATAAAATATTAGATTAATTTTATTTTAATATGGAGAAAAAAATCAAGAATATTTGAAAATACGCTTTGACGGTAAAATGAAAATATTCATATATACAAATAATGCATATAATATTTCAAAGATGTCAGAAAACATATATGTCTCACTTGGCACTAACAACCATCTAATAAGAAAAAAAAATTAAAAACGGTCTCAGAAGAAGTCGTGAGCTTTAGCCCTAGGGGTAGACTTTTTCATACTTAACACGGGGGCTGCTTTCTTGGGTACAGGTGTCCCTGCATATTTCTGAGTACTTGCCGGCGTCCTCAGTTTTTTGGCACTAGATGGCGTTCTCTTGACGTTCCTCATTTTGTTGACGTGAGGCGTCTGCTGCCTGGTAGGTCTCTGGGTAGAGAAGTGCATCGTTCCATGAGGCGTTGCTACGGAAACATTGACATGGGACGCCCCCTCTGGTGTTTTAAGAATGCTCTGTTCTGGTTTCTTGTTCGGGTTGTAAGGTGCTGGGCTGAACTGAATACTTTTCTTAAAGTCTGGAAAAAAAGTACATGTATAAGCAAAGCGCAATCAAGAAAAAAGAAAAAAAACAAATGAAAATGCATTTTATCATATGCATGTTCAGTAAAACCTGTTTGAAGCTTAAACCTGTCAACAACTAAGTCTTTTTTTAAAGCAAATTACTAAATGGATAAAATGAATTATGGATATGACAAAGGACTATCTACTGTCCCTCATGATATCCTGTATAATTTATATTTCACTGAATAAAAAAATGTATAAACATGTAGTACACTCACCCACTGCTTTGTTTTTCTTCATGTCAAACGTAACTTTTCGTTTAGAAGTTTCACTTCCTTTCTCATTTTCCACCAGTTTCTGCAAAGGAGAAAAACAATTAAGAAAGATGACTTTAAAGCTGCAATAATTGGCTTCTTTTCTTTGTATAATACAAGATAATCATCTACTCTCTTAAGTTTCTATTTTTCTATTTACTGCTAATAATACACAGTGAGTTTGCTGTGAGATTCAGTTAAACAGGACATGTGTATCAGCATGTTATATAAACCCCTATGGTTTACCTTTGATGCCTTCCCTGGGTCTGTCTTTGGGGTGGCAATCCTGGCCACTGCTTTCCTCACATAGGCTGGAGGGGTTGGCACACTGGTTTCAAACTGAGCAAACTTCTTGACCTCCTGACCTTTTCCTTGTTTTTCAAACAGTCCCTTTAACTTGCCGGAGTACTTTTTATTCGGAACCCATATCTCCACCTCCTCTTCTACATCCTTTTTGTGAGCCACTTCCTGGTCGTGTATATGCTTTAGTTCTAGGGTGTCCAGTGGGACCTTTCTGTGACTCGATTGCTTACTTACACTAGCAATGTCTTTCTCTAATGTTGAACCACTGTCCTCCACATCAAAGGGAGGAGCTTCAAAATCTTTTTCTATGTTCTCAGCTAATTTTCGAGTCACTGCTCTCTTTGGTGTTACAGAAATCCCAGCTGGCTTCTGAGTTTCTGAACTTTTCACTGCTGCTTCTGTTTTTCTGCTTTTCACATTTACAACAGAAGGTTTTTCTACACCTTGACTTGAATCTGCTCGTTTCATCTTTTTCAAAGGCTCTGTAGATTCACTGTCCTTTTTCCGTTTACCCAGTAATTTGTCCTTTAATTTTGTGAGTCCTGTTTCTTTTTTCACTTTTTTTTGCCCTGTCCCTGGATTATCCTCAGTAACACTGTCTGTTTTGTTGATCTCTGTTGAACTATCCATTTTTCTTTTCTTCACAGTTGTGTCCTCTTCATTTGCTAGGATAAAAGACAACAGGTTGAAAACCACAACAGGAGAAGAATCTTAACCCTCCAACCCCAATATAAAAGTTTTATCCATTACATAGATTACATAGGCAATGGCCAATATTACTAATGAAACAAAATTAACTTAAGTATTCTGAATGTTTGATGCCTATACTGACATACATGTACACTGTACTATTTAGTGATGGGGAATCGGAAAAAAATCAGAATCGATTATCGGTAATAATCGGCTGGGCATAATCGATTAATAATCGATAATAATCGAAATTTTGAACTTTAATAAAATTAATATAGAAAAGTTGAAACTTATTCAGATTTCTGTCAGACTTTTACAAAAAAACAAAAACAAAAAACAAAAAAAAAAACATTTACTTACATAAAATATTCAAAAATGTTAATTGAAATTTCTTTTATAAAAAGTGGAAAATAATATTTTGTTTTCTTTAAACAATATAGGACTATTTAAGACTATTGAAACAGAATGGGAATTTATTTTATTTTTTTTTTATAAAGTCCATGCAATGGGTATTTTACTGATATTAGTCCCACCTTGTATTTAATACATGTATATTTTTCTTAAAATTAGTTTTAATTAGTTAAAATAATACAATTGCAAGTCTTAAAAGTAATTATCCAGAAGTTAGACTTGTATTTATGATAATAATTACGTTTAAAGATTGACTAGACTAATTAGTTTTCCTTTGTATAGTAAAACCTTGCAATATTAGCGTTTCCTGGTATTAGTCTAACCCCATATTTAATCATGGCGGTAAAAGTATCAACAAGACACGGAATCCTTCCATGTTTTCAACGTTCATCACTGCTTTTATGCTCTTCACTTGGATTTGGTAATAAAATTAAAGTATGACAATTTTATTTTTTGTTAACTAGTGATGTCGGCGACATTTATTTTATAATCGATTAGTAGCATCGAAGAGCTCTTAACGACCGACAATCGATTGTCGGTGACAATCGTTCCATCACTAGTACTATTTGTACCAAATTTCATTGACATTAGATGTGGATTCTACTGTGGTCAATAGTGACTGTACAATTACAAGTACCTTTCTCCTGGTTTTTCTTTCGTTTCCGATTCTTCCGTTTTCTTTTCTGTCTTTGGACCTCTGTTTCCATGGAGATAAGCTTATTGACAGACTTAGCGAACTCTTCTCGGTTGATGTAACCTTTCTCTAGGTCAGTGTAATCGTTTTCTTTGGTTGGCAGGACACCTTCATTCAAATCACGAAGCCTGAAATATCATAATAATTGTTGGATGTATGGCTATTTTAATAAAAGGACATACACTGTAATAAGTATTTGTATATCTCTAAATTAATAAATCTATGAATTGAGGACAATGTATATGTGTAGACTTTTCGTGTTCATAATTGAATTAAGATAAAGTTTCTCTAAATTTATTAGTTTTTGCAAGCCCGTCAGACTCATTAAATCAGTTGTTTTGCCTCCACAGAATGTCAAGCAATGTGATTTATCATCATACAGGCTTTGTGCATTTCTAGTAGTTTGTGTAATACTTTACTTAAATAAAGAGGCAATAGAATGTAAAATGAAATCATTACTAAAACACACAAACAGCAATTTAAAGCATTTGATCATTTCATTTTAATGACAAGTTTGGCAAACCTCACGTGAAATTTTAAACATATACATGTATTTATGTGATTGGTATCCATATTTAACAGCTCATCATATCTACACTTACTTTTTCACAACATTGTAAATCAAGGTTCTATGCCGACTTAAACACTCGGGTTTCTTTCCAAGTTCAAACAACCTGTCAGCTATTGCCCCATAGTCAAACTGAAAAAAAAGACAATAACATCAACCATAGTTAATAAGTCCTAGCACTTTAGAGACTTCATCTCTACAAAGACTATACCACATTTCCCATTTCAATGATGTCAGATGGTCTCTGCTCCATTTTATTTTAATATTATATGAAATGCCATGTAAGTATAAAATATTAAAAAAATACATGTGTACTGGATATGACAAAAAAGGAAAATGACATACATGAATAAAAATAATTAAATCCATTGAATATATTCATTTTAAAGAATTAAAAAACAATAATTTAACATCTACAGCTTGATATGAACTCTAAACATCCCTATGCCACAAACCGGGATTCTCCTATTGTTAAGTGTATGTTGAAATACATGCACAGTGTACCTAAGATTCTACAGGGAGAACTTTATAAAAATAAACAGAGATACAGAATGCCCTTCAGACTCATTAAATCAGTTGTCCCCTCCATGGATTGTCAGGTATTGTCACAGATCATCATACAGGGCATACTGATTACTTCAAAGATGTACATGTATATGTTCTTCCCTATCTTTGACTTATGATGTCTTCATTACAATTTTAATTGGAAGTTGCTATGAAAGTCATTTCCTAAAATAAAATCTACTTAATTATAATAAGTTTTTAACAATAACATCTTTTATTTGGAAACATTATGAATATCTCAAAAGAAAAATCATTAGACAGGCCTTTTTCCAATTTGAAATATTCAAAATAGGATGTTTATCAATAATGAGGTCTTTTTTTCCAGGGTGGGTGGGGGGGAGCATTATTTTTCACATAATGCAGATTTCAAGATAAGCTCTTCAGAAAGCAGAAAATATATTGATGTCTATTGTTAAAGGAAATGCATTGATTTCAAATAAAACCTTAGATATGGACTAAACACAGAAATTGGCTCCATTCCTGATGATAAATGTAGATAACAAGGAATGTTATTAATGACTGAATTATACAAAACGTGATGATGCTGAGGTCTACCAAAATACACTTATCCCAAAGTATACTCTTCAAAAAAAGAAACGCATAATAGGAACAATGCCCTGAAAATTTGTGATAGTTTTGTCATACCTTTTATTTTTGTATGGATACGATGTATCCGAGTGAAATGAATGATTTTTTAATGCAATTGTTAACTTTACAGTTATTCTACAAGTCTCACAGACAAAAAGACTTGATTTTGCAAAATTTCCACCAAAATTTTTATCTCAATTTTCATTTGTTGAATTCCGATGCAATTCCTTCAGGTACAAAGAGGCTATCAAAAGCGGGGGTTCTCGATATTTTGAATCTTGTTTTATGTGAGAAATGACGTTTCCTAAAAATGCTACATCTGAATGTTGCGTGACACAAAAAGGAAAATGGGCGACTGGAAGCAGGGGTACCGCAATCTACAATTGCAAGAGGTTTTAATGTTACACACAGACCATATCTAACCTATAAAACATAAACCATTAACATTGAACACCCAATGTTCGCAAAAAATATGGTAGACTACGTGTGACATCAGCAACACAGCGTCACTTCCGAGGATAATGCAAATTGCATGAATGTAATGCAAGGACGCCATCTAAAGCATTAGCTATCCCTGAACTGCACAGATCATCTCACAAGACCGTTTTCAGTTGACTACGAATTATTGCAAGAGGATTATTCATGCCATTTTTCGACCCCACAACACCCCAAATATCGACTTCAAAGATCTCAGATGAATAGAGTATGACCACAGCATCACTGTTGAACATTTTGGTGAACCTACTAGTCCAGAATGTTTATTTGAAAGCCTCTCACAAGTTTAAGAGTGCTAATGCTTTTTAATGAAGGTTAGATAGATAACTGCCTCTAGGACGTTAAAAAAAGTTGGTGGTGGTAGTGTAATGATATGGAAAATGGTATTATAAGAAAGTAAGATTGACTTGGTTCGAATTCAATGGACTTTGATGGAAAAAGGTACTCTAACCATGTTCTGCCTCCACATACCCATTCAATTTTGCAGTATCCTAGAGCCGTATTGCAATCTCACAATATACAGCCACATATGGCTCGTTTGATACACCTATTCTTGCAAAGAAACAACAACCTGTTTCAGTCACAGTCATCTAAATCGCTAGATTTAATTCAAATTAAGTAGCATTGGACAAAATGGATTGATATGATTTGCCAAAGACAATTGCATCCCCAGACTCTGCAACAGCTGACTAAAGTTCTACATTTGGAGTGGGAGAGTATACCTATACAGTTTTTATTACACACGTTTGCTTCCATTAGATGCCGTTTGTGGCTCTCATTTGTTTCTGCGGGGGGCATACCAGATATTGATCTTTAATGGTCTTAAACTGACTATAATTTTAAAATTGTTGAGTAATTATGACATTTAGATAGTATTCCTGTTGCTTACCACATTTCTGTTTTATCAATGCATCATTTTACTAAATAATCTTTATGTTCAATGTGTCACTAAAATTCTACGATACGTTTCTTTTTTTGAAGAGTATATACAACTCTGGGGTTAGTAAAGCACATCTCAATGTATAAAAAAACTGGATGATAAATAGCATAGCGAAAAATATACATCGTATTCATTATTTTTGAACAATTATGTAGATTCTAAAAATCAATGACACAAAAAGAAAGAAATGCCCAGCCCTTCAGACTCATTAAATCAGTAGTTTGCCTCCACAGTTTGTCAGGCTATGTAAGAGTTTTCATCATTTTGGGCTGGGATTTGATCAGAGACCTCCAGAGAGTTCATTGAATAAGAGTTCCTTCCGTTTTTTTTCCTCATATACATGCATGCTAAATAAAAAGATTTGTGTAAAGTACTTCTTTTTTCTGCATAGTATCAATTTATGCTATGTAAACTGTTAAAAATTTTCCAAAGAATTTTTTTCAATGGACCTTTACATACATGTAACTTAAAGGTATATAAAGAGAGTTTAAGAAATCTGCAGATTAAACAGAAATAGAGATTCTGCAGAATTATTCCCCGGTTGAAATAAGTATGTATAAGAAATGACTTACATCAAGTCTAAGAGGAGTGTCATCATCATCCTCATCATCAGAATTCTCAAGTTCTACTCCATTGTTGTTAGCCTCATCTTCTCTCTAGTGATAAAATGTTCTTGGTTAACAAACATGCAATTGCTGTAATGTTCAATATGAATATCAAAATTTTAATGCTTCTTAATGAAAGACTATTATTTATTATAATTCTATAGATAGACTTAAACAAGAGATGTTTCTGAAACACTTATGCCCCCCCCCCTCCAGACGTGCTTGTGAAGAAAATGAGTGGAAATTGCAAAAAATTAGAAATTTTCACAGAAACTGCAAATAATTTGAATTTTTCTAAGTCAAAGGGTCATTTTCTGTCAAAAAATACTCAATTGTACCCAAAACAGAACTTGGCCTAGACATTTTTATGATAAATCTGTATACCAAATTTCATTTCAGTATGTGCAACCTCAATATGTTTTTCATTCTTCGAAGAAGGGCATAATAATCAGGATTGACAATTTTCAGGGGGAATATTTAGATTTATACTTTTGAAAGTAGTTGTAGCATCTGGTAGAAAACATGTTAAAAAGTACACAAACGTCACAAAGAGAATGTTTACATGGACAAAACGTGTGTGTACACCTGAACTGCTTAAAACATACATAGAAATGTAAGTGAAAAATTAATCAGTACATATAGTATGCTTGCATGTTCATTATTGCCAGGCTAGGAAATGTTATGTCACTCAGGACTATCTATTGTACACTATGCCAATAACAATAGTTCATTCCTTCCAAACACAATAAGAACTGAAACCTGTAGCAGCCTCTCTGCTCTCTGTTTAGCATCATCAACAGTCTGTTGTATTATGGCATCAAAAATCCTGGATATTACTCGCTTTACCAGGGTTGTGCTGAAATTCATTTTTTTTTTTTTTAAAAATGAGAATCCATTCATCAAAAACTTTATAACAAAACTTTTACCTTGGAACACACTTAAAAGATTTAAACAGCAAATTATCAAACCTGAAATCCCACATATAAAGCAATCAACTTACTTTTTGGACTCAACTAAAAATGCAGAAAAGGGCTCTAAAAACTGGACCACTTGGCTTGGTGAAAGCTGAAAAGATAATGTAAGTATTTTGTATGAACTTTTATCACCTGATTATTTTAAAATATTGATCCATTTGTGTGAATACAAGATAATAATGCAAACTATTTTTACCATATAAAGATAAACCACTAGTTAAGATGTAAGCCTACATGCCACTTAGGGTAACAAGTACAGGCCTGGGGGCCATAAAACTCCGACGACCTCACTTTTGATCTCAGTCTCACTTTTTTTCAAAGGAATTAATAGTGGAAAAAGGAGAATGAGATCAAAAGTGAGCTCGTCTAAGTTTTATGGCCCCCAGGCCAGATCTATATGAAATTTGAAAATCAACCTGACTTTCACTATTTTTCATTAAGTTGCCTCTCTTTTAAAAAGGTGATCTGAATTTGAAGTTTTGCATCACCATCCAAGATGTTTTGTGTCATGTTGAACTGAAATTGGTTCAAAGTTTTGGTTTTTGAGAAGATGTAAAAAAAAAATGAAAAAGTTGACAGATGGACTATCAGCTGAACTACGTAAAGCTCCTTTGCATCTTTGGCTCAAGTGAATTATGAAATGAAAAGGACAACCCCTCTCCACATCTTATTATCAAAGAACTCTTACCACATCAGCCCCCGACTTCTGAAGCTCGTCCAGATAGATGTCAGTAATGTGGATTTTATAGCCATCATTTTCTGCCATCAGGACCTGGTCCTTCATAACTTGGCAAAACAAATCTATGTGATTCTTCTTCCACTTTGCCTTCTTCAGTAAGGCTAGGCCTTGGCCAAGCATCTCCCTGGTTAGCTAAAAACCACAGCAAACTAGAACTGTCCAGTAGGGACAAATACCCCCGCTGGGTTTTTCAGAGTAGGTGCCAATTCAGAAAAAATTTATGGATCTAGAAAGAGGTATTCACTATTGTCTAATAAAGTGCCTTGCCACAGCATGATACGCCCATCAAATATTGTTCTGATAATCATAAATTATTTTAGGGTGCGAGAAAATTAAGTAACCTTGATTAACAGATTGACACAGATTTCAATGATCTAATTTCCATTTCTTATCATGTTTAAAATATTGTACATACATCTCTAAGAGACTTACAGTGTAGGGATTAATTAAAACAAATAATACATCATATAATTCTAAACTGGCTGTGTTAGAGCTTAACAAATATCCATCTGCAGCTCTAAATTGTTTATTGCATATTTTATGAAATAATGGAAATGCTACAGTCTAATAAAAAAAAATCAAAAATTAATTATTCTTTAGACTATAAAATTCTAAGTGAGACATGACTGCAATTTGTTGCAAATATATAAAAATTGAAATGTAATATTTTTTCAATGACCACATGTATAATTAATTTTAATTATATTATACAATACTAATTCAGTTTTAATCATACACTAAAACATCAATTTGTTTTAATTACATTACACCAATTGAAAGATCTTTATCTGAACTACAGCCATCAAGAACTCTTAATTAACACAAGCAACTATAAGGCCATTTCTTTTTGCCCAACTCCAAAGAGATAAATTAAGATTAGATCTACAGATGCTCTTGGCAGTTAACTCCCGACAATGAACTCATCAGTTTCTCTCTAATTTGACATGCACATTTCTGCTATCAAAAATTCTCCTTGACCAGTGCTTGATAATTATGCCCATGGGACAAACTGAATTCCTCTCAAATCATTAACATTTGTTATAGAATTTGCTGTAAAGTATATGATAAAAAATAAGTTTTTACTTAATTTAGCATTTTTTAATAAGGATACATCTATATTTTTACATTTTTTAGGATTATGAAATTTAAAATTTTAAAAACTTAGCTTTAAAAAAAAAAATCACTTAAATTAAAGGTCACAGTGACCTTGAAATAGGTCGTGACACACCGTCTACCCAAGATGCATAAATTGTCCAAGTTTGATAATTGTAAGTCTAATAGTTTTCTAGTTATGAGCCAAACAAAATCACAAAATAAAAAAGAAAAAACGCCTGTAAAATGCAGAAAAATCATCCAATCATGATGAAAATCCCAGGTGCACACCTTCATATGGTGAAAATTAAGGCCAGAGTTATTTTATCTTTAGGTTTACGGATTTTTTCAACCAAAATGTCTATTGGGTGGCGACAAAATAAAAATAAAAATAATTTGAAACTTCTCTCAAACGGAACATCGATATCGCTGATTTTAAAAAACACGACCACCCGTCTTTTGAATTGGTAAAAATTAGAAACATTTCATGAAATTTGGAAAAATTATTGGTAGTAAATGAGAATCAAATAAAAGGAACTACAAATAATTTTACTGAAGGTTAACTTCAGATATTATTTGAAATCATTAAAGAAAATCTCTTTTAAATATTAAAGATGTTGATCATGGAATATTGGGAACATGCTTATTCATTTATCTAATTTTTTTTTTTTTACAAAAAAAACCCCAACTAATTTACTTTGATTTAGATTCATAATCTTGTAAACTATATTACATGTATATTAATTATCAATACGAAGTCACATATTATCTTTACTTCTTTTAGTAAATCCCTACAATGTTGCCTATTTCCTTTTATTAGCATGACCTTATATCTACCAATGGTGGTCAAAGTAAAATGTCAACAAGGCATGTATCTGGGACCTATAACCATGATAACAAGCTATTTGTTTGGTTATATCGATATTTTCTTTGTTTCATACACTTATCACAAAAAGTTTAGCATGTGTCTGGGTTTGGGGAATAAATTCAAGTTGAAAAAAAAAACGTACATAGTCTTTGTGTGCAATTTCTATAATTTTTGTCCAGTTTCAACATATTAATACTTTAATTACTTTTGAATTGGAAGAAAAATATTATCAATGAGAAAAAATAGCGAAGTTATGTCATTGAAACAGCTGATTTTTGGTGGTTATTTTTATTTCCATAAAAATCACAGAAGATTACGTTTTTAACAGGACTCTTTGGGGAAAAGAAATATTGCATCTCCCATAGTTTGCTCTTTTTTCATTCTCTGTGAAAAGTTTCTGGACATCGTGCTATCTTCAAGACATTTTGACTGCACTTCAAAATAAAGACTTGCTTGCCGCCATGTTTACACGTTTCTGTTTATATGGTCACTGAAACGTTTGAAAGAATGACAGGTTTTATTACATGTTTGGGACTCAGACGTATTATAAATATTAGAACCCTGATGATCAGGCATGAATTTTTCCGGAAAATTATCGAAAGTGGTGATAAAATCCATTATTTTTATTTTCCAGAACCTGAAAAAATCGGGTCGGCGGATCCGTAAACCGAAAGATATAAAAACTATGGCCTAAGTGTATAAATTTTCAGACAAATCCATCCAACAGTTTCTGAGAAACAGGACAAAATCTTTATACAGACAGAACAGACAGACAGACGGACATGGTGATTCCAGTAAATAGGCCCCCCTAAACTTCGTTTGCGGGGGTATAATAATCACAAAGTTTTCACAATTCTGATCATAAATACAACCTTCCTAAGCAAGAGACCCATAGACCAAAACCATCAACTTCTGTGGAATTATTTTAATTCATGTATATGTATGTCAATGTTTCACATTGTGAAATCTAAGACTTTCATGCAAAAAGAACTCTGTGTTAATCCAATCAGCCTCATTAAATCAGTATAAAACTGTCATGGAAGTTACAGTTTGTTTCTGTTTTATCATCACCTTGGACAAACACTACATCTATGGTTTATTTTCAACCTTTCCACATAAAAATCTCGATCAAATATGACTAAAATACCATCATAAATTTGTCCATTCTCCATCGATCTATGCCACTCCACTCTCGGGACTCAGTTTGGAAGAACACCCCTAGGAATACCAGAGAGATGTCCACCTTCCCAAACACGTGCAATAGCTTACCCATGTTGTCGGAAAGTTCCTCCTGAAACATGAGAAAGGAAATCTATCATTCACAATAAGTTTTTGATTAAAAATGATATTAGTTTATATAATAAGGATACATAATTAAACAGGTTGGGACCACTCGCCCAAATGGGATATAATAGGCCGTTTGGGATAGAATATCCCAAATGGGCTATAAATTTACAGTGCAAAAAATGAAAATTTTTATTTTGGATTTAAATATCATAAATCCGCATCAGGTCACTTAAAAAGGAATAAATTTTGGTTGACAAGTTTTTTTAGGGCCAAAGATTGATCCTGAAGTTCCTCAACTTCTTGGGGCCACCCGTAGGATTGCATAAAAACTTGCTTACCACAAGTTATTCAGATTTAGGTGCCCTGATGCGGATTTATGATACATGTATTTAAATCCAAAATAAAAATGTTCATTTTCTGCACTGTAAATTTATAGCCCATTAGGGATAGTCTATCCCAAAGGGCCTATTATATCCCATTTGGGCGAGTGGTCCCAACCTGTTAAATCTAATTCTAATTCTTGGGATAAAATTGAAATTCAAAGTTGCCATGAATAGCCACTCTGACCTGAATAAGTGGTTTGTCCTGCATCCACATACAGTAGTGTAAACCTTTCCATATTTTTAAGAAGTCTGCTTCTGGAAGGGAAAGAAAATGACAAAAATTTAAAAATTTTACACAATCTAATATGCGCAATGGCTTGTGCACATAAAGCTCATAGATATTATCAGTAAGATGAGTCTGTTTCGATAATAACATACAGTTTACTAGTTGTCTGCTACATTTTACAAAACAATTTACAAACACACGTGGTAAAATTATTCTTGCACGAATATCACAATTTCATTTTGTTTGAATGCTTTAATCACCCTTTCCGTCACTTGACCGAGATTGGAGCCACTTCTTTAATTTTTTAAAAGCACTGTCTCTTGTTCTCTTTTCATTGGCCGCAAGTTTTTGAGCAAAATGAACCTCTGCTGTTGGACAGGGTGCAGCCATTTTTCTAAAATCCCCGGATGCATTATTGGTTTCCCGAACCCGAGGTTTTTCTTGCATTTTAGACAAGAGTAAAATGGTTTGTTTTGTCGGATGGCAATTAAAATCAATCAGTATCATAACAAGTAATGATATTTATTGTTATTTATCTACTAACATCCAAAAGCCAAGTTTTTGTGTAAAAAATCATAGAATATAAACAGATAATTTTTTTTAATATAGATTTCTCATCGTCCACATAAAGGATAGGCGATACCGTAATTAATTATGATATCCTTCGGAGCACACTTGTATTGTATGCTGGGCACCCCTACTTATTTTAACCACAAGGAGGGGTGTCCCGTATACGAAACAAGTGCCTGTGCTTCGGAGATCAAGACTCCGACAAACTTTTGGAATTCCAATGGACACTATTTAAGCTCCTTTATTAGCTTACCTGTTGTTTTTTTTTATATTCCTTAAATATTATCTTTAAAACATATTTTAAAATAAAACAACAGAATTTATTCAAATACTCAGTTTTAGACGAGAATAAGAAAACTCTTGATGTGGTCTTCAACTCGACATTCAGAAATATCGACAACTTTTGAATTATCCCCATTCGTTTGTCGATCCGATATATCACACGTCTGTCAGATCTGTTCATATTTGAATGTTTTACTGACTATGGCCGATCAGGGCCAACTAGCTGCAGAACTGTAGCTCTTCGAAAAATATATATTGACAGACCGGAGACGGTCTGTCAATATATTTTTTTCGGGGAGCTACAGTTCTGCAGCTGGGGGCCAACTAACTACTCAATAAAACGGCAAAAGAAATGACTTGGGCTTCAGTTTTCCCTATTTGTGTAGCAATATTCTGCTATCACCTGTACATATTGCTTATATTTCCAAACTTACCTGACACCAAAGAGCATGCTATGAGTGCGATAATTTTTAATCCAGGCAGATAGGTTACATGTAACTGATGTTACAAGATTTTTAACATGCCCTATCAAAGTCAGCATTTCGTGAATGCTATGGTCGTTATGTTGACCTCTTTTGCAAATATATAACCTCTCATAGGGTGGTATATTTGCTTACTTTTTTGAGGCCTTTGATTTTCTGCTAAATTTGATTATAAAATGTTCCGTATACCTGATCCATTCAAAGGGTCCAATGCAGACGTGATCAATCAACAGGGGAAGCTTACTCCTCCTTGGCACCTGATCCCACCTCTAAAATTTCCGGGGATTCCGTGTTTTAAGTCATGTTCACAGATTTGTATTTCTATGTACTGGATCTTTTGAGTTCGATCGTTGTCCTCACCTTTTCATCTCCGACGATGAACTTCTCAAAATATCAGTTTTAAAAAAAGGATATAATTCTTATTACTTCTAAGCAAATTTTAAGTGATCCATCGAAACAACTGTTCATAAATGCAAATCTTTGACATTGAAATACTATATAAATTATATATATCTCATACTCATCAACTTTGTTCATTTGATGGTGCCTCTTGTGTCTGAAAGAGATTCACTGGGCAAGTTCTCAAATCCATGGATCGTTGATAATAAAAAATCCCTTTTATAGAATATGTAAAATAATTTAATCAGACATGATATATCTGGATGGAAAGATGCGTTGTTCCATCCTCAGGTGGACCCTCCATCATCGGCTGTTTCGGCGCTGTCCACTACAGCCTCCAGAGGTGCGCCGACTGGGATGATCAGGTCCAAGCCTATAACCACTTGGCTCTACATCACTGCTGTTCTATTTTACTGTCTATCTCACTACTGTTTATTGTCTTTCCAATTCTCTGCTCTTCCTCTCCACAACTACATGGACGTTAATTCCGCTTCCCTGCACAGACTCCCTATCAGATTGATAGCTCCCATGATGCCAATGGCTCTCAGTGCCCTCCACATGGACTGCCTCACGAATCCTCTACAACCCACTTCCACTGGGAAAACACCAGACCTTCCATCCATTTTGCTGACAATCCTTCAGAAGGTCCTGGTACATCAGATTTTTCCTTTCATACGCATTCTCCATCCTATCTTCCCATGGCACTGCTATAATTCCAAAATAATTGTCTGTCTTGTAGCCACTGACCAAATTACTACCTCCGGCCTCTTTTTTGTAGCTACTAGTATCATTTTAGATGGAAATGCTAATCTTTCCTTGAGGTCTGACTGCATCTATCAATCTGTTATTGTCTCCAGCAGACCACTTTCTTCAACACTAACTTCATGTCCTTTTTCACCTTATTTTACAAAGTTGACAAATCTCAGACCCTCTCTGTTTTTCTTTGACTTTTTGATACTTTTCTCCACGGTGTCAGCTATATTGGCTAGGACTCTATCATGTCTCCAAGTGTATCTCCCATCTTTTAAAGCCTCTGAGCAAGCTGATAATATGTGCGCTAAGTTTGCTGGTTTACCACCGAGGACACACTTTGGATAATCTGTCATTCTCCATGTTACCAGATTAGTTTGACTGGGAAGAACATCATAAACTGATATCAGCTTAAACTGGAGTAATGGGCATCATCATCAACTTAAAGTTCAGTTGTTTAGTTACTGATCTTGACCAACTGGTAAGGAATACCGGTAATTCCATGTAAAGATTTCTAAAAGTGTCTGTAAGGTGTGTTTATATAAACATTTGCATATTCCTATGTAACCAAACAAGCTTTATTTCTTTTTTGATTTCAATTCAGTTGTGGCAATTAGTAGTGCCAGTAAGAAATCGGATTAATGAAGAAATTATATGGTCATTACAAAAACAATAAACATGTTTGACCATGACTGACCTTTCTCTGATAGTTAAGAATCCATGCACATGAGACGCAATTATTCACAACTAAATGTTTTAAAGTTTCTCACAAATAACCTGACGCTCCGTGGATTTTCTTGAGTATAGATTTTATGGAATTGTAATGATTTCGTTGATATTTATCCTTAACTTCAAAGAACTCATGTTAAATGTACGTCTTGAGCTAAGATCCATGTTTTCCTTTACTGTTATAGGCTTTAAGTTTTTATCTTTTTTGCTGTTTTGTTCGACATTGATTGTTTGAACGTAGTTGATATCTCTGATGAGAAACTCTGGAATGTTCCCCAAACAACTCACAAGAAATATACAACTGCATACACTGTATATCATTTATTGTCAAATTAGAGCCCAAGATTGATTATAAATATGGAAAAAGAATTAAAGATTATATGCTGCACTGTATCTGCAATTTATTATATATAACATGTATATATATCTATTTAGTATTTAACTGCAATGGGGAGCAAGATCGAAGGGAGGGCATCATGCATGCATGAGAATAGTATAAATTGCACTTCTTTCTTATACAGAGAATGTGAAATACAACGAACACACATTGCTAACAGTAATTCGTATTATTTAGCAGGCTGTCCTATGACAATAAAATTCTTAAATTATCAAATAAAACTACTAAAAAATCTTGGATTTTATGTCAATTTGCATTTTTGCTAATAATTCTATTTTAATTCTATTCTAGTAATTTTGAAGACGAATTCTTTCAAAACGTGTTCTTATGTAGTTTGCAACTGTTATTCTTTCATGTCTTTGCTCCCATAAGATTTCTTTTAGAGACATTTTTAAAATCTAATATATATGAGCCCTAAGAATTAGTCTGACTACTTTAATTTGACCGTGAAATTAAATTTTGATAATAATGCTTCTTTTATTATCATGCTATCCTTAAAAAAAAAAGAAAAATAAATAATTCATTGTCCTTTAAACACTACTTGAATTATTAATTCATTTTGTTCTACGGTGTAGAGCTTTAGAAACAAGTCCATCGGATCTAAAGCAAAAAACGCGTAAAGTCCAATTCAGGTATGTGCTAGAAAGATATAAAAGTTAATACGTAATCATATTAAACTTTATGGGCCCATATAGAGATTTACATCAGAAAGTCACAGTTTAAAGTCAAAAGGATTAGCCAGATTAGTTGTTTTATATATATGTAAATATTGGGCGAAATAGATATTTAAATGAGAAACGCGGATATACCACAGACAAAGCTGGAAAGTCAAATATTGTTGGATTATAGCAGCGCAAGTGTTTACCATGCTTAAAACCCTGCACAGGTATATGAACACTATTTATAGTTCAGTCGGAAATGTGAGGCCGCATTGGATGAAGTTTCTTGAATCCTGAATGGCATTTACAACGCTGCTGAATGTAAAATCACATTGTTAGAAGTGTAGGGGGACATTTTTAATGCATAGATTGACGGCCACATGAATTCATCTTACGACGTTCACAGGTAATTTTTCTAAACATTTTTTTTCCTTCGCTTTTTTGCATGTTTCCAGGTAAGTTTACAGTTGGGGTACTTTTATGGCCTGCAATGGCAAACCCGTGGGTATAAACAAAGCCATTAAGTATGGACAAACTTGATTAGAACTTGTTTTGTACCCAACATCTGAGAATTAAATATTTCCCTAGGTAAAACATAAATTTATACTTATCGTCTGCTATGAATGTGTACATGTTACACTTTTTCTAAAGGGTGAAGAGACACCATATTTGATATAGATTTTCACACCTAGGAATCATTTTGTCAATAAACTTGTCAGTCGGATCGAAAGAAGGATAATTGACCCAAAGTGATTGTAAATAAACCATGTTTAATATTGTCTTATCCATTAACCGAATCATAAATTAAATTTTTATGATATATTTGACCACTTTATATAGAGGGGGTCTTAATATTTATACAGTGTGTTTGTTTCATTGCAGTGTACTTCGTTCGTGCAACTTGACAAAGCAACAGAAAATATCTCCAGGAGTCTAGGGATTTGTCTTCTATGTCACAATCAAGGTTAGTTATAAAAGCTTTTTATGACTAATTTATACATACTTTAAGGGTTTTTAAAAATACTTTGATTTGCATAAAGGAAACATTTAAGTTAAATTATCGAATCTTATTTCGACATGCATGCACGGGCCTCAGAACACCCGACTTTTGTTGTGCAGTGCTCCGCTGCCGCAGACGTATACAATTGAAACCATTACACCTCTGAATGTTTTTTTCTTTTCGTTTTCTGCTGTATATAAATGGTAATATCGGAATGTGGAAGCCTTGAACGGGACCCCAGAGAGCCTAGTCAGAGTTTGACATATGAATATTGTCTAATACTTCTATCTCAAAGTGATATTGAAGGTTGTTATACAAGAGCGGCGATGGAAAAAAGACCGATCTCAGAATTGTTAAAAGAGAGGAAATCACAATAGAACTTTCTTAAGGGGATGGAGTGGCCTTTCACTTTAGAGCTAAAATCCTTGCAAAACATAATGAGAGAAAACTCGGTTTGTAAAAATGAATGGTACCATACTAAATCATAAGAATTTGATAAAGTAATTGGTGTTTCAAACTTGTCAAAATCCGAGATGAAATACCATATTGTTTAAATGTGATCTTTAAAAGTGATATTAATCACGATGTTGTAGATTGAGATCAAGTGATTATCTCGACACGCCTGAGTAAATCTTTTTTCTCCGATTTCATTGGCAATTGACACCATCTGATATGACCAAAGATAGTCATCACGAATTTGTTTCCACCATAATGTCTCTTGTTTTCGCGATTTATGACCAGATAAAGATATTGGACTTCTCTGGTTCCATGTCTAGTGTACGGGTGGACGATTTTCGGATTAAATATTTAAACGTATCTGGTAATTAAACCCCAACCTTCGGGTGACCCTCGAGGGCCCATTAACAACATACTTACACCTTTACCCCATTAATCAATAAACTTAATTGTTATTTATTACACACTGTGTCATCGCCCAATTGCACTTTAAAATTCGAAACATGTTTTTCTCATAATTATTAGGTGGCAGAAACCCAGAACATTTCTGAATTATTCATTATAGGGCATAATGTTTGTATACATGGTATACGTTATCTATTTCCTCTTACACACTGTTTATCCATGACGAGACTAGACGGCTATTTCCTGATAGAAGGGTCAGGTAAAATCGTTTGAAACTTCTGTTATTGTCATTGTTTCTAAAACTGCCAATTAATTTTAACCAAAATGTTGTCTGTTGTCTACACAGGTTTCAGAACATATGGTCAATTAATTTGAAAATTGAGTAAAGAAAGTTGTTAAAAGGATATCAATGGATCCCGTGTTAAATGCTTCGGCTCAAACAGAAAAGGTTTCGCTTTTAGAAGAAATTATCAACTACCTGTGATATTTAGCAAGGTTTTTCTTTATGAAGGACTGTTTTGTCATGTCCTTTGTCACCCCTTAAATCTATTAACTTCTTATCTGTTAATGTCCTGTAGAAAAATTTTAGAGGGTTTATTTTATCTTTCCATTTTTTGTTCTTAATGGGAAGATTCCAGTCGTACATTGTTCGTGCAGCATTATAAAGCTAAAACCTCTTGAATTGTAAGTTAACACTAATATTTAACTTTTATGCGCCAGGATATTCCTATAAAACACATTTTTGCATTATTTTTCGATTAAGATTTATGCCTTTAAATACTCGGCTTATCTTACGCCATAAAATCATTTCTTTTATTGCACAAATGTGTCTGCGCATTAATGTTAGTTTTTAATCTCTAACTGTTAAAAAAAGACAGGTGTATTTTTGTGTTTTGCAACTGTACAAAATGAATTTATTCTGTTCTTGAAGGTGAAACGAAAAATGCCAACACCATCAACAGAAGATGAAGGTGTGCTACTTTGATGTTGTTTTCGCTGCCATTTTGTTCTGCATTGTTGCCAAGACTGCATCTTGTCCCCCGCCATGTCGCTGCCATCAGAAGATGTACACCTATTGTGACAATGCTGCACTAACCGCCAACCAGTTGGAAGGGGTTTTACAGAATACCCCAACAACAACAACATATTTAGATCTGAGTCAAAACAGTATTTCATTCCTACCAGACAAGATTTTTGAAAACCATCCTCAATTGAACAATGTAAATTTTGCCTGGAATGGCATTGGAAGCATATCGCCGAAGGTTTTCGTTCCGTTGACTCATCTGAGAAAGTTGTTTCTAGAAGAGAATAAATTAGTTGTTATCAATTCTGGATTATTCTCGTCACTTAGAGAACTGGAAATTCTAAGACTGGACAATAATAAAATTGAGGATATTCATAATACCAGCTTTGAAAATCTAACGTATCTGGAGGAAGTTTATCTGAATGACAACCATTTGTTTGAAATCCCCTCTTTGTTATTCTCAAAGACCTCAAAATTACGGGTGTTGGATCTCTCTAATAACCTTATAGAATACATCCACGATGGAACTTTTTCACAACTGGGAAATTTACAAGTTTTATCTCTAGCAAGTAACAGAATTCGCACGTTACAGTCTTTCACCTTCCGAGGACTTGTAAATTTGAATCAGCTAAGTTTACGCCAGAACAGACTCTCCCTGTTACGGGCATCGGATCTGGATCCCGTGAGAGGAAGTCTAAAGGATCTGGATTTATCCTCTAATCTACTATCCGCTGTGAAAAGCAATGCATTCAGGGATATGGTACACTTACTGAATTTGAACGTCAGCGAAAATAATATCGAGTTTATCAATGACAGTGCGTTTTTTGGGTTATCTCTCGACAAGTTGCTTCTGAATGGCAACAAGTTAACCCAGCTCTGGAGGTCTTCGTTTCGTGGAGTGCAGAGGATTGCTTATTTGGATTTAAGCGCTAATGAAATAGCACGCATAGAAACGGGAGCATTTGATAGTTTCAATGAATTCATATTTGTACTGGATCTTTCCAAAAATAAACTTACTAAAGTACAACATGGTATGGTGCGAGACATGAAATATCTACAAGTATTAAACTTAGCTCAGAATGAAATAGACGAAATAGTAAATGCTGCACTGAAAGACCTAACAAACCTTCAAGAACTCAATATAAGTGAAAATAAATTTACCGTTGTTGATTCAAAGGATTTCATAGGACCCCTCAATTCTTTAGGACGTTTTTCTTTAGAGTGCAATAAATTGTCAAAGTTTAAGAATTTTAATTTCAACAGAGAAATTTATGTTTCAATGAATCTAACACTCTCTCATGTTCAGTCACGGTCTGTGAATGTTTCTTGGCCATATGAGAAAGGACTTCAAATGTACTGGTCTTTGATTATTAAATGTGTCGATTCGAACACTTGTCCTTTCGACTCACAGCCTATCTTTTTACCCGCTTATCAGGAAAGTCATGTTATAGACAATTTACAGCCGATATCGCAATACTATGTGTGTATTAATCCAGTATTTGCTGAGAAAAACATCCATGTTGAACAATGCCTCTTCATTATGACGTCAGAGGAAGTAGTGACCACTACAAAGGCGCCTTCGACAGTGATCAATTCACAAAAGACGTCTGGTGCTTCATCAAGGACTACATTTTGTGCAATGTTGTCAATGACATATTTGATAATTTGTTTATATGAATTTATAATGTAAATATACAGAAACTATTTTATCAAATTGTTTTCATTTGTTTTCTCCAGACGAATTATGTGGCTCCAGGCCTCATAAGTATACATGTATTAAGAAAGCATATATTTTGTTGTGGTGTCCTCAATATTCTCTACAGTAGACTTAAAAAAACATCAAAATCAAAACATCTAAGCAATAAATATGGGTTTATTTTCCTGGTAACCGTTACACTCATAATGTTATTCAATTCAGAAATAATTTTATGAGAAGAACCACATCAATAGGATTTTGTTCGTAAAAGGCCTTCAGAATTTACAGTGATAAGAAAATTCGTGTTAAATTTACGAAATGTTTAGGTTCTGTACTTTACCTCGGCCTGGTTAAGCTCGTAAAATACTTTGAGTATTGATTTTGGGATATCATTTTAAAGATGGAACCATATAGTCCACGGCGGTAAGCTTTCCTGCAGATCTAAACACACAGCTTGCACAAGGGGCGGATGTCGCGGGGGTACCTGCTTTGTTTTAAGCACTTGTCTTCTCTTCGCCATTGCAAATATTTACCATTGATTGACGACTGAAGTATTGGCCCTTTCTTGTTTCACATTATGGTCTAACTGTTAATGCATAATCGTGTTTGGATAAATTCAAGAATGAAAAGTTATGATTTAAGTGGTCTATTTAAGTGACAGCTAAGGAATTTTAAGTAAACATCACAGGCCCGTGCTATAGGTAAGCAATTTACCTAATAACAATCGAAAGTGCACGTTGCATTAAAACAAACAGAAAATTCTGTTTAGCGACAGGACTTTTTATTGATAAAAAGAGCAAAACGTGCAAATAAATGAAGATTTTTGACAAATCGTGCCAATTTATAACTCCGGATGCATTTGAAGGCAAATGTTCAAAAACGGATTTGAAAGGGTTTTGATCATGGTTCGTCTAATTCCTATAACGGGACATCCCATCTCTTTAACAGCATAGAGTCTGCCAATATCCAGTCACCAATTAGACATTTCTCTGCTTTGATGTACCTTAATTGACGCTTTGATGTGCCGACCGGTCTTTGTCACCTTTTGTTGTCCTGATCCAGGTGACCAGACCACCAGAAAGGTCACTATGGCGGTTATTCATGTCCAACACGGTCTGAATCGTTTCCTGATTTCTTTAAAGCATCTTTTCTTCTAGACAGTCATTCAAATTTTTAAGCGGAAAATACAAGTCATAAAAAATATTTTATTACAAAGCTATATAGTACAACGTTGAACATTATTGCGAAACTTCATTTCTCTACCATTCGTTGGACTTAAAATGTTTTTCTAAATGGTACAAAACAATAAATAAAAATCCCACTCTAATATCATGCATTCTTTAATACTTATAGTTACATGTAGTCAGTAAAAAAATATGTAACAATATTAAAAGAATACGTTTGATGTAACTAAACAGTTGTGCACAAAGACTTCTTAACAACTAAAAAGAATATATCAAATGGCACTTCACATAAATACTACTAGATACATATAAGAATTCATCGATATAAATATGAATTGAAACACGTGTATATTTTGGCTCTGTATCATACATTATATAATACAACCATGTAAAATATGCTGCAAAACAACTGCTGCGTAGATTCATATTTTACAAAACGAACGTAATTTGTTAAATTTACCCTACATGGAATGACAATTAAAATAATCTACAATGCTAGTTACCATCATCTTCACCAAATTCGCACATTTGATTAATGACGTCACTCTCAATTCCTTTTAAGGCACTGTAACTGTTCAGTTTGATCAGATCTTTGTCGTCTGCGGACGCGATGTCCTTGATTTCTTGTGCCGCCAGTTGCCCAGCGGTGTCAAGACCGATTCCTATAGCAATGACGTGGGTACCGTCCTCCTTTAACTCCCTCGCTGCCGGGAGGGTTTCAGTGGCGTTGATATTGGACCCTTCGTCCGTGATTAGGATCACCACGTTCTTGGCTGACCTTCTGGCGCCAAAATCGTTCTGCAGAAGACCGTGAGCGGCCCTCAGTGCTAGCGCCGTGTTGGTACCCCCGGGTTTGTACCTCACCCCCTCTATCGCAGTAGTCATGGCGGACAGAGCAGAATAACGACTAAAACTGAAGACGACCTTCACTTCCTGATTAAAGGTGATCATGGCGAACCTGTTGTTTCTGGAAATTTTGTGCATCTTTTCCACGACGGAACTTGTAAAATTCTTGATCAGTCGGAAGTTTCCTCGTCCAACACTGGAAGAAGAGTCGATTACTATGGCAATATCGAAGCTGCTTGGGCAGGCTACAAAAGATAGCGTATTTTAAAATTAAATAAAGATAGTATATAAAACAGAATGTTTGAAAACAATACATATTATATATATTATGAATGAGAAATTAAAAGAAGTGAAGACATGCTGTTGTGATTGATACCAAAGAATGTTAAAGGAAATAGACTGACCAAGATGTTATTTACTAATCTATTAAAGTTTTGTTTAAATGTTTATTTACCGAGGGAATGTAAATTAACTTTTTCAAAGTATTTTTAAAATTCATTTCTTATTTCTTTTTTTTAAAAAACAATTTTACTTCTCACATAGTCACCTGGAAAAAAAATCAAAGCTATCAATTGATTAAAAAATTCATTTATTTAACATGCCATAGTGGTAAATCTTGAGTTTTAAACACAAAAAACCATGTAACTAAATGTACGATTTAAATGACAAAAGAAGAAAAAATCATTATGATGTTTTTTCCAGAATCTGAGGATATGTGCAACACCTGCATCATATACTGAACATAGAATAAGTATAAGCCCATAAAACCCTGTTGGATATATTACACGACCCGGTAAACAGAGACACTGTAGGAACTGGTACGAATAGTTGTCAAAAGTATACAGTACCCAAGATGTAAAATACATTCCATCATAAACCAGGTATTTTATTTCACGTATATAACCGACTGCAAGAAACTTTACAAGAAATTATTTAGTTTAAAAATTATACAGCCAACAATAATAATGTACAACTGACAAAAAATAAAATCTGATTAATGCTTTAAGATTTAAAAACAAGTATTTATCATTGTCGGATACATATTAGTAATATTTCTTTTTACAAGGAAATATGCCCAAATATGCTTGTTATATGTATTAAAAAAGAATAGAGGAAATAATTCACACAATTGTGAAAACTGTATGAACTCGATATTTTCAGATAACCAAGGGGCCTTTTAATCTGACTTTATAGCCGATATAAACCCGTTTATCAAATTTTCCGGGCCATTGAATACAGGCGAAAAAAAAAATTAAACAGCAAGGCACTTTATACACTGTCTTAATGTGTTCAGTCCCAATATACGTTTTTGTGAGAAAGAAATCGATTTACCTGTTAGATGTAGAATAGCCTACAAACCGCATATTTAAAATGGAAATATCTTAAACATTTTAATGAGAAAAATTATGACATATAAAAATTTGCAAGTGTGACTTCCTTTGAAACGAGAAATTGGATATTTGAGATTGAATGGATTTTAAATGGTGACACAAATTGATTTTGTTTGTTGGAAATTTTTAAAGGAAACTAGATAAAGGGACATAATGCATTTTTAAATTCACGACAGTACAAAAAATGTTTACTTATATAAGAAATATTAACAAAGTAGTGCAAACAGTACGTAGTGACAGTTATCCTTATTATCGGTAATATTTCGGTGTAGATAGACCTATTCAATGTTTTGTTTTTTTTATCGTAATTATGTGCTTTGTTTCCCAAGTGGTACAGACATTTTAATTTTTTTTCATTAGTACAAGAAATAGCATCCAACTACAAACCAGCGAGTTTTCCAATTTCATTCTTAGCCTGCAAAGTATATGAAATTGATAGAATATCCTTCATTTTATGAACAGTGCTCACCTATCTCACAAAGAGCCCCGGTGAATCCTGGGATACAGTCACACCTGTAAGTTCCGGTGACAGCAGCAGACACACAACGGCCGCCATGTTTACATTTTATTTCATTGGTGTCACATATGTCTTTGTTCATGTCTAAAAAATACAGAAAACACTTTAAATTTATCTATACTTTTAGAAATGAAAATCTGCATAAGACCCAAAAGACTTTTTACACGAACTGTGTCAAACTGGAATACGTTTGAAGATAGTTATGATCTCAGAATTTACATATGAATAAAAAGAATTCTTCATATGGGTTTATTGCTATGTATCTTTCTAACTCGTGTGATATTATAATAGAAAGAAAAAAAAATACCGATGTTCATTTTGTTATGAAAGTATTAAAAAATATATTTCGTTTACTTTCTCTTTTCATTATGTTCAAAACAATTACATTTAAAATACTAATTTTGAAATTAATTAATTGTGACACCTCTGTAAACCTTGGGTGTTACAGTTAATGCTTTTAAAGCTTTCATCAACGCAATTCCGTTTTTAAAATACATGAATTTCCAATAAATTGGAAATGAAAATTTTAACACCTTACAAAATTAAAATACTGCTGCAAACATCTCTAATTTAGTGAAGTTTCGTTAAGAAAAGGAAATGTAAAATATTCCATTATTACACGTATCGTATCTTAAAGCGTCCTGAAGTATGGAACCATATTTAAAATATGTCATTGTAGAATGTAAAACTTTAAAAAAAATAATCTACCTGGTGAACACATTTTGTTGAAAATAGTACCCCCGACACCCGGAAGTGCGGAATAATCATTGACCCAATACACGTTTTCAGACGCTGGCTGAGAGGCGATGTCGTCTATTTCCTGTCTTTCCATGTCTCCAGAAAAGTCGACGGCGACAACAAATACATGAACTCCTTGTTCCCTCAACCGCAGAGCTTCGGGTACAGTGTCATCAGCGTTAATGTTTGAGTTGCCGTCCGTGATCAAAATTACTTAACATATAAAAAAACAGAACATTATATTATATGTAAGACTGCTTTAGGAGTTTTGCTAATAATTTTTTGCCTTATTCTTATTTTTTGATCTTACTGGTATTGGTGATTACCGGTATTACAGAATCAGCCCACAATTGTCAATAAAAATTAATCACGTGGAATTGCAATTTCTGTATATACATTTTGTACTAGTAATGATTTGACTACATGTAGTTTGAACGAATACGCTAAATTAATACATACGTGTGTTTGGAACACTGGGTCTGTCCCCATTATTAGGGTTAAATATCTCTTGTCGAACCATTCTCAGTCCAGCGGCAGTATTAGTACTTCCGTACCTGTACTGCATGGCTGATATTGCATTCATAACCTCCTTTTTGGTATAGAAGCTGTTGAGATGGAACCCCATTTGAGGCTCCGAGCTGTAAGAGACAAGGGCGACACGATTGTCTGTTTGACCAATAGAAATCTTTTCCACCAAGGAGTAAACGAATTCCTTCATTCGGTCCACATTGTCTATTCCAACGCTCCCGGAAGCATCCACAAGGAAGGCAATGTCAGCAACATTACCATTAGCTTAAAAAGACAATCAAACGATGCATTACAACAACAACTAGCCTATTGAATCCAACAGTGAGTACTTTTTTCTCTCACATATACCAAAGCAAATTAACCGTACACATTTCTTGAGCAGTGCTCCTTATATCATTGAAACATATACAACAATAATACAATGCTTAATCGACTTTATACTACTTTAGATAATTATTTGTACCAATAAATATTATAAATAACAAAATGTCCTCTTTAGTATGGGAATTAACACTACGTGTGTTATGTATGTTTTTTTTTTTTTGCAACAGCTGCAACACTAATTCCTATTCTAACAACATTAGAACTCTTTTTTATTGCCTATATGATTCAGTATGGACTTACTTTCTTCACAGTTCTTTCCGGCGAATCCTTTGGTACATGTACACGTGTATTCCGTACTCGATAAACTTGTACATGTTCCGTTATTCTGACAGGGGTTGTCACTGCAAGCAATGTTCTCTGTAGGGAGTATTAAAAAGAAAAAAAATCAGATATAACCATATTGTAACCTTAAAGCAATGAACCCTTAATATTTGTTTAAATGTCACATTTGTGAATTAGAATAAGAATCTCAGATGTACCATTGCAAAGATATGTCATAATAGTGTCTGTGAGACTTGTCAAGCTATCGCCATTTGAAAGGAAATGTGCGTTGGCTAGCATCGGCGGCGATACAGCAGTCTTCAGGAAATTTTTATCTGACTCCGATAAGTCAATTCCTAGAAAGGAGAACACACAATAAAGGATACATGCCCATGATATTCAAATATAGAACAGGCAGAACGCTTATTTTGCATCAACTGATCTCAAAGAAATCAAAGTAGATAGGCTTATTACAAATTAAATCCTGTACCAATTCCAATGATATTGGTCCCTTCCATTTTTAGTTTTCCAGCCTCTCTGATTAGTTCACTCTCCTTGCGCATGCTCTTTGTTATAAAGATAATAGTATTCTGTACATTAGAACGGTCAGAAGGTGTTCCGAAAATCCTTAATCTTGCTTTACGCAGAGCTTCCATAGGCACAGGGTCTGAACGTTGACGTCTTCAAATGCAAAAGAAAAATTTTATTGTCTGAAGATGATAGATATATAGTCAAATAATATCGCAACATAATTTTTCATTTGCCAACATCCTACCGTATTCCAGAGACTGCTGAATTTACATTTCTCTTCTTCAAACCATCCCTAAAATCAAGTCGTACCATAGCGCTTCCAGCAAACTGGACAATTCCGACGCGGAAACCAGTTCTTCGGAAAGCCATTCGTCGGACGAGCTGCTTCATGAATTTTTTCATATCCCTGAGTTCTTTCCGACTTACATATCTAGAGGCATCCACAGCAAAAACAATGTCTCCCGTAGAAGGACATCCTAAATAAAAAAAAAATGTCAGAGCGAACTGTAACTTCTGGAGAAATAAAATTATGTGATCCCAAAAACTGAACGTTATTCAAACTAATTCATACTCTTTTGACACAGATCTCCGGAAAAGCCAGGTTTACATTCACAAAGAAATCCCCCATTGTTGTTCCTGCAATTCCCTCCATTTCTGCAAGGACTGTCGGCGCAGTAGTCATTACCTTTGATTAAAGAAATCCATGGTAAGTGACAGCTTTATAACATAGTAAACATATATTTTTGATACAAAAAGTTACCGATGGGAATAGCTTGATTAGTAGATATATATTTCAACGTGTCGTTCCCATCAACTAGTACTAGCGTTGAAGTACATGCAAAAATTTAAAAAAATGTATGGAATGCAATAAATTGGCTAAAAATAAAAACTTCTCACTGTCGTAGATTGGATCCAAAACCTCATCGCGCATTTCATAAAGCTTGGCCTCATCTGGAATTTCCATTGCCTTCATCCCTTGAGCCAACGCGATGCTTTCCACCTCATCTCGCCTATGCATGTCTACTGTTAAGGGGACAATCTGAATGTCGGATCCAATGGTTAATTCCGCCTCTTGCATTGTCGTATCCTCGTTCACTTCCACAGACCCGTCTGTTATGAGGTAAGCTACGTTCTTCACGTTTGGTCTGTCTCCATTACCGTTGAACATATTCGTTCGGAGACTTCTTAATGCACCTGCCATGTTTGCTTTTCCTCTGGTGTACCCAATATGGTCAACCATTCTTGTAATAGTATTCGTATCCTTATACTGTCCGATACCAAATTGTATCATGGGCGAGGAGCTGTATTTCATGGCACCGACCCTGATGTCACATTCTTCAATGTTCATTTCTCGGACAAGGTAGTCAACATACCCTTTAATACGCCTAAAAGTATGTTCCCCGATTCCATCTGAAGAGTCCATGACGAACACGACATCGGCTGGATTTCCACATTCTTAAAAGGAATATGAAAAAAATGCTGATATAATTTGATATTTTAAAAAGCTTCTTGGGAAAATGGAAGTAGCATGCATAACTTTAGTGTTTAAAGTGCTTCTTGAAATCAGTTGAAGAGTAATTCAAAATACAGACAAAACATTATTCATCTTGGTAACTTGGTTTGTTAGCAGTTCAGTATTGTGATTTTCATGTTTTATTGGAGTGTTATAACGACAGAATAATCCTTACTTTGGTCACAGTCTTTCCCGTGGTAGCCATTTGTACACACACACTGATACGAACCAATGCGGTCTATACAGAAGGCACCGTTCTGACAAGGTTTCGTGGAACAAGTGTTTGCATCTATAAGAAAGATTCATGTATAAAATACGTCATAATGGAAACATCTTATAAAAAATTGACACGTGATATAAAGGTTGCAATATTGTTGAAAGAAATACGTAACGCACGGTACCAGGTAATCTATATATTTTTCTGTTGTTATTTAAAGAGGCTGGGGGGGGGGGGTGGCGGGGTGGCAGCCATTTTCAGACTATTTCGATCTCCTTTAAAAGGAGAGCTCCATATAAAGATATACGAAAATGATCAAATTTTACAACTAAAATGTATGGATTTTTTCTTTGCCAAATGATAGTTGACAGCTTAAGATACCGTATCTAAAAAATAAGTTAAATCTGGTGGTTAATTTGTGATTAATTGTTGACCCCCCAGCCTCATTAAACCGTTATAATCCGTATAATACACAAAGGAAGACTCTTATTTTGGTATCCTTTGTTAAAGTACTAGTATTCAAGATTTCAATCCGTAGGTGACATAGATGAAAAGGGATTGAAGCAGCTAATCTTTTACAATTTTTCCATATTTGGAGTTAGCGATAGCTTTATTGAAACTGGATACAACTAGTTTTAAATAGAAGTATATTGTTGTTAGTGCTCTAAATGGCAGCAATATGTTTTGCCATTTTGTAGCGCAGTGATAACAGTTGAAAGGTACGCTCTAGAGTCCAGGAGTACGGAGTTGATCCTTATTTTGCATGTCTTCGGGACGTGGAGATGGATCCTTCGGATGAGACCGTATAAATTGGGGTATCATGTCAAAGTAAGCAGGTAAAAGATCCCGAAACCCTTCATGCCAAGTTTGGGACTAAATTTTGTGGTACTCTCTAACAAGCAATGGTATCTAAATTTCAGTGAAAAAAAATCGAAAAGAAACATTTAACAGACAAACAAGGAATGATTGATCTATTATCTACCATTGCACAGTGGATTGACCAATGTAGAACCAAAGTTATGCAGGGCATCAAAGTTTTCTACACGGAGTAGGTTTTCCTTGACAGGAGGCGTTGTCAGACCAATCAGTTCTTCTTCCCGATGGGTGTATCCTACTGCCACCGTTAACAAAGTGGCCCCGGTTCTCTTTAATAGTAAGGCTTCTGGGATGGTATCCTGAGGGTTAATATTCGATTCACCATCAGTGATAGTGATAACGACATTCGGGACATCTATAAGAAAAACAAGGTTTAGAAATAGGGAAAAGAAGTGGATGTATTAAGTGTATCTTCATAGCCGAATTCTTAAGAAATAAGGTATCATTTTTAAACTATCGGGATATAAATATGGGTGGGTCACGAGATTGAATTCCATAAAGCCCTATGATGAATTTAATCTCGTACCAACCCGTATTTATAGCCCGATATATGTTTTAAAATGATACCTTATTACTTATATTTACATTTGTGACTTATTTATACTTAATATTTGCTTGATTGTGACTTTTAACGTGTGAAATGCGTTATTTTTAAAACCCAACGACATGTATGTTATCCACTGAACGCGCGTCGACCCTTCATCACGTCATAGAGAAATTACATCGAACGTTTATCCATACGCACATCTATGACCTCTTGACCCCGTACTTGTATTCATACAGCTATAGATACGCATTGCTTTCAGTAGTGTTATATAAAGAAAAACATTTGCAAATGTAAATATTTTTTCTTAACCAATAATAAACTTGACAAAATATGAGAGTCACACACCAACTCGGTCTCCTGCTGTGGATATAAACACCCGTTCCCTGGCAAGACGGAGAGCAGAGGAGGTGTGTGTTGATCCATAGACGTAATTCACTCGCTGTAACGCACTCTCTATCTCTGCTCTTGTACTATATCTGAAAGACATAATAATAATAATAATATAGTATCACCTTTTGAATGTCAAATCAGTTTAGTATGCCTATTTGTCATCTGTTGGTTATTTACACTTAATATAAATATTTTTAAAGCTTTAAACGTAGTAAATCAAAGGATAAGAAACTTTCATGCTACAAACGTCAGAATGAAATATGTTTTCAGCATATGTAATACTAGTATATATATACTCCGAGAGGTCAAACTCCAAATTTGGCCAATCGCTAAATGTTATAACAGCGACCCGGAAATTCCCGCTGTCAATGTCAAGGTCAGAAATAACTGTATAGGTAAAGTTCAAGACTTTCTGGAATCCGTCTTGGCCCACACTACCGGAAGTGTCCAGTATAAAAACAACATCACCCTGTCCTCTGCAAACTAAGTAAAAACGTATATAAAAATAACATGTATAAGCTGTTTTTAAAATATTTGAGAGCACTCATGTGAATAATTCAATTGTCTGAACTCATGGATAGACCAAGGCATGTAGGAATGAAAAATTCTCTCAAGGACAATTTGTTTAAAATATGGAATTTTACTTTTCAAAGAATAATCACAATAATCAAATTATTGTCACCAATAACTTATGTCTAATTTTGGACGAAAAAATTAAAGTTCTTTATTGCAATAGTATATATTTCAATTTCCTTTAAGTATTCATTACGTTATTTAAATATCCCTACCCCCAGGTCTTCTTGTTGTAGTGGGTGGAGGCAGCGTAGTAGGTCTTTCAGGTCTTCTGCGTGCGCGTTCTGGGGTGTCTCCCACTGAAAAATTAAAACAACACAGGATGACAATGTGTGGTCATATAACCAGATGTTCTGCAGCATTAAAAAAGAAAACAAGAACCTACTCTCTTTCAGTGCAAATTGTAATATCCCAGGAACTTCTAGAAGATCACTCTCACGAGTTGCCAAATGACGGTACGTTCGTAAGGGATAGGTAGCAATTTCGCTTACTTCTGTTGTATCATCCAGATAATAGCCGACTGTAAACAAGTTGATACCATCTCTTTCTGCCTGATATGCGGCTTCATAAGCCTTATATCGATCGGTGCTCTCCTTCTCACCAGTTAAAAGAATGATGAAATTTCTTGCAAAACTTCGGTCTCCGTTCCTTCTGGTGAACATGTAGGTCTTGGCTTCATTTATTGCTCTAGCAGTGTTTCTATCCCCTGCTCTATAAGTTATTCTATCCACTGCACTTACTATTTTGTCTTTTTTATCATAAGCATTTAGCTGCCATTGGACACTCGGTCGTGTACTGTAGCTCATCAATCCAATTCGGACTTCACCGCTATCAACGTTCACATTTTCCGCCAGATATTTAACAAAGTTTTTGAATGACCGGAACTGCTCGGGTTTTACAGAGGAATCCATGATAACCACGATATCTTGTCCTCTCGTCAGTGGCTCTGGAGTGGTAACTGGTGGAGGTGTTGTCGGTTTAGGTCGAGGTCTTGGTGGTTCGATATCCTCATCAACTGAAACATGAAATATACATAATTCACATTTATTGAATGCATTAAAGTGGAAACAAACTGAAGCAAACTTTCATTGATATCATTATGAATAGTAGAGATTTGTAGGAACAATTATTCGTAAATTGCAAAAATTATAACGTGGTTTTTTTGTTGAAAACGTCACTAAATTCTACTTTTCATTCATTGTTTAAAAGTTGTATGTTATGTCATGTATCATAAATGTGGTTCTGAGTAAAAAAAGACGATGCTTTGAAAATTGTTTATTTATAAATGAAATACTAGTAATCACTCCAAAAACAACTTTCCCTAAACATACTCACCTAATCCCAAAACTCTGTTTGCGGAGTCATTCACCTGTCTGTCATTCATATCAGTGTTAACGAGATGCCTGTACGTCGACAAAGGATGCGTGGATAGCTCATCAATTTCTGTGGTGTCATTTAAGTTAATGCCGACAGTAAAAAAGTTGATTCCTGATTTCTCGGCCGTCTCTGCAGCGGCCCAGGTTCGATACGTATCGGCACTCTTGTCATTTGATGTGAGAAGAACAACTATATTTCTAGCGAAGTCTCGATCGCCTCTATAAGGTGCAAACATATTCCGGCGGACATAATTAATGGCTCTATCTGTATTTGTTCTTCCTGGTGAATATCCAATTCGTTTAACTGCTCTCAAAACATCATCTTTATTCTGATATCGTCTAAGATGGGCTTCTAGGCTTGGATTGGTACCGAATTTCATCAACCCTACTCTGTATTCTTCATTGTCTATATTCATGCCCTGGACCATATTAGATACATATGATTTCATCCAGTTGAAGATCTCTGGGGGGACTGATGAGTCTAACATAAAGATCAGGTCTTTTCCTGTTGTCCTGGGTGTTGTCGTAGGGGTAGTTGGTGAGGTTGTCGTTGTCGGTTTGGGTCGAGGTCTCCAAGGATCCACATCTACATCGACTGCAAAAGTAGTAAATGCCTATATATAAGGTTGTGGTTTTTAGCATGCCAAACAATAATATGTTAGTACCCTGTTGACATTGGGAAAATGTATAATGAATTTATTTTCAATTTGTACATTTATGTAATCTGAAAATTAAAAATAAGTTTCATACTTGTTCGAACAAGACTGGTAAGTGATCTATCCACTTGCGGCTGGTCCATGCTGGTGTTTATCAGTGTTCTATATGTGTTTAATGGATATGAGGATAATTCATTTATCTCAGTCAAGTCCTGTAGGTTGATGCCAACGGTATAAATGTTGATATCGTCTTTCTCTGCTCGCTCTGCTGCCGCCCATGTGTCATAAATATCATTACTTCTATCGTTACCTGTAATATGTACTATCAGATTTCTAGCATAACCCCTGTCTCCTTTTCGTGGTGTAAACATCCTCTGTCTTGCAGCGTCAAGTGCTCTATCTGTATTTGTGCGGCCACGCCGATATCTGATTCTGCTAATAGCATTCTTGATGGAAGCTTTATTGTTATATCTGTTAAGTTCAAACTGTACATCGGGGTTATCGCTATATCGCATAACACCAACTTTGTATTCTTCATCATCGACGCTCAGGTTGTCTACAAGATTACTGGCGTACTTTTTCATGAAATTGAAAGTGCGAGGATCTACAGAGGAATCAAGCAATATTACGACATCATATCCGGTAGATCTCTCCGTTGTTGTTGGAGTGGGAGTAGTTGTGGTAGTTCGTGGTCTAGTTGTGGTGGGTTTTCTGGTGGTTTTTGTAGCTATAAAATATCAAAATTAAATTGTATACATGTGAAAAATGTTTCTGAAATCAAGAGAATTATTTCTTGTTTCAACGCGTTCCTTATTTTCATATAATAGATATATTTGAAAGAAGAAAATATTGTTTTACTTGTTATTCTTCTGGTGGGCCTAGGTGATGATGCTGAAAAAATATTGAAGAAAATTATCAAACTAAAGTTCTTTTAATTAAATTTAAATAGTATTAAAAGTTTGTTTTTCATGAAAATCAATTGATAAATTAACACTAACCAGGACACAGAGATCTAAAGATCCGCTCATCCAAGTCTTTCAGTTCATCAAAGTTATTTACAATAAAGGTGTTTTCGGAGGCAGGAACGGACGCTATTTGATTTAATTCAGTTACATCACTCAGCCCAATACCTATCGCATAGATATGTATGCCCTCGTTCCTTGCCTGTCTTACTTCATCTTGCAATCTATTTGCATTGATATTAGAAACACCATCGGTCAGGATAACAGCAATGTTTCGAGCGTCCCATCTATCGCCATTGGCGAATGAGAAATATTTCTCTCTCATATCTCTGATCGCGTTAGCTGTATTGGTACTTCCAAAAATCCAACTGATTTTGTCAATAGCATTAAACATCTCCGTGGAAGTGTCATAGGCGTTCAAAAAGAAGTGGTCATGCACTTTTGTACTGTAGCTTAGAATTCCTACTCGAACACTTCCAGAATCGATATCGGAATTTTTCAGGAAATCTTTACAGAAATCCAGCATTTTCTGGAAGTTATTTTGACCGACACTAGTTGACGAGTCCAGAATGAAGACCAAATCCACCTTCTCAAAGCCACACGCTGATGTGGAAAACAAATTGTAACAGAATTGTTAAAAAAGAATTTCACAATTGATTTTTTAAATACTAATTTTGTAGATGTGGTTTTAAGGAAGTATATTGCTATATGTGCCTCTATGAAAAATAAATTAAAAAAAAATTTCTAGTTTATTTTTCTACACATGGAATTTCCAGTGTCCGTGTTTATGCCCACTTTACAGATTTTTATTACTTATAGATTTGTTTGAACTGGATCAATATCTGTTATATTTACTCTTTTTGTCTTTAGCTAATCATCTTTTTGTCATGGTCAAAAATCTTATGAAAGAATTGGATATTTAATTTGATAAACTATGAAAATAGAGGCATTATATGTCAACAAGAAAATGATGAAGAAATGACCATATATGGTGTAAATCGTAGCTGGTCAAAAATATATATCAACTTGAAGGTTTTAATAATATATTTTTTTCAATAAAATAAGTTAAAACAAGTACTTACAACTTAAAGTAGTCGTCGAAGGCGGTGCAACAGTTGTAACTTCGAAGAAAAAATGATACAAATAATAGAAAAACAATTTAATGAGGCATAAAAGTTATAAGTAATTAGAAGAGGAATGAAGTAATGACAACCAAATGGCTACACACGGGTTAGAAAATGTTAAACATGAAGGTCAAGGAATGTATCTTGGTGATAAGTCTGAAATACGTATTCCACAATTACATATACTTACCAAAATCTGTAATGTACTTTTCAAAGAAATAGACAACTGTTAATATACGTGTATAAGCTTTATTAGTGATGTACAAGTGATGTACATGAGAAATCTCAAAGAAAATTTAAATAATTTTTTGTTGGAAAGCTTTGCTGTCTTTTAATCATAAATATCAAAGTATATAACTGAAAAACTTAATTACATCTGCAACATTCTCCCACGAGTCTCTTATAATAAAGTTAAATAAAGTGAAATTTATGAACTTCGGAAGTCAATATTAATAATTGTAATTATTTAACTCTGATAAAAAACAAGAGTCATACAGAACCCATTATTGCTCACCTGCTTGAGCCAATATATACAGTAGGTTCTTATATACCCGAGGAGTTAGTTATCATGTAATGCGGAAAAAGCAGCAATCACAAAATTAAATTACACGCTTAAGTTATGGTTTTGAAATCATGTGAATCTCTACATTAATCGTCAAATCTCGAATTATTGTTTTCGCAATATTTTGACTAAGGGCCATCTTGTCGATATACAGTACAGTACTCACGTTAGATAAGTAATTTGCCTACGACGACAGCCATAAGCTCAGTGGCCATCTAAAAAGTCCTCCGATATTTGCATACTTTATTTAAATCGACACAATTAAAGGCATATGAATATTATTTATTCTTAATTACATGGCTAGAATGAAGTACTACAAACCACACAAATCAGTATCACTTCGTTAGTATGTTAGGTTGCCTGAAAACGTTAGATAAAGTCTACAAATAAAATGTAAAAGGTAAGTATTCAAAACGTAAAAATGCATGCTTGCAAATGATTTTACAAGTTAAAATGAATTATGTGTTTTGAAATACGTTAGAAGAGAAACAAGAACTTAAGTACAGAATTTGATGTAATACTTACCTAAAGATGTTGAATTTGCCAAATATGAAGAAAAACGAATAAATAATATAACAGGTGGTATGTGAACCATTTTACATAGTAAACAATAGTAAGAGGAAAACGCTTCTTAAAATTAATTTGAATAAGTTTCCAGTCAATGATTGGGAAAGAATTAAGAGAATAAACCAAACACTAGTTTTCTAATTCCCCTTGTCCTTCTATTTACATTTAGTTCCCTTGTTTAAGACAGATCCTTCAACAATTAACGCAAGATTGGAAGAAAAGTAGACCTTCAAAGAAACACGCAGTTTTCAATATCCCCTGAATTGAATTGAATGTCTATAACTTCCTATTTAATTGGCAAGAACTTCTCAATAAATGTCGGTTATGTTAAGATTACAAACAAATGCTAGAGCTTTGTTGTTGTGAACATTTATAGACAATGAGATATTTTCGTTATATTATTCAAAATTTATCTTTTAATTATCACTAAAAGCATGGTCTAGGAATGAACAATATCAAAATGCTAACATTACGACATTGTTGATATTAAATACAAGGTTATGCATTACTTGAAACCCCACCCTTAATTTTTCCATTCAAAACGATAGGATATATATACATGATTCGAAGCAGCTGTAATTATCTCGGCTAACAAAGTGATTTTATTGTTTAAGATACGGTCGTAAGCCTTCTTCTAAAGAAACGCAATCTCCAAGTGAAAATAAAAGGTTTCATACAAAATAGGGTATCGTCTTTCTCGTACATTAACTAAATTTCCCCTTTTCAATAAGTTTAATAATTTTTTTAACATTGAGAATTGTTTTAATGACAATTCATAACTAGAGGGTATTGTTTTTTTTAACAAAAAACCCCCACATGTCTCCCCTTCTTTACCAACATTTACAAGTGCAGTTTTACGGTCAAGGTCAAAAATAATAATTCAGCGCATCTTTCAAGTCTTTAAATAAAAAGGATCTAAAGTTATGGTCTGATTTTGTTTTTTCTTCATTTAACCTTGAATGAAGAAAGTGGTCAAGGTAATAAATTTTGATGTAGTGTATTTAGGATTTATGTTGTCCTTACTTGTTCCACGTTTAAAATCCTAATGTCCTAATGTCAAGAAAGGTCTCAAGTTATGACTTGGATATATTTTCATGTGAAAGTTTGACCTTGACCTTATCATATTGGATCAAGGTCAAATATTTTGATCACACACACCCTTCTTCTATGTGTTCTCTGCATGTTCCAAGTTTGAAGTCTAAATGTCAAAGGGTTCTCAAGTTATGGTCAAATCATGTTTTTCTCTTTGACCCTAAAGAAAGAAACGGATCAGGGCAAAGTTCTGGTGCACTTAATCTTGTAATTAATGTCTTCCTTCTATGTTATAAGTATGGAGTCCTAATATCAAAGAGTATTCAAGCTATGGCCTAAACTCTACTTTTATGTTGAACTTGACCATATGATAATTGGATAAAGGTCATATATTTTGATCACACACATCTTTTTCTTATGTGTATTCTGCATGTTCTAAGTTTGAAGTCTAAATGTCTAAGGTATCTCAGGTTATGTTCAAATAATCTTTTTTCTCTATTTGACCTTGAAGAAAGAAAGGGGTCAAGATCAACGTTCTGGTGCACAGCATCTTGTATTAAATGTCTTCTTTCTACGTTACAAGTTTGAAGTCCTTAAAGAAAAAGTACTCAAGCTATTGCCAAAACTCTATTTTCATGTAAAAGTTTGATCTTGACCTTATAAATAAATCAAAGTCAAAAATTTTGGTGACGTACACTCTGTCTCAAGGTCATCTATCTATGTTCCAAGTATGAAGTCGTCAGGTCAAAGGATATTCAAGTTACGGCCTGGACAAAATTTGGAACAAGAAGAAGAAAATCGACAAAAACAATATGTCTCCCTTCGGAAGGGGAGACGTAATAACTAAGTACGTCGACGACATTTAAGATTTTCTGGAAGGACACGACCCAGTTATGAAGTTTTTTGCTTATTCCTGTTTAATATTAAAGTTACAGAAGATGAAGGAATCTTTTGATGCCTGTTAATGATACTAACCACGTAATTCATATAGGATATACCAGCCAAACTACATTTCCAAAAAATAAAAACAATATTTCCAGAAATTGATATCTGATGATAACTCCTGGTTTTGTATGCTTTTTGTCTCGAAACATCTGATGGTATTTTGTTTTTAAAATAATGTTATCGTGTAAAAGCATCAGTATAGTAAGTGTATAAGTGTACGTTGTTTCTTCTTAAGGGACTCCGACCCTCAGCCGGGAAGGACAACTCTTTAATTGATAATTTAATGCAAAAAGTCTTTAAATGAAGCTTGAAATTAAATATTTTCATGCAACAATTTTCATTATGTGCCTCTCAATGTGCCTCAAGGTTCTTTGCAAAGCTCCATAAATCACTTCTAATTTTATATCATGTAAATAAACATTGGTATCTAAAAATGCTTTTATGGGATAAAAATTTCTACTTTTAATTAGACCTTTCTGAGAAGTTCAAAGAACCTTGAAGCACATTGAGAGGCATATAATGAAAATTGTTGCATGAAAAGATTTAATTTTCAAGCTTCATTTAAAGACTTTTTGAATTAAATTATTAATTAAAGAGTTGTCCTTCCTGGCTGAGGGTCGGAGTCCCTTAATATGGTTTCCCCATATTAAAAAAAAAAATTAAATTTCTTTAAGCATACTAACCTGCGCAAGCAGACTCAAAAATTGTTTCATCTAGACCTTCTAATTCATCAAAGTTGTTCACAGAGAAAGCATTTTCACTGGATGGCTTATTTGCGATACCATTAACTTCATTTAAATCTTGTAGACCAATACCAACTGCATAAATATGGATATCCTTCTTGCGGGCAGCGTCAGCTTCGGGTATTGTTCTGCCATAGTTAATGTTTGACACACCGTCAGTGATAACAATACAGATATTTGGTACATCTGCTCTATCACCATTAACGGCCGTGAACATGGTATCATGCATAAGAAGCAGTGCATCGGCTGTATTTGTGCTGCCGTATTGCCAGGCAATGTTTTCAACTGCTTTAAACAAGTCATTTTTGGTAGTATAGTCTTTCAAATTAAATTCTATCCTGGCACCTGTACTATACGTCGCAATACCAACTCTAACTTCACCTCCATCAATGTTGGCAGAATGTAAGAAGTTTTTAACAAAATCTAGCATTTTCCCAAAGTTCACGTTTCCCACACTTGTAGATGAATCCAAAACAAACACTAAGTCTACTCTTTGGAAGCATTCACCTGACAAAGATATTTTTTCAGAGTTATATATAAAAATAATAATTTTTTAAAGCTTATATGAGTTATTTGTGCGACAGTACACTTTGCCAAATATTTTGATTTTAACACAAAATTAACATTATCTGTAACTTCTACTGGTCTGGAAATGTAATTTTACGACAATAAATAGCAAAAAACGCTGAAATGGCTCTACTGACGTCACCATTTTCGGATTTTGTAAGCAATGCATGACGCTGAAGAATGACGCATGACTCGCTTGTATGTTCAAGACGTCCATGGAAATTATACCAAAAACTGATGACAGAACATCTAAAGAAACATACTAGCAATTTAAACATTGCTATTTTTTCCGAAAAAATCATATGCTCCGATAATTCATCTGCACTGCTATTTGTTTATACCGGAATATGGCAATTTTAGAGGTATTGTGCTTTGAAAAAATAAACTTTGTAGTTAATTCCTAGAGCAACCTAGATGGTGAACTTTTTTTAAATTTCGCAGTTTAGTGATTTTTTACAATAACTTTCAATGACTTAAATGAAAAAGAAATCCCTAGGGCAGAAATACAAAAAATCTGGAAAAAATGTGATAATTTGGCGCTTTTCCAGCAAATTCCTATACCGTCCAATAGTAAAAATTTACAACTTTTGAGACGACTCCCTAAGGAATCGGGATGGTAAACATTCGATTTTTTAATCTTAAAACAATAAATACAACAGTAAGAATTTATTATCAAAAAATTCAAAATTCCTAGGGCAGAAATAATTAGATTAGGCCTCGTTAACATCTTTTTGAGAGAATGTTTACTTGGCAATATCTTCATCAACTAAGCACATGAAATCCTTTGATTGAGGGGACTCAAAAGTATGAAGTATTTCCTTTTATGGACAATGAGTTAACTAGAGTTACACTAGCACCAAAATATGGGATCACAATTTTCATTGTAATTAAAGGGGGGGAGGGTTAATAAGAAGTAGAACAGCCGGGTGAGCTCATTAAGGTAAACGTTGTGGACTCTTGTTAACATACTTAGTATGTTACAGACAGAGTATGCTTATTATCATTATCATTTTATAAAATAATTTACTTATAAAGAGCTCTTGATTATGAGATATGTGGAGATAGCAGTGTTAGAGCTCAAAAGTCAAAATAGGAGCGGAGCAAACACAGACCCCCAAAACATCTAAGGTGGGATCGGGTGCCAAGAGAACATTTCCCCCAAAAAGATGTAAAGTTGATAGAAAGACAGACAATCTGACGGACGACAAACTAAGCTATTACGAACTCTTAAAATTGTTTTCTAAATAGTATTCATACCAGGAACTGGAGGCGTTGTTGGTTTTGGTCTCGGTCTTTCGGGTTGCACCTCGTCATCAACTACAATGCGTAAAAAATAAAACTTTATGTTTAAAATATGTAAAAGATGAATGTTGAAGTAGAAGGATTATTGAATGAAAATGTAATGCTAGATACAAACTATGTATGTGAGAAAAAAATTATTCATGTATTTAGAAAATATATTAATTCTGGGTTTTTTTGTTATCCTCTAATTTGATTCTCAAAATATTCTAAATATTGGTCTTGTTTTAAAGCTCTAAAACATAAAAGGACCCGTATTGGAGGGTGACCCGGCCTTCAATGCTAGTTACAGTGGGATTGATATTGACTTTTTTCTTTTTTTTAAACATAATTCCCACAGCAACTAGGGTCATGATTATATTTGTGTAAAACGTATGCTCTGATAAGTAAAAATGGTGCAAAAATGTTTTTTTTCAAATGAGATATTTATGTATATGTATGAAAATAAAATGTCAACAATAATATATAATATGTTTTCCCCCTTCTTTTTCTATTGGATATACTTGTAATTCTGTGACCAAATATTGGAAAAAATAATACCTGAATTAAAACTTTGTCACAAGTCAAAATTTAACAGATTGTTTCTACTTACTAAGTCCAAGGATTTCATTGGCAGTGCGATTAATTTGTGCCGGTGGTGAGTAGGTGTTAATAAGATGTCTGAAAGTCTTCAATGGATGAGTTGACAATTCATCAATTTCGGTTGTATCGTTAAGGTTAATACCAACGGTGAACAAATTAATTCCCGCCGCCTCTGCCTTTTCAGCAGCGGCCCAAGCGCCATACGTGTCTTTACTCTGGTCTTGTCCGGTTAGCAAAACTATTAGATTCCTTGCGTAGTCTCTATCACCACTGGATTTGCGAAACATACCTTGGCGAACTGAATCGATAGCTTTTGCGGTATCTGTTTCCCCGGGTTTATATGAAGCTTTGTCAATAGCAAGTTTGATGTCCTCTTTTGTACTGTAGTCATTTAAGTCAAATTGAACATCTGCGTCTCCGCTATAACTCATTAGACCGACTTGGTATTCTTGGTCTTCGATATTAAATCCATTGACAAGATCTTTTGCATAGTCTTTCATGAATTGATAAGTTTGAGGCGGAACAGAAGAGTCCATCAGTAGGACAACGTCGTAACCAGACCGAGGAAGTGATGGTACAGTGGTGGTTGGAACTGCAAGATAAATGTTTGAAAACTAAAAAGAACGCAAAAGTAATTCGTTAAGTGCTGAAAAAAAGACGCCAATCCGAAATAAACACATCTGAATTGATTATGGCAAAAACTAGCTCGGGCCTAGTTATATATTAATGTTTATTATATTGGACTTTGTATACCATGCTCCGCTGAGGTCCAATTCGATCTAATTAATCTATTCTTTTTAAATAAAAAAGGATTTTAATACCTGGACATGAAGATTCGAAGATTTTTTCGTCAAGACCTTCCAATTCATCGAAACTGTCTACGGAAAAGACGTTCAGGCTTGCAGGCTCACTTGCTATCCCATTGACTTCCTTTAGATCCTTCAGAGCGATCCCAACTGCATAAATATGAATTCCTTTTTTCCGCGCTGCTTCTGCCTCAGGAATGGTTCTTTGGTAATTGATATTAGATACACCGTCTGTCATTATTATACAGATATTTGGAACACCGGGTCTGTCTCCATTTAACTCCGTAAACATTTCCTCGTGCATCATTTTCAGGCCATCAGCAGTGTTGGTACTTCCATATCTCCAAGGTACATTATCAACAGCTTCAAACAAATCAGCTTTGGTTGAGTAGGAGTTCAGCTGGAATTCCACCGTTACAGCAGTACTGTAGGACACAAGGCCAACCCGTACTTCTCCACCGTCAATATTAGCTTCATGGAGAAACTTCTTGATAAAATCTTTCATTTTGCTGTAATTGTCATTCCCCACACTCGTAGAAGAGTCCAATACAAAAATCAAATCTACTTTAGCAAAACATTGGTCTGGAAGACAATAAAAGGGAGATATTTTAGAATTCTTTCTTTAACAGAGTTTGACAAAACTTGAATTTACAAACGTTGAAACCCTTTTAAATAATCACTAAAAGAAGTAATGGAATATTTGGGAAACATATGATGTGGACATCGTTATAAAAAGAACAAATTTACTATTGGTTATAAAAAAAATAGATAGTTGATATTTATTAGAAAATAATATTAATTAAAAAACCTACTTATAGTTGTTGTCGGTAAAGGTGTTGTGGTAGTTGTCGTTGTTGTCGGCTTGGGTCGAGGTCTTGGAGGCTCTACATTTTCATCAACTGAGAAACACACAAATGTGTAAAAAGTTAGGTGTATGAATGTTATTTCAAAACGTTAACAATTTTTATGCATGTTTATTGAATAACAGCCATTGAAGATACAAGTATAACAATAAACAAAAAATCAAACCCACAAACACCATCACCCTTTTCCTTACAGGGTAAATAAAAGAAGGACAATTACAAAAGTAGATCGAAATGTCATCTTGCCAGGATTTCATATTACAAAATATCCACAGAAAACCTTTCTCAATTCTGTGAACATAAGGGAACTGTTTTGAGGAAAGATTCTTTAAAACCAATCAAAAATACGAATCGCAAAGGTAAAAACGAATTTCAAAAAAAAAAAAAAAAATGAAAGACGAATCCATATATATATATTTCCCCTAACCTCTTTTGAAAGACATAAAAACATTTCCAAAATAATAAGGTTTAGACAAAACAAGTCACTTACATGTACTGAAGCAAAGAATACCACTAAAGGATTTGTCCATAGCATTAGAAAATATTCTTTAAACACTTGACAAAATTTTGAGTTTTTTAGTTTTATCGAACATGAATAAAAAGAAACAGAATTCTATTATTAAACCTCTATTTAACATCACAAGAATTGATTTTTATAGATATCTCAAAGTTAATATATAAAGAAATCTTTTTGATTAAAAGTTTTATAAATCACAATGTACTTACTTAAACCGAGGATTTCTGCTGTGGATTTGTCCACACCATCATCTCCTTCCTCTGTATTAATGAGATGACGATAAATATAGATAGGGTGGGTTGAAGTCTCATCAATCTCTGTTGTATCGTTCAAGTCAAAACCAACAGTGTATAGGTTAATATTTTCTTTTTCTGCCTCTTCTGCTTCATTCCATGTGGCATATATATCATCACTCCTCTCATTTGCTGTCATTAGGAAAATGAGATTTCGAGCGAAGTCTCGATCGCCATTTCTTTCATTGAACATTCTTCGTCGTACCATACGAATGGCACCTGCTGCATCAGATGCCGTTCCTCTTTTGTGACCCACACTATCAACAGCAGAAACAATGTCCTTTTTCGAAGTATAGTCATTTAGATCCCATTGCTTATCGTTGGATTCTCCGTATCTCATAAGGCCAACAGTGTATTCTTTGTTGTCGATGTCGAATCGATTGACCAGGGATTTGGCATATTTTTTCATGGCGTCAAACGTTTTCTGTGGAACTGAGGAATCCATCATAATGACAACATCATATCCGGAATCACGTGGTGGGGTTGTCGTGGTTGTTGTTGTTGCTGTAAATGTAAAATAATGATTTTCATCTACAATCTAAGAAAACAAAGATTTGACAGACACAAAAGTTTTTCTCTAAATTTAAAGTTATAAACAACCTTTAGTTTTCCTTTCGTGAAAAAATGAAATATATACTCTTTTGAACTATGGACTAATGTCTACCATACATTGGCAGAAATTTTCCATTCTAAAATCAAAGAAATTTGTTACAAATACTAACTCGTGGTTGTCGTGGTAGGTAATGCTCTGTCTCTTCTCGGGCGAAGTATATTATTAACTGAAAGTATAAAGTTTTAGATATTTTAAATCTGAAAGAAGCATTAATGAAATTTTTTAAATCTAAACGAAAAAGAGATTTTCATCAAAACATAATTTCTATAAATTGCTATGCAAATAATAATTTTTGAAAAAAAAGAAACTAATAGCGTTTAAAACGGCACATATACCCGAACTTGCTAGCCTTCTTGGAACTTCTTTGATGTCTTGTTTTCTTGTAATCAAATATCTATATGTACTAAGGGGATGTGTCGGAACCTCATCGACCTCAAATGTGTCATTAATGTAAAATCCTACGGTATAAATGTTTATGCCCTCATCTTCAGCACGTTCTGCCGCTCGGAACGCCTCGTAAGGATCCGTGCTCCGATCTACTCCTGTCAGTAAAACAATTAAGTTTCGTGCAAAGTCCCTGTCTCCATTGTCCTCTCGGAAGTTCTCGAAGTTCACAATGTCTAGAGCGTCTTGTAGATTACTTTCACCGGGTTTGTATGAAATGTCTTTAATTTTGTCCATTACTTCTTGTTTCGTATCGAGGTCTTTTAAATGCGCAAATGTATCTGAATCCCCGCTGTAGCGTACGAGTCCAATGCGATACTCTTCATCATCGATACTGAGATTATCCACAAGATTTGTAGCAAAGTCCTTCATTTGGTTAAAGACTCTCCTATCATCCACGGAAGAATCTAGCAGGAATACGACATCATATCCAGTGTCTCGAGGTTTTGTTGTGGTTGTCGTAGGCATGGTCGTAGTTATTACTAAAATAATGTACAAAAAAGTCGAATCATAGTATTCATCATAATATTATTCTAGAAAAAGAGAAAATCCAATTTAAAAGTGAAATGTAAAATGTACCTGGACAGACAGATTCAAAGATTTTCTCATCTAAACCTTCAAGTTCATCAAAGGAATTAACTGCAAACGCATTTACACTTGCTGGCTCACTAGCAATGCCATTCACTTCCTTCAAATCCTTCAGTGCTATACCAATGGCATAAATATGTATGCCCTTTTCTCTCGCCTTTTCAGCCTCAGGAATTGTTCTTTGATAATTGATATTGGATACGCCATCAGTCATGATAATGCAAATGTTTGGAACACCTGCCCTGTCACCATTGGCTTCGGAGAACATTTCCTCGTGCATTGTCTTCAGTCCATCGGCGGTGTTTGTACTTCCATATCTCCAAGGAACTTTGTCAACGGCGTCAAACAACTCTGCCTTTGTGTTATAGGTGTTTAGCTGGAATTCTACCGTTACTTGAGTACTGTAAGACACAAGACCGACTCTCACCTCCCCACCATCTATGTTTGCAGAGTGAAGAAACTTTTTAATGAAAACTTTCATTTTGTCGTAGTTATCGCTTCCCACACTAGTGGACGAGTCCAGAATGAAAACTAAATCCACTTTTGCAAAACACTGATCTAAAAAAATAAGAAAATGCATGATTTTAATTATGACAAGTACCTCACCATCTCAAAGTGTATTGGATTTGTTTAAATTTCAGAAAAACGAATTTATGTCTCTAGAAAAACGATGAGTTGGGAAGATATTATACAACTATGGACTTCAGCGTAGGTCGATGAAGGATATTGAGATAACCAACAGTATTCAATATCAAAGTCCAAAAAAAACCCAATACAAAATAGGAGCAGAGCAAACACGGACCTCCAAAACATCAGAGGTTGCATCAGGTGCCATGGAGGAGTGGGCATCCTCTGCGGACCGGTCACTACCGTCGTGTGCCCCTTGTCTTGATAGTGAAATAACGAAAAAAAACCGTCGTCAATTTAGTGTATAGATAATGAAGTAACAATTAGTATGAAAAACGTCAGTCAGCATTTGACTTGGCATTTGACGATATGTCTTTATAAAGACTCGTGGGAAGTGAAATGGATCGTTTTAAGTTTTAAGTATTAAAGCAAAATGAAAATAAAATTTGGATTACCTTTTGAAAAATACATATATAATTTTATTTTTCTCATTAAACATAATTGTAAATACGTATATATGGAATATTATATGGTCTTTTGGTTGACTTGAGGAACAAGAAGGTCAACTATTTTTTTTATCAGATCATTGCTGAGGGAGAATATTGTATTTGATTATAATTAGATACAAAATACTAGTTTAATGGATCGTCTCTACACTGCACAGTAATTCAAGGATATATATTTCATTACATTTATAAAGGGTGCATTTGTGCAGTGAGACTTGACTGCTGAATCGAAATGTAGCGTTATAAGGTTTCACGGGTATATTTTAGTCTTTGGTCATAACGGTATGGTCAGAGACTAAAATTTAAAACCATAACGCTATAGTTCTGCATCTAATTTAGATATAAGATAAAATAAATGCCGCATTCAATTTAATTCATATTGCCAATCTGTTTGTATATATAATTTTTAATTAATTCAAGAAATCAAAGCCTGAGACGAAGATAAGTAATTAGATACTTAATTTTTATGTATTTCCTCTATCAGAAAAACGATCGCGATTTTTGTTTTTCAATACGTAACGTCGCCTTTCAAGTTTTGCAAAAGTAACATTTTCATTGTGTTTGGAAAAATAGGCTTGGGTAGGGGTGGGGTTATTGTTAATCTTTAGACACTTGACACTTATTCATAACTTTATTTATATGTTATCAACCCCGAAAACAAAGTAGACAATACAAAAATATAAATACTCCTGATATATGTATGCTACTTAATATTTAAGAAGCCAAAATATAAATTGAAGAATATCTTGGTGATCAAAAATCCAATGATTATTTAAATTTCTTTCTAATATATAAATAACATTCTTTCTTGCATTGTAATCTAATCAAATGACTCATTTGTTATAAATATATTAAACAATTTCTTGATAGTAAAATCATAATAAAGGAGAGTAATCAAATGTTGAACCCGCTTTTGATTGGTTAATCTGGATCTTGAATCTCGAAACTCGAATTTCGTATTTCGAACCTCGAATCTCGAATGAGCCTTCTGGGCTTTCATACCATTTCACTTGCCATGAGTCCTTATAGCCACATAATGACCGTTCATTGAAGTTCATAATAGTTATATTATATAATTACTTAAACTGAATGATCTCACACGGACCTTTCTAAACCGACTTGGCTGACATTACGTCACAATGATAAAAACATGCTTTTTATATCATGACGTCCTGTTCTAATTAAGTAACTTTGGTCCCGTTCGAAGTAACTTTGGTGCAGCCAAACGGTGTGACGTGCGATATCATATTCCACAGAAAAAAAACTTTCGCGTCGATTTCACAAACATTGTTTAACCTGAGGTCCTTTCAGCCGATGAAAACTAAAAAAATAATTTCTTATAGAATATATACTTTTACATCATTCAATCTGGGTGACATTTAAAATGAAAGAAATCATCATAGAAGACGAGTAAATTATTTTATTTCAAAGAGATTTAAAATTTATAGATAAAATGTAGTCCAAAAGAATATATTTTAACATATTTGTTTTAATCTGATTATTGGACTTTTGTGAAGAGCGCTGACTTTCACAATCAACGGCTTACTTTTACACTGAGAACATATACGGGAACTTTTGTGTAATTTTTTTATCTTAACATTTTAATGAAACGATAAATATTTCTTTTTCAAAGTCCATATTACGTAGCCTAGGAAAGAAACGGCAACATTCCTACCCTCAATACCCTCCATTCCAACCTTTACTAACCCCTGCCGAGTTTATCTACCGAAATGTGTTTTCTTCTTCATTTATTTTCCAACCTTATTGAAAATGAAAAAAATATACTTATTCCCGTGAATAAGATATCCTAATTAATTCTATTTTACCTTCAACTATATTTTGTGTTTGGTAAAAAATGTCAAAGCCCCAAATATCATAATTTTAACCTCTAGGAATGTTTTTCTATTTTTTTATCAATTCCGTATGACGCAGATTTAAATGTCAACGTAAGTTTCAACTGTGAAAATAGTGTCTTCACAAAAGTCCATCTGTATGGTTCATCAAACTTACTGATTGTTGTAGTTGGCATCATTGTAGTGGTAGTAGTGGTGGTTGTTGGTTTTGGTCTCGGCCTTGGTGGCTCTACATCTTCATCAACTTTGTAAGATAATAATGGTTGAAATTTGGAGTTATTCATTTTATAAGAATGCAAAACTAACACCTAATTTCTATAACTAAATCCAAAATTTTTTAACATCACAGAAATTGGAAAAAGAAATATCCCAGTGTATATCTTGAAAATAATCTTTCTAATGAACAGTTTTATGAATCACAAAACACTCATTTTGACCAAAACTTTTTGCAGTGGATTTGTCTACCGTATCTGTTTGATGCAAGATTTTGTAACATCATAGAAATTAAAGAAATATCTACATGTATACCTTGACATATATTTTTCTTATTCAAAGTTTAAACATCCCAAAATACATACTTAAACCGAGGATTTCTGCTGTGGATTTGTCCACAGCATCATCTCCTTCCTCTGTATTAATGAGATGACGATAAATATAGAGAGGGTGGGTTGAAGTCTCATCAATTTCTGTTGTATCATTCAAATCAAAACCAACAGTGTACAGGTTAATATTTTCTTTTTCTGCCTCTTCTGCTTCATTCCATGTGGCATATATATCATCACTTCTCTCATTTGCTGTCATTAAGAAAATGAGATTTCGAGCGAAGTCTCGATCGCCATTTCTTTCATTGAACATTCTTCGTCGTACCATACGGACGGCACCTGCTGCATCAGATGCCGTTCCTCTTTTATGACCCACACTATCAACAGCAGAAATAATGTCCTTTTTCGAAGGATAATCATTTAGATCCCATTGCTTATCGTTTGATTCTCCATATCTCATAAGGCCCACTGTGTATTCTTTGTTGTCGATGTCGAATCGATTGACCAGGGATTTGGCATATTTTTTCATGGCCTCAAACGTTTTCTGTGGAACTGAGGAATCCATCATGATGACAACATCATATCCAGAATCCCGTGGTGGTTGTTGTTGTTGTTGTTGCTGTGAATGTACAATAATGATTTTCATTTTCAATGGTAGAAAGAAAATGATTGAACAGATATAAAATATGCCATTAAATTTAGATATAACAACCTCTAACTTTCTTTAGGTGAAAACTGAAATATTTACGCTTTTCAACTATAGATGAATGTCTACTTTTACATTAGATAAACTTTTCTATTCTAAAATCAAAGAAATTTGTTACATATTCTTACTCGTAGTTGTAGTGGTAGGCAAAGGTCTGTCTCTTCTCGGGCGAAGAATATTATCAACTGTAAAATAAGATATTTGAAAACTTAAAACAAAACATATATAAAGTTTCTAAAATGTAAACAAAAATGAGTTTGTTTATTGTAAAATTTTTTATAAAGAAACAAATGCTATAAAGGATGAGTAAAATATCAATAGTTTTTCTAAAAAAAAAAAGGCATGAATACCAGAATTGGCTAGTCTTTTTGGAACTTCTTTGATGTCTTGTTTCCTTGTAATCAAATATCTATATGTACTAAGGGGATATGTCGGAACCTCATCGACCTCAAATGTGTCATTAATGTAAAATCCTACGGTATAAATGTTTATGCCCTCATCTTCAGCACGCTCTGCTGCCCGGAACGCTTCATAGGGATCCGTACTCCGATCTACTCCTGTCAGTAAAACAATTAAGTTTCGTGCAAAGTCCCTGTCTCCATTATCCTCTCGGAAGTTCTCAAAGTTCACAATGTCTAGAGCGTCTTGTAGATTACTTTCACCGGGTTTATATGAAATGTCTTTAATTTTGTCCATTACTTCTTGTTTCGTATCGAGGTCTTTTAAATGCGCAAATGTATCTGAATCCCCGCTGTAGCGTACGAGACCAATGCGATACTCTTCATCATCGATACTGAGATTATCCACAAGATTTGTAGCAAAATCCTTCATTTGGTTAAAGACTCTCCTATCATCCACAGAAGAATCTAGCAGGAATACGACATCATATCCAGTGTCTCGAGGTTTTGTTGTGGTTGTCGTAGGCATGGTCGTAGTTATTACTAAAATAATGTACAAAAAAGTTGAATCATAGTATTCATCATAATATTATTCTAGAAAAAGAGAAAATCCAATTTAAAAGTGAAATGTAAAATGTACCTGGACAGACAGATTCAAAGATTTTCTCATCTAAACCTTCAAGTTCATCAAAGGAATTAACTGCAAACGCATTTACACTTGCTGGCTCACTAGCAATGCCATTCACTTCCTTCAAATCCTTCAGTGCTATACCAATGGCATAAATATGTATGCCCTTTTCTCTCGCTTTTTCAGCCTCAGGAATTGTTCTTTGATAATTGATATTGGATACACCATCAGTCATGATAATGCAAATGTTTGGAACACCTGCCCTGTCACCATTAGCTTCGGAGAACATTTCTTCGTGCATTGTCTTCAGTCCATCGGCGGTGTTGGTACTTCCATATCTCCAAGGAACTTTGTCAACGGCGTCAAACAACTCTGCCTTTGTGTTATAGGTATTGAGCTGGAATTCTACCGTTACTTGAGTACTGTAAGACACAAGACCGACTCTCACCTCCCCACCATCTATGTTTGCAGAGTGAAGAAACTTCTTAACGAAAACTTTCATTTTGTCGTAGTTATCGTTTCCCACACTAGTGGACGAGTCCAGAATGAAAACTAAATCCACTTTTGCGAAACACTGATCTAAAACAAAATTAAGAGAGCGCAATGATTTTTAATGATGTCTAGTTCCTTACCATCTCAATTTGTATAGGACATTATGAAATCTCAAGATGAGGAATTATTTAGGAATATGATGAGTTGGGAATATATACACCTGTGCATCATTAAAAATTGGTTGTAAATTCTATGAATGATGAAAATTTTAAGGTATCAGACTAAAAGCAATTATTATAAAAAAAAGTAAATTCTTTTATCCCCAAGAGGATTTCAACTGAAGTATGTAAGTTTATCCTAAGGGTACATTTTCAGCATATTTGATTTAATCTTCTCATCTTGATGGTTCATTAAGCTTACTGATTGTTGTAGTTGGCATCATTGTGGTGGTAGTGGTGGTTGTTGTAGGTTTTGGTCTCGGTCTTGCTGGTTCTACATCTTCATCGACTATGTCAGACAAAAATTGATAACACTTGGAGTTTTCATTATATAAGAATGCGAAAATAAAAACGTTTCGATAAATCAGCATCTGTTTGATGCAAGATTCTCTAAGATCATAGAAACTAAAAAAAATCCACATGTACTCCTTGAAATAATTTTTTCTTATTTAAAGTTTAAAACATCACAAAATACTTACTTAAACTGAGGATTTCTGCTGTGGATTTGTCCACAGCATCATCTCCTTCCTCTGTGTTAATGAGATGACGATAAATATACAGAGGGTGGGTTGAAGTCTCATCAATTTCTGTTGTATCGTCTAAGTCAAAACCAACAGTGTACAGATTGATATTTTCTTTTTCTGCCTCTTCTGCTTCATTCCATGTGTCATATATATCATCACTCCTCTCATTTGCTGTCATTAAGAAAATGAGATTTCGAGCGAAGTCTCGGTCGCCATTTCTTTCATTGAACATTCTTCGTCGTACCATACGAATGGCACCTGCTGCATCAGATGACGTTCCTCTCTTCTGACTCACTCTATCAACAGCAGAAACAATGTCCTTTTTCGAAGCATAGTCATTTAGATCCCATTGCTTATCGTTTGATTCTCCATATCTCATAAGGCCCACAGTGTATTCTTTGTTGTTGATGTCGAATCGATTGACCAAAGATTTGGCATATTTTTTCATGGCATCGAACGTTTTCTGTGGAACTGAGGAATCCATCATGATGACAACATCATATCCAGAATCCCGTGGTGGGGTTGTAGTGGTAGTTGTGGTTGCTGTCAATGGTAAAAAATGATTTTCTGTTTAACAGGAAGGAAAAAAAAACATTGAACTGGAATAACGTATGCCTATGCATTTATTGTAATGAATTGCCCATATTTTACCTTGTGAAGAATAATCAGTATATATATATATTTTTTAAACTATCAGTAGGCATCTAATTTTAATTAGGTAATTGGCTCATATTTGAAATATATCTGTTTTTCAAATTTTATATAGAAAAATATATACCCATTTTATTTATTTATATTGATAAAAAAACTCACATGAGCATGTACAAATACTTACTCGTAGTTGTAGTAGTAGGTAGAGGTCTGTCTCTTCTCGGGCGAATGATATTATCAACTGGAAATATAAAATTTAAACTATTTTTAATCTTTAAATGCAAAAAACAAAGCATGAATCAAGTTTCTATATAGTAACAATATTGAGAATGTAAAATTTTATAACAATTCATCAAACAACTGCTATAAAAGACTATACTATTAAGGTGTGTACAAAATCTACACTTTTTAAAAAGAAATGTGTACCCGAATTCGCTAGCCTTCTTGGTATTTCTTTGATGTCTTGTTTTCTTGTAATCAAATATCTATATGTACTAAGGGGATGTGTCGGAACCTCATCGACCTCAAATGTGTCATTAATGTAAAATCCTACGGTATAAATGTTTATGCCCTCATCTTCAGCGCGTTCTGCCGCCCGGAACGCCTCGTAAGGATCCGTGCTCCGATCTACTCCTGTCAGTAAAACAATTAAGTTTCGTGCAAAGTCCCTGTCTCCATTGTCCTCTCGGAAGTTCTCGAAGTTCACAATGTCTAGAGCGTCTTGTAGATTACTTTCACCGGGTTTGTATGAAATGTCTTTAATTTTGTCCATTACTTCTTGTTTCGTATCGAGGTCTTTTAAATGCGCAAATGTATCTGAATCCCCGCTGTAGCGTACGAGACCAATGCGATACTCTTCATCATCGATACTGAGATTATCCACAAGATTTGTAGCAAAGTCCTTCATTTGATTAAAGACTCTCCTATCATCCACAGAAGAATCTAGCAGGAATACGACATCATATCCAGTGTCTCGAGGTTTTGTTGTGGTTGTCGTAGGTATGATCGTAGTTATTACTATAATAATATACAAAAAAGTTGAATCATAGAATTCATCATAATATTATACTAGAAATAGAAACAAAATCCAATTTAAATGTGAAATGTAAAATGTACCTGGACAGACAGATTCAAAGATTTTCTCATCTAAACCTTCAAGTTCATCAAAGGAATTAACTGCAAACGCATTTACACTTGCTGGCTCACTAGCAATTCCATTCACTTCCTTCAAATCTTTAAGTGCAATACCAATGGCATAAATATGTATGCCCTTTTCTCTCGCTTTTTCAGCCTCAGGAATCGTCCTTTGATAATTGATATTGGATACGCCATCAGTCATGATAATGCATATGTTTGGAACACCTGCCCTATCACCATTAGCTTCGGAGAACATTTCTTCGTGCATTGTTTTAAGTCCATCGGCGGTGTTTGTACTTCCATATCTCCAAGGAACTTTGTCAACGGCGTCAAACAACTCTGCCTTTGTGTTATAGGTATTGAGCTGGAATTCTACCGTTACTTGAGTACTGTAAGACACAAGACCGACTCTCACCTCCCCACCATCTATGTTTGCAGAGTGAAGAAACTTCTTAACGAACACTTTCATTTTGTCATAGTTATCGTTTCCTACGCTAGTGGACGAATCCAGAATGAAAACCAAATCCACTTTTGCGAAACACTGATCTTAAATGAAATCAAGAAAATGCAATGAATAATATGTATCTATAGGTTAGACTCATGACTCGTACACCTTGCGAGTGCTTGATGAAATTGAGCATCTTGTTTGATTTAAGACTACCTTTCTGAAAGAGGAAATTAAAAGTTTTGAATGGTGGAAGATACAAATAAGAGGATTTGTTAGATACCATGGTTGTTTGAGGTTCAAAATATCAGCATCCAGTTTGAACTTGTTAAGACGGGAATTAACAGCAAGTAAAAGAAAGATCAGGAGGGCTTTAGAAAAGGAAAGTGCTGTTGTGACCAATTATTTATATTAAAAAACATGGTAGAACAATGCACTAAATATCAAAGACAACAAATCATAAATTTCAATGATTATGACAGGATTCAGAGAGACACAGTGTGATGAAGATTCTAACCCACTGTAGTATAATCAAGCTGTCCTTATAAAACATTCTTGGCAAAATTTATAAATTCTTTTGGTAATTCTTTAAACAAAGTTTCTTTGTGAAATATGGGATAAGACGAGGAGCCCTATTGCTATATACAAGGTTATTTTTGCCCGTGTTATTTTCACCCTTTTACACTTGCTAACAATCTTGCCCCGTTTTTTAATTCGCTTAGTCACAGTTCTGTTAAAACAAGAGGCCCACGGGCCTTATAGGTCACCTGAGTATCCCGTAACAAGTTTCCAACAATTGAATTTGATTCATGTTTTACACCAGAGGCAATGAAATTCACAATTTTGAAAGAGAAACCATTGCTTATCATCATTATACACTTAGCGTGCTTACTTTGGTTACTTATACCCAGAGGTACATCAGAGCAACAAAGACAAAATGAATTACTATTTATAACCAGTTGTGCACCCCACCCCACAGGAACTACTGACCCTAGGGCCACATATTTCAAAATTTTGGAAATTTCATCATGAATTTTATTTCATCCTAAATTGTTGATTAATATCAAAGTGCAGATTTCAAAGCATTAATTCATATTCAGACTATGTACCCCCATTCTCTAAATACATCTGACCCAGGGGCCCGGAAATTAACCATTTTGAAAGAAACAGCTTTCTTCATCATTAATATATACTTACATAATTGGCATAGTACCCAGGAGCACAGGAAAAATTTTTCAAAGTATTCATCGATTTTTGTTATATAAACATTAGAGCCCCGCCCTAACACATGAAGCCCTGGCCCAGGGGCCCAGAAATTCACAAATCTCAAAGAGGCATCCTTCCTTCTCATAACTATGTACATAGTTCATTGGTTTAATACCCAGGCGCAGAAAAGAAGATTTCCAAAGAAATAATGCATTTTCACTATATAATCTATATAGCCCCGCCCTAGCACTAGAACCCCTGACCCTAGGGCCATGAAATTCACAATTTTGGATGAGGCAGCCTTGTTCAACATAACTATGCACTTGGTTAGTTTATTTAATACCCATGAGCAGAGAAGAAGAATTTCAAAGAATTTATGCATTTTCACTATATAATCTAGATAGCCCCGCCCTAGCACTAGAACCCCTGACCCTGGGGCCATGAAATTCACAATTTTGGTAGAGGAAACCTTATTCAACATAACTATGCACTTGGTTAGTTTATTTAATACCCATGAGCAGAGAAGAAGAATTTCAAAGAATTTATGCATTTTCACTATATAATCTATATAGCCCCGCCCTAGCACTAGAACCCCTGACCCTGGGGCCATGAAATTCATAATTTTGGTAGAAGACCCAATGCTGATTACAATCATACCAACAGTTTGACTGCTTAATGTCCAGGAGTAAAGAAGAAGATTTTTAAGGATTGCACTATTTTTAGTGGTTTTGGCCCCACCCCCAGGCCCCAGGGGGGCAAGGACCATGAATTTCACAATTTTTGTTCCCCTTCACCAATAGATGCTGCATGCCAAAATTGGTTGAAATTGATTCAGCAGTTTCAGAGAAGAAGCTGAAAATGTTCAAATGTTAATGCACGACGAACGACGCACGACGAACAACGACAGACGAAAACAGGTAGCAATAGGTCACCTGAGTTTATTCAGGTGACCTAAAAATTATACCGCGTTCTTTGAATTCGTCCCGCTTTAAATTTGTCCACTTGTGACAAGGGCAAAAATGACAAAAATAAACGGGGGAGAAAATTTCCATGAATGCATTATTCATTATGGTAGTTGAATGTTATTTAAATCAACTCTCAGTGAAAACAACACAGGCATCCGGTGGATTCTCTTTGGCAATGTAAAAGACTTAAATTATTCAGATGATCTATCCCACTTTCTCATCTGGAAACACAAATGAGAAGCAAAAATCCCAGTTGCAAAATATGCCATCAAAATGATTTTAAACATCAATACTTAAGTCCCTGAAAACAATAAAAACACCCCAAAACAACTAAATTAAAAAGAGATTAAAACATGTCATACATATCTTGCAAACATAGTGACATCAGATGGCAGTACTGAAAAGAACAAAAATGCAAGATTAGCAAAAGCCAGAGGATCTTCTATTAAACCATATTCCGTTCATGATATATGAAAATCAAACAGTGAAAATAAACACACTGAGAGCAATGCATAATAGGTGTTTATATTTTTGTCTTAACGGCTGGTGCTGAATTCTAGAAGATAACATAGATTGATATTATAGTTTCCATATCACAGTTTCCATTTTTGGTGCTTCAGAAAAACAACAGATATGAGGATAGTACTAAGAAAATACAGAAGGAGATAGATGGGCCATGTCTTAAGAGAGCCAACAAATGATATAACAAGAGTGGCACTCAGATGGACCCCAGAAGAGAACAGGACGAAAGGCCGACCAAACACAACATGGAGGCTACCTGCTGAAAATAAAACACCCAGAGAAGGAAACTTATATGAGGAGAGGTTAAAAAGTTAACAAAAAAATAAAGAAAAAACGACAGTCAATAGCCTTTACCCAATGGGCCTCCGGGTGCGAATAGAACTAGGACGTAGGTACGTAAGTTGAAGGATTAGTAAGTAGGTAGGTAGATTTTAGTTTTCAAATTTTAAAACTTATTAGTAAAGCAGATATAAGAACTCACATATCGGAGTTCAAAGTAAAACAGTTTTGAAATAAATAGCTATTTTGTCGGTTACTCGTTTATACGATAGATTGATTTCAATGAGATGATATGATAACATTCAGGCAGGGCAGGTCAGACTTTACCCAAAATTATGGAACGTCTTGAAATATCAGAATATCTAATTTATATATCTAGGAATATGATGAGTTTGGAAGAAACATGCTTTGGGGTTTTAATAATTTCACAAATTTAAATGAGAATAAAAGCCAAATTTAAATGAGAATAAAAGAATTTTTTATAACAGACACAGGTGTATTCTTTCAATTTAAGAGATTTTTAAGCTTTATGCATATGTAAATTTATCTTACAGGTACATATACTAGAGCATATTTGATTTAATTTGCTTATCTGTATGGTTCATCAAACTTACTAATTGTTGTAGTTGGCATCATTGTGGTGGTGGTGGTGGTTGGTTTTGGTCTCGGTCTTGGTGGCTCTACATCTTCATCAACTTTGTAAGATAATAATGGTTGAAATTTGGAGTTCTTCATTTTATAAGAATGCAAAATGAACAAAAGAAAGAATTCAATAATTTAACCTCTTTTTGATGCAAGATTTTGTAGCATCAAAGAAAATAAAAATAAATCACAATGTTTAAAACAAAAAAATATTTCTTATTAAAAGTGTTATAAATCACAATATACATACTTAAACCGAGAATTTCTGCAGTGGATTTGTCCACAGCATCATCACCCTCCTCTGTATTAATGAGATGACGATAAATATAGAGAGGGTGGGTTGAAGTCTCATCAATTTCTGTTGTATCGTCTAAGTCAAAACCAACAGTGTACAGATTAATATTTTCTTTTTCTGCCTCTTCTGCTTCATTCCATGTGGCATATATATCATCACTCCTCTCATTTGCTGTCATTAAGAAAATGAGATTTCGAGCGAAGTCTCGGTCGCCATTTCTTTCATTGAACATTCTTCGTCGTACCATACGAATGGCGCCTGCTGCATCAGATGCCGTTCCTCTTTTATGACCCACACTATCAACAGCAGAAACAATGTCCTTTTTCGAAGCATAGTCATTTAGATCCCATTGCTTATCGTTGGATTCGCCATATCTCATAAGGCCCACTGTGTATTCTTTGTTGTCGATGTCAAATCGATTGACTAAAGATTTGGCATATTTTTTCATGGCGTCAAACGTTTTCTGTGGAACTGAAGAATCCATCATAATGACAACATCATATCCGGAATCACGTGGTGGGGTTGTCGTGGTTGTTGTTGTTGCTATAAATGTAAAATAATGATATTATGTTTCAATGGGAAAAAATGTTTAATCATGCTTTACATCTGCTCTTACATTTAAAAATATGGACAATCTAATGGTTTGTCGTTATAAACCATGATCTTTTTGATTGAATTTCAAGTGATTATTTGGGGGAGGGATCAATTAAAAAAAGAGAAAGATTTGTTACAAATACTTACTCGTAGTTGTAGTTGTAGGTAATGGTCTGTCTCTTCTCGGACGAAGGATATTATCAACTGTAAAGATCAATTTTTTTTATATATTTATGACCTTAAGAAGAAAAGTATAAATACTCTCTAACTGACTATAATAATTCCTTAAAAATATATTGAGATAGCTATGCAAATACTGTGGAATCATCTAAATATGTGGATGTCGATGTTAGTAGGTAAGATGTTTGATTATTACCAAATAGCAGATTTCAAACAATTAATTCACTTTCAGTAAATAAAAAGAGCCCCCCTCCACTATGGTTCCCCTGACCCAGGGGCCTTGAAATTCACAATTCTGGAAGAAGGGTCCTTGCTCATCATGGCTATATTAATGAAGGTAGTTCATCTGCTAAATACCCAGATGCAGAGAAGAAGATTTTTAAAGATTTGATGATTTTCACTATATAATTAATAGAGCCCCGCCCTAAGACCAGAACCCTTAACCCTGAGTCCATAAAATTCACAATTTCGGAACAGTCATTCTTGCTCATCATTACGATGTCCTTAGTTTGTTTGTTTAAAACCCAGGAGCAGAGAAGAAGAATTTCAAAGAATCTCTGCATTTTCTCTATATAATCAATAGAGACCGCCCTAAGACCAGAACCCCTGTCCCTGGGGTCACAAAATTCACAATTCTGGAAGAGACTTTCTTGCTTACCATAATTATATACTTACTTAGTTTATTTAATACCCAGGAGCAGAGAAGAAGATTTTCAAAGAAGCTCTGCATTTTCACTATATCATATATATAGCCCCGCCCTATCACTAGAACCCCTGATCCTTCAAACAGAACTAGTAGTTCATTCTTTTACATGTTTGCATACCCGATCTTGCTAGCCTTCTTGGAACTTCTTTGATGTCTTGTTTTCTTGTAATCAAATATCTGTATGTACTGAGGGGATGCGTTGGAACCTCATCGACCTCAAATGTGTCATTAATGTAAAATCCTACGGTATAAATGTTTATGCCCTCATCTTCAGCACGTTCTGCTGCCCGGAACGCCTCGTAAGGATCCGTGCTCCGATCTACTCCTGTCAGTAAAACAATTAAGTTTCGTGCAAAGTCTCTGTCTCCATTGTCCTCTCGGAAGTTCTCGAAGTTCACAATGTCTAGAGCGTCTTGTAGATTACTTTCACCGGGTTTGTATGAAATGTCTTTAATTTTGTCCATTACTTCTTGTTTCGTATCGAGGTCTTTTAAATGCGCAAATGTATCTGAATCCCCGCTGTAGCGTACGAGACCAATGCGATACTCTTCATCATCGATACTGAGATTATCCACAAGATTACTTGCAAAGTCCTTCATTTGGTTAAAGACTCTCCTATCATCCACAGAAGAATCTAGCAGGAATACGACATCATATCCAGTGTCTCGAGGTTTTGTTGTGGTTGTCGTAGGCATGGTCGTAGTTATTACTAAAATAATGTACAAAAAAGTTGAATCAAAGAATTCATCATAATATTATTCTAGAAATAGAAAAAATCCAATTTAAATGTGAAATGTAAAATGTACCTGGACAGACAGATTCAAAGATTTTCTCATCTAAACCTTCAAGTTCATCAAAAGAATTAACTGCAAACGCATTCACACTGGCCGGCTCACTAGCAATTCCATTCACTTCCTTCAAATCTTTAAGTGCAATACCAATGGCATAAATATGTATGCCCTTTTCTCTCGCCTTTTCAGCCTCAGGAATCGTCCTTTGGTAATTGATATTGGATACGCCATCAGTCATGATAATGCAAATGTTTGGAACACCTGCCCTGTCACCATTGGCTTCGGAGAACATTTCTTCGTGCATTGTTTTAAGTCCATCGGCGGTGTTGGTACTTCCATATCTCCAAGGAACTTTGTCAACGGCGTCAAACAACTCTGCCTTTGTGTTATAGGTATTGAGCTGGAATTCTACCGTTACTTGAGTACTGTAAGACACAAGACCAACTCTCACCTCCCCACCATCTATGTTTGCAGAGTGAAGAAACTTCTTAACGAACACTTTCATTTTGTCATAGTTATCGTTTCCCACGCTAGTGGACGAATCCAGAATAAAAACCAAATCCACTTTTGCGAAACACTGATCTGAAACAAAATTAAAGAAATCGCATTGATTTTATGCTTCTGTATTTTATATGACTGAATTGATTTGAAAAGAGCTGCTTGTCTGGTCAAAATATGAAGCGTATCTCAAATTTCATTGATTTTATTTAAAATTAAGATATTTAAAAGTTAAAGGCTTGCAAAAAAGGAACTTTGTAAGAAACCCTATGTTTTTATAGTATTAAATATTATCACACAAAATGCTTTGATAAAATTTGGATATGTGTCCAAAAATAATTAGCACAACAGATATAAAGCAAGAGGCCCAAGAGACTTTATGTTACCCAAGGATGCTTCCTTATGAATATGACATATCGGTATCATGGTTTTGCTTTTCTTGAGAAGATTGTTAAACATTTTTCCTATGTATTCATATCTAAATCTTTGATTGTCTATTCTGGCCTCACCCTAACTTCAGAGTAATGATTTTAACAAACTTGACTTTATATCATCTTAGAATGCTTCTATATAAATATAACTATCATGGCTTTGCTGTATTTGAAAATTATCCCTTTGAAATCGTTTGAAAACTTTTAGTGTCCATTGTCGCCGCACCTTTCACCAGGGATCATATGCGTTATTTAAATGCACTTGAATCAGCACTACCTGAAAATGTTTCCATATAAGTTTCATCCTTTTTGGTTCAGTGGTTCTGGTGTGGAAGAAGTTTCAAGGATTTTCCTATTTTTGCCTATGAAAATTTTGGTCATCTATTATACCTCCACCCTACCCCTGGGATTTATGATTTGAATTTACACTACCTTCGGCTTACCTGGCCCACTGGTTCTTCTTCAGAAGATTTTTTTTAAAAATTCTTAACTATCTCTCCTTGAAAAAGCGTGGCCCTTCACTTGAACTAATTTGAATCCCCTTTACCTAAAGATGTTTTGATGTACGTTTGGTTGACATTGGCTCAGTGGCTTAAGAGAAGTAGGCAAGATACGTTGTGTATGTCCTAAAGTCATGTAATGTAATAAATTCCTCAAAATTATTTTTGCGAGTTTATTTTAATTTGCTTTTTTGTATGGTTCATCAAACTTACTGATAGTTGTAGTTGGCATCATTGTGGTGGTGGTGGTGGTTGTTGGTTTTGGTCTCGGTCTTGGTGGCTCTACATCTTCATCAACTTTGTGAGATAAAAATGGTTAAACCTGGAGTTTTTCATTTTATAAGAATGCAAAATGAACAAAAAAAAATCGATAATTTAAACTCTTTAAAATGCAAGATTTTGTAGCATCATAGAAAATAGAAATAAATCACAATGTTTAAACAGAAGAAAATATTTCTTATTAGAGGTTTATAAATCGCAATATACATACTTAAACCGAGGATTTCTGCTGTGGATTTGTCCAAAGCACCATCTCCTTCCTCTGTATTAATGAGATGACGATAAATATAGAGAGGGTGGGTTGAAGTCTCATCAATTTCTGTTGTATCGTCTAAGTCAAAACCAACAGTGTACAGATTAATATTTTCTTTTTCTGCCTCTTCTGCTTCATTCCATGTGGCATATATATCATCACTCCTCTCATTTGCTGTCATTAAGAAAATGAGATTTCGAGCGAAGTCGCGATCGCCATTTCTTTCGTTAAACATTCTTCGTCGTACCATACGGATGGCGCCTGCTGCATCAGATGCAGTTCCTCTTTTATGACCCACTCTATCAACAGCAGAAACAATATCCTTTTTCGAAGCATAGTCATTTAGATCCCATTGCTTATCGTTGGATTCTCCATATCTCATAAGGCCCACAGTGAATTCTTTGTTTTCGATGTCGAATCGATTGACCAGGGATTTGGCATATTTTTTCATGGCGTCAAACGTTTTCTGTGGAACTGAGGAATCCATCATGATGACAACATCATATCCGGAATCACGTGGTGGGGTTGTTGTGGTCGTTGTTGCTGCAATATGTTAGTGATATTTTGAAACTATTATTCTCTCATTTGGAATTGTTTTTATAGTGATAGAATTTTATGTTGTACTTTCTATTTTACAAAATAATTTTAAAGAGAGATAAGATATCTAAATCATGTTTAATCCTTGTCATTTTTAAATATATTTCTATAGGTACATCTCAAAAATGTAATTCAGTTGATCTTTTATCATATTATCTGACAAAATTGATGGTATTTAACAAATCCTGTATGATAAATCACTCACTTGTGGTAGTTGTCGTTGGATATGGCCTTTCTCTTCGTGGTTGTATGTTTTTATCAACTGGTTAAATAAGATAAGTTAAAAATGTAATGTATTGAAATGTTCTTCTTTTAATGTGTGACAAATCAATAAGTTAATTTTAATTGTAAATTTTTCAACATTTTTTCTTATTTACTTCTTAATTAAATCCCGTAAATATTGAACTAGAAGGTTCTTTATTTATGTAGACATTTTTATTTTTCAATAAGCACCAATTTCTTTTTAACAAACATTTTCTATAGTCTTACTAGATTTGGATAAAGAAATCATCGTTCCTTGGAGGTCTCTCCTGTTGTTGATTAAGTATCGGTATTTGGATAGAGGATGTGTTGATACACCATTGATTTCAAACGTGTCATTGAGGTAAAACCCTACGGTATACAGATTTATTCCCAAAGCCTCAGCTCTTTCTGCAGCTCGGAAAGCGTCATATGGATTCGAACTTTGGTCCACACCCGTCAGCAAAACAATTAAGTTTCTGGCAAAATCTCGGTCTCCATTGTCGTCTCTAAACATGTTGAGAGTGACTGTGTCGATTGCTATTTGAAGATTACTTTCCCCAGGTCTGTAATTCATTGATAACATGCTCCGAATTATATCATCTGTTTTCCTATACGTGTTAAGTTGAGTGAGGGCCTCTGCGTCAGTGCTATATCTCATAAAGCCGATTCGATATTCTTGGTCATCGACATTCAGTTCGCGAGTCAATTGAATTGCAAAATTTTTCATTTCTTCGAACAATGCTTGACTGGATACTGATGAATCAAACATGATTATTACGTCATATCCGGATTCAACTTTTGGTGTGGTTGGCACGGTCGTAGTAACTGAAAAGATAAAAATAAACATTATAGTTATATACATTATTTCCAATTCTTTATCCAAACGCTTTTGAAAAGTGTGTTATTCATGAAATGATCATATTTAGAGGTAAACATTTCCTGTTGAATTTTTAACTTGATTTGCAGCAATAGTTTACAATACACTGATTGAATCTACGCTGTACAGTTAAGATTAAAGTAAGGAGGCGGGGCCTAATTTGTACGGGAAATATTTACTATGACGTCTCACATAATAAAAGGTCTCAAAATACCACAAAATGAAATTATATGCTATTACAAACAGCTGGATTGCTGTAAACTAAATACAAACTTGTTATTACATGCAGTTTTGTCGTTTGTTAAATCCCAAACAACAGTATGTAAACGATGCATCGATCGCAATGCACTTGTCAATGTAACGTCATCCCGCAAAAATGACGCAGTTTGTACACAGTGAGAGGCTGATCAAGTCACATTTTGTACAATGAAAAATGTCTTTTGTTCTGAAATGAAATATTATTTGCAATTAAATAAAAGGCCGTTAATTTGGATGCGATGTCTATTTTAGTATTTTATTTTTAAACTGTCCGTACATTTTCCAGACAAGTGATACTGTCATGTGTTTGTATGCAGATTCAATGAAAAAGTAATGGAAGGACCCTAATAAATCGATAAGTTGTAAGAGCATACCCTCAATGTATCTTGTCAAGTTTTTACACATAAACTTAAGAAGCATTAAGATATTTGAAAAGTGCTGCGATCCTCATGAAATCTTGCAACTAAATTAATTATAGCTATATTAAATGTAGTGGACCAGCAAAATAATCAACCTGCCGTCCAAAAAATAAAATTTTAGCAATTAAAAAAGGGAATCTATATAGGTTCGCAGCACTTTTCACAAACTACATATAGTGTTGAAAAGGATTATAAATTAAACTAAGATTTTTAACTTGGTTATGCCCTTGCAATATTGGAATTTATAGATGACAGCTAAACTGCAAGTATAATTGCTAAAATCATGTGACGTCGACATCACGTGACAAGTCTAAATAAGAAATCTTAATGTCCCCAACATGTAGATTTAAACCACATTACATTTTTTTGATATCAGTGAAGTCCTAAAAAGAATCTACCATCCAAATCAAGTGTGTATTTTTTATCTTAAAAAATCGTGGATATTTCCATTTGCAACCTTAACTGTGCTGCGTATAAAAATGAGAGAAAAAAAAATAAGATAAAATGACATTGTGTGATCTCTGTAAAATAATTTAATTTAGTGCGAGCATTACTTGGTAAAAAGGCTCTGTTTGTGTTGATGTATTAATCTATTATTTATATAAACTTAAGGGGTTAATCTGTAGTTTTTTGGAAAGTCAAAGTATCAGGACGTATTTTTTATGAATATCCCTCATTTTACAATCTGATAGAAATATGATTTTATTAAGATAAAACTTTAATATCATTTTCAAAAACAAATATTTGCAAAACTCCGATAAGTGAACAATCAATGTGGTTTCTAAGTAATTCTTGATTGGTTACCGTGGTGAAAACATTCAACGTATATTACACTTCAGGTTTCGTACAAATTACATTAAAGAAACAAACCTGGGCAAACGGATTCAAAAATTTTCTCGTCTAAACCCTCTAATTCATCAAAGGTTTTCACGGCAAATGCATTGACGCTTGCTGGTTGACTGGCTATTCCGTTCAGTTCTTGCACGTCTTGTAAATTAATACCAATAGCATAGATATGAATACCCTTCTCGCGTGCAACCTCAGCTTCGGGAATGGTTCTTTGGTAATTGATGTTAGAGACGCCGTCAGTCATTATGACGCATATGTTTGGTACATCGGACCTGTCACCATTGGGTGCCGTGAACATTTCTTTGTGCATGACCAGCAGACCGTCTGCTGTATTTGTGCTTCCATATCGCCACGGTATTTTGTCGACTGCTTCAAATACGGCGGCTTTGGTACTGTAAGTGTTGAGTTGGAATTCAACTGTTGTTGTAGTGCTGTAAGACACGACACCGACACGAACTTCACCGCCGTCAATGTTGGCTGTGTGCAAAAACTTCTTAATAAACAGTTTCATCTTGTCGTAATGAACAATATTCAATCTCAAAGTCCATAAAACAATACAAAATAGCAGCAGAGAAAACACCACCTCTAATTGTCTTGTCCAACGCTTGTTGAAGAGTCCAATATAAATATCAGATCCACTTTCGCAAAGCACGAGCTTCCTGTAAAGTGTACGAGTCAGACTATAGTATCAAATGAATAAGCTTATGTCTCGATCACTTTTATACATCATTGACATTTCTTATTTGTAAAATATTTTTTTTTGATTTATTTCTGATTGGAGGAATTAAAACATGCACTATGTAAATTGTTAGTGAATTAAAGGGAAATTCTTACCAGTTGAAACTGCAGTTGATGTAGCAGCTGAAATAATGTAATGAAAATATCATGAGAATTTTTTAACTATAAAAATTTTCACACTTATTAGGAGGATAGCATAGAGCGAATTACAAATAAAAATCACCGATCGTTTTCAAACACAATAAGTATCAAAATTCACATTACAAATAAAAATTTTATATAGATTTTATATATTTTTAAATTTCTTAATTTGAAATCTTCAGTAAATCTTAAAATATTTGTTTATTAAAATATTTCAAAATGAATGAAAATAAGAAAAAGAATTTAAAATTTCGTACGTGGTAAAGGTCTCTGTCGACGAGGTTCACTTTGTTCTTGAACTGTAAAAAACGACAAAACTAATTATCATTTAGGAAAAAAATAATTATTACATTGTATACTACTTTTTAACTTGTGATAATGAACTCCTTTATATTTTTAAAATGAAAATTCAAATGAAGATACTGTTTTCGAAGAAGACCTGTGAACCAAAAAGTTTTTTTTTAAATTTACAAACCCATTTGATGAATTTATATACGGATATAATTGTTAAGAATATTTAAAAACATCATTGTAAATTGTTTATCTTTCTGAACTTTGTTATATTTCTTTTCAATGGTATCAAACATTACGAAATACCTTTGAATACAGCTACATGTATTCATAGGTTTAATACAGTTTGAAAGAGACAATCCACAAAGGTACTTTGAGCACTGTCCCAAGCCTTTATCTGATTTACTATACAACGTAATGTGCCGAAACTTACTTGAACTGAATAAGCTCGCTGGAGAGGTAGCGATGTCCCTGGCAGAATTCACCATATAGTTATACGTTTGTAGAGGCCAAGTACTTATTTGTTTTAGTTCCTGTGTATCACCAACATAAAACCCAACGGTATACAAATTTATTCCAGCTTCTTCAGCACGCTCAGCTGCCCTATAAGATTCATATACGTTTTCACTTTTATTAGCACCGGTGAGTAATACAATGAGATTTCGTCCAATGACCCTGTCTCCATTTTGGTCCGTGAACATATTCTGTCTGATATAATCTATTCCGTTTCCAATCTCTCGGTTTCCGGATCCTTGAACAAACGGAATCCTGAAGGTGGCTGACAGAATATCACTTTTTGTATTGTATCTGTTTAGATGCCATTCAGTATTGGTGTTGTTCCCTTGCGTGTATTGAGCAAGTCCGGCTCTGTATTCTCCCTCATTTATGTTGAGCATGTCAATGATTTGATAGAGATAAGTTTTCATATCCTCAAAGACGTATCTTGATATACCGAAAGAATCCACAAGGAATACGATATCATAACCCACTTCAAAAGTTGGCTCTGTAAACAAAAGGACGAGAATGTAATGTTTGTCATGAAACAAATGTACTGGATAATGAACAACATTTCCCTTTTGAAAAGATTTATGAATTAAGTATTATTCTGGTCAAAACAATTTTCTAAACAAATTAAAGCTTGCATGCACACACAGCGATCAGATGAGTGAAATAAGGTAAATGTTAAAATCAAAATAACTACCACATGCACAGAACGATACCTGGACAGGTAGAAGACGCAACTATTTCGTCATCCAATCCATCTAACTGAGAAAATGACGATACAAAAAATGCATTCTTCCCCGAAGGTTGAGACGCTATAGTATTAATCTCTGCATAAGCATCATATGAACCTAAACCAACTGCAAAAATGTGTATTCCTTTAGCTCTGGCAATCGCTGCCTCTTGACTTGTACTCTCTGGGTTGATAGATGTGCCGTATGTTATAACAATGGCTATATTCGGGGCATCTGGTCTATCCCCTTTTGATGGAATAAACATATTTTGATGCATTGTGCGGATTCCTGCAGCTGTATTTATCGGTCCATAACGCCAAGGTATGTTATCAATAGCTCTCTCCAGTTCGTCTTTAGTACTATAATCATTAAGGTAAAATTCTACCCAAGATTTTGAACTGAATGTCAGTAATCCAATTTGAACATCACCACCGTTAATATTCAGTTGATTTAGAAGTTTTTTGCAGAAGTTAATCACCTTTTGAAAATCTTCCGGCTTCACACTGTCTGAGGAATCCAGGACAAACACAACATCCGCCATGTCAAAGCACACTAAAAGAGTAATTCAACTGAACTAAACATTAACAAACAACTAAAGGGGAGATGCACACTACAAGGAGCAGTAACTAACACCACAGACATGGGGAAAATTGTACACCCATTAAATTATATGAACTTGACAAACCTGGAATAGGCGTTGTTGGAGCAGAGGTTGTTGGTGGCCGTGTAACTACACCTAGAGAAAAGACATTCAACAAACAAGTGTACTATAGATTCATTTGTTACTTGTCATTTGTTAATACACGTGAAAATATTAAAAGTTACAGGTTGTAATGTATAGCGGGTTATTTTAGCGGTGTGCTAATTTTGGTTAATTTTAGCGTTTTGATAGTAGCCCGCTGAAATTTTAATCGCTAAAATAGTCATTATTATCTATATTGTTTTTTCTGCGAAGAGCTGAAACCAGTGTCTGCTAAAATAAATGACGCCAAAATTATTGATATACTTTTGAGCAGGCAAAACTTCAAGTTTTACACACGCCAAGAAAACCTGCTATACGGCATTATGAAGATTTCCTGTATATTGTATGATTCATATACTAATTTTTTTAAAATCAAATATGGAAATCTTTTTAATTTAGATATAACGGAACTTACTCATTAGTACTTACTTTCGCAAATGGACTGGAAAATAGTCTTGTCAAGTCCTTCAAGTTCATCGAAGTTTTTCACAGCGAAAGCATTAGTAGAAGGTGGAAACGAGGCTATTCCATTAACCTCCTGCATATCTGACAGCCCAATTCCAATGGCGTATATATGAATATCTTTCTCTTTTGCATCCTTTGCTTCCGTAAGAGTTCTTTGACCGTTGATATTGGAAACTCCATCTGTGATCACGATAGCGATATTTGTAACATCTACTCTATCACCATGCAAAGCAGTGAACATTGTTCCATGCATTGTCTTCAACGCATCAGCAGTATTGGTGCTTCCATATCTCCATGGAATCTCGTCAATAGCATCAAGAACGCTCTGCTTGGTTTTATATTCATTTAAATGGAATTCAACGTTGACAACAGTACTATACGATAATATTCCTATTCGAACATCTCCTTTATCTATTTCCGCTGAATTCAAGAATGTCTTGACAAATGCTTTCATCTTATCAAAGTTGTTCTGCCCAACACTGGTTGAAGAGTCCAGAACAAAAATTAGATCCACCTTTTCACTACAAACTGAAAATGTAGATTCAACTTAAAAGTCTTAATTTCACTTTCTAATCTGGTACTTTTCTTTTCCTTTTCAATTATTATTTTTCTTTTATAAAATTTAAAGACTTGAATAAATCATGTTCGTGACATTTTAATTATCCTTTATTATCATTCTATTTCCTTCTTTAAATAAGATTTGTAAGGAAAGTGTAAAATAGTTAATTCGAAGTTTTACAAACAGATCAGAGAAGTTTAAAATTAATTTGACAAAAATCTGAGTTAACCATAGTATCAAAGTTTTCACTAAAGCAATTGAAAGTTTCAAACATTTTTACTATGAATTGAAAGTTGAGGGCTCTTCGGATGAGACTTTAAAAAGCGGCAGGCGTTTGCACGATAAAGAAACCTCACTGCGCAATGGCCCTGAGTGCCGAGTAGAGGTCAAAATTTGAAGCCCTTCATCGGTATATGGTGACGTCTCTACAGGAGTGAATAATTCTCGAATGGGACGTAAAACAGCATACAATCAATCTACTGTAAGAAGCATGTCAATGGAATATGAATCTCAGATGACGCATATTAAATATACTAGACAGATAGAGTGTACGCCGCTACAATCTGCCATATCCATACCAGAACGTGAGCAACCATTGTAGTAAACAATAGCCTTTTTCTTTATTTGATTTCAGTCCTTTGCAAGTTGTAATAAATTACAGAGGATCTCAGTTCTGTTGAAGTTGTAATAAATTATAGAGGAGGACATTTCATTTAAGCGCTGTTGCATTGACCAAGAAAAAATGCGTTTGGAAATTGTCATGGTATAATTGCTGTTGGTATGCAAGACATTTTTTATCAAACCAACATTTGTGTGATGTATTATCTCTTCATATTTAAACATTTAATTATACTAGTATGCTCTGTGATAAGTTCATGTGAAATTTAGAATGTGTATCTGAATATTTGGATAAACTTTATATTTCATCCTCGCAGAATCATTTATTGCTCAGAAGAGTTTTAATGATTAATTAATTCATACATTTAAATGTTTTCATACTACCTTTCTGTTTTGAAGGTCCAGTGGGTTCAGAAATTTCTACAAACGAAAAAGTATTTCATGACATGACTAAACTTATACATTCTGTCATGTAATATCTCTTGCTTCGTTCATTATTTTCCATATAGGAAAAATTAAAAATTTATATCCATACACTTAACATAGAAAATAAATAATGACAAACACATAAAAGTGTTATTTTTACATACTGGACTTCTAATCATTTTAAATATCACACAAGTGTGCTTCTTAAAAACTATTTCTTTAAATGATTAATGGGTAGCTTTCTTTAAATTATAAACATTTCACGAAATACTTAGTCATACAAATATCAAAAAATGCTAGTTTCTTGTAATTGTAGAAAAGGAAAATAAAAAATGATTGAATCTAAAAATTAGTTAAACCATGTTACATGTACAAAAACGTTTAAAACGAAATTGCTAGATAATGTTAACTTTTGGTGCAGAAACAGTATTTTACTTCAATCAAATCACTTATACACGCTGTAAAATGAAACTATACTCTGACACGATGCTCTCGAGGATTATTTCTGAAGAATTTATAAAATAATTCATGCATGAATGGCTCGAACGTTTAAACAAGTTACTTTTCTTTCCAATTCTTTGCCTTGACCCAGAAACACTCCACAGTAACTTTTGAAGGAGATATTTGATTAGGGGTCATAATAAATGCTGAAATCAAAATATGATTTGAGTGCGCATGCTTACTTGAAGATGTGAAGATTGTAGGTGGAGGAGGAGGTGGTGAAGTGATAACTGAAACAAATCAACCGTGAAAATAAGACATCAACCGTGAAATTAAGACATCACTGTAATAAATCAACCGTTAAAATAAGACATCACTGTGCTCTAGTTCATGACTGCGCTCCAAATCTTTATTTTTCATGTATAATCAAATTAATAATTTATTTTCTTATTATATGAATATTTATGAAATATAATAATTGTTACCTTAATTTACTATTAAAAATATTTTAGTAAAAAAGAAGTGAATACGGACTCAAATAAGATTGTTTCATTACATATATCTTTTAAAGCTTTTAAATTTTATGTTTTGAAAAATATTACTTACCTCAAATCAAACCAAACTGATTTTGTGTTAGTACCAAGTACAACAAAGGTGACATGGTAACAGAAAACAACAAAATGTTGCAAACCAGCCCATTTTGCTTCACAATACAAGTGCATTTGTCTTAAAGATCTGATTTTTTTTTTTAGAAATTCTTTTGATCGACACCTTAACAGAATAACTCAGAACTAATCAATTTTGAACTTTTTGTGCAGAATAGATCGAATTAAGTTTTTTTTTAAATAAGAAAATTTAAAAATAACTTTTGGTTCGTAAAATGATTGGTTTGTTTTCATGGCAAAAGTACAAGGAAAAACCCATAATCATAACTGTAAGTCATTCAGTGCTCACACCAATACATTAAAACCTGAAATGTTTTTAGAAATTTAAGGATACATGTACAAAAGTTAAGTTACAATATTAGTACGTTAAAACAAACAATTGAACACATAACAAAATTGAACTAAAATTTTACATTTATGAAATCAGTCAACAGGATAATGTTGAAAATTTCATTTTTCAATTATCAATAATACAAGCTTTCTGAAAATTGATAGTTGGGCAGTACGTTACGTCAAGTTAGATATATCACGTCATGTTATAATCAGCCCAAATGTCCAATTATAATATGTAATTCTACAAAATGCTGCCTTTTTCTCCGTTTTTTTTTTCTGACAATTATCTTCATTTTTCGCTCATATTTCAAAATACTACCCATCTTGCCATGTGATGTTTCAATTTCAGTAGAAATGTCAAGAACAGTTTGTCAGCCGACAGCGTCCATTAACGCTTTTAATTTGTCTTACGTATAAACAGAGCCTCTAAAAAGCGACCACACCTTTTATCAACATCCATGGAAGTTCTATTTTTCTTAAAATGCCACTGGAAAACCAGAAAGCCTATGTGCAAAAGACTTGCCGAAATTTGACATTATCTAACAATTAAAGATGAGCAATAAATCATCAACTTATAAGCTAAATATCCAAAAAATAGTAAAACTCTCACACAGGTTTATATATAACAACGTAATAATGACATAATTTTCGTTTTATATACCTCATAGTGCCGTTTAATTATTATTTCACGAATTCAGAATTTAAATGATAATAAACGCGTTAACAATTCCAAACAACCGTTTCTATGGCAACTGCCATAAAATTACTATCGAAGATATTTGAAATGTTTTTTGATTTAAAATATTCATCAAGTGTATATTTTCATTTGTAATTTTCAACCAATTCCACTGAATAATAAATAAAATATGAAGAAATTCCACGAACTTTTGGATCAACCCTCGTATATTCAGAAATGTTGATTTTTAGATATACAATTCGCAGTAACATGAATAGTTTATAACAGAAAGCGATATGACATTTGTAAAATTATTATTTCATAATTAAATACTAAAGTATTTCTAAAAACTAAAGAAAATGCAAAGTGCCCGATTAGTGTAGCCATTTGATATTAACACAGGGTGCAAAGGAAAAAGAACCACATCCTATACATACCATACTCTTGTTGCGGTGGTGTTGTAGTTACCATTTGGTCTAAAGAAAAATTAAAGTATGAAATGATTACATGCTATTTGAACCATTTTTTTAAAAAAAGATTTAATTAAATTATTAAATCAAGTAAATATTTACCTTTCAAATCAGGAGTCACATCGGCTAAAGTCCGGACTATAATAGAAGAAAACAATAAAATAATTTCTAATAAAATTATACCAGAAACTTCTAACAGATGTTGGAATATTAAAAATTAAACACAGGATTATTTGTGTCTATAAAAGTATCATGCATATTTTCAATTACGTCGTCATAATCACTCACGTATTCTAAGTCTTCGCACAAGTTCCTCGCTAATTCGTGGTAAGCTTGAGTATTCGGAAACACTTAAAACATTATCTGGAGTTGATGCCAAGGCGGCCGGTTCATCTTTAGAGTTAGTTCCGACAGCAACACTGAAAATCTCCAATAGATCCACATCTTCTAGTTTTCTTTTCATTCGGTTTTCCATTAGGTTATCAGAATTAACGGTGGATTGTTGGTCCGTTATGAAAATCAAGGCTTTGGGAATTTCGTCCTGCGGGAGAATACTAGAAACTGCGTCAAAGACTGTAGCAGCGTTAACTGTCCTTCCCGCTGATCTCCTCTCGCTGTCCACCGCGTAGTCAATGAAAGATAGCAAGTCTCTTTTTGTTATCGATCTGCAAAAAATAAATAAATAAATAAATAATAATAATAATAAAAAAACAAAGACAAAGAGAGGAGCAAAAATTTTAAATTAAAAAAGTTACAGCTGAGAAATTTCTTGTCATACAATAATCTACAGACAACTGGGAACTGGAATAATAATTTCAGAAAAAAAATAGTGTGTTGGGCTTGAAACACTTTACTAACTGGCCATGGTGACGGTTGGTCTTGCATAGTATTCTTTTTTATTATGATACTAAATTATTCAAAGATATTGGTCCATACACATTTTTTTTGCATTTGGATTTGAGAATATCTAGAATCTTTAAAGGTACCTGGAAAAGTTGAGATAAGTTGTCGCTTGATCGTTATATCCTATTATAGCGACCTTCAGTTTTCCATTTTCGGTATCCGCCCTGCGCAGGACATCATTAAAGAACTGTTTCAATAAATCTGCCTCGTCCGTTTGTACCGCTGATGACACATGGAAGGCAAAAATAATCTGTGCTTCGTCGCCATCTAAAATTAAAATTATGTTTTTAGAAAAATCTATCAAAATAATATCGGATGACACTGCATCCAATATATTTGTAAACAAAGAATATAGATTTTTTATTAGAACAAAAAAGAATGCTTAGATGTTTTAGTACCTACTTACTTCTTAAAAGGTTTCGTTTCAGAGATTTTTGCTGTTCTAAATCTAAAAAAGATAAGTAAATACAAAGAAATGAAAGAAATATTGATGTTGTTCAGAAAAAATTAGTATTTCAGAAGCGGTGAAACAATGTGAGTAGTATTAGTACACAAAATGTGCGAACCTTTGCAACGAAATGGAACGAAAAGTCCCAATGACTTGCTGATGTTGTATAGTGAATTATTATTGTTAACTATAGGACGATATATTTGTTTTGATATTTGGAAACGCTTGTGAAGATGATTTGTTGCATTTATGATGGGCTCTGTCATTTTAAAAGAGATACTTCCGCTCCTTATCAGCTTTCGACTGGCCGTCCCGTTGATATTTTTTAAAACCTTCGCGTCCATTGCAGCGGTGTAATTGAACATATTCGACTGAATATTGCATAAAGTATGTACAATCTTTATTAATATTCCAGGCGCATCATCATTCATTGGATCTAATAATTCAAAAAGGTTTGATGTCGAGCTGTTAGAAAACGTTTCCCAAGTATCATTAACTGTTTTTAGTAATTCACACATATTTCCATCCTCAACAGCTCGCCCTATTGATGCGACCAGTTTTTCGGTAAGGTTGTGAAATCTGATTTTCGCATTTTGACGGTTAGTGCCAGAAGGGTGGGACAATTCAGTCCCAAATATAAAACAAGCTGAAAATTAGGAGAACACTGTAAACAAACCGGTTGAAAGGAGTGTCCTGATATGAAGAACAAAATAACAAGTTATTGATATACTTACCAGTACGTTCAAAAGCACTACCACCTGTTCTTGTATATATATCCCTTTCTATTTGTGAAGAAACTGTCCTTTCTAACAAAGAATCAAACCTGTTATCACTGGTACTACTAAATTCACTACTTTTTGTTGTTATAATATTATATATAGATTCAGTAGTAGTGGTTAAAGTTGTAGTTTTGAGAGAAGAGAATTGTATAGGGATTGCAGTTGTAGAAGTCTCTCTGGGGAACGTTTCTTTAATATTGTCATATATCCTGTTATCCAATATTTCGTTAGTAAAATTTATGGCTTTTTCTTTTGAGATTTTATCACTTCCACTGATGACATTCCATTTCGTTGAGGATTCATTTATTTCTTTTTGAAATTCAGTTGTGACATGGACCTCTGGAGAAGCTGAGGTAGATGTGTCATCAATATCTTGTGAAACTGTTCTCACAGTCTTTGAAACATCGCGTGTTGAGGACGGACGTTGGAGTGTACTTTGAGAGGTGTATTCAAAGTTTTCTCTTCTTGTACTTTCAGAAGATTCAGTAATGCGTGCATTAGACAATGGCGAAGTTGTAGTTGTGACGTGTGTCTGAGCACTGATCTCGGTTCTACCTGTTGGTAAAAGGTTATCTTGTGTTACTTCTGTCTGGATATTTGTGTTGGAATCGACAATGATTGAAGTCTTAACTTCTGTTACATTTTCAGGGCCGGAAAATGTAGGATATATTCCTTCAGTGGTTGCGTTTCCAAAATTCGATGCTATAGAAGTGGATTCATTAATTCTATTTTTCACCGAAGTAGATGCATCAGTTGCAGAGACTTGCAAATTTGATGCTTCAATGTTTTGATCAGATATAATTTTCCATGCGGTTGGCCATGGAGTACTATATGGTGTGGTACTAATGGACTTCTTTCGCTCACCTTTTTTCTTTTTTTGAACTAAAACAATAATAAAAACATCAGATTAAAATTTATTTTCATATTGTGAAAGAAGATTAAGCTGTTATTTTTACCACAGTGTAAAAAATTATCAGAAATGGGTCAACATTACAGATATCTCTTGGTCTCACAAGGAGTTTCAATATTTGGGCTCTTATAAAATAGAAGTTAATAGATCACTTCCTCTCCCAAAATTGTTTTGCTATGAAGTCTAAACCTATAAAATATAGCAAAGTATTGATTTACTTTTACAATTTTCTGATTTTCCCCTTTGTCACTCTGTAATCGCAAGACATTCGATATTATGCACAGCTAAACATTTAAGAATCGTTAAAAGATATACTTACAGAGCCGAATATTTCGCACAACAGGTTTTCCACTCTTTTTGTAGATTTGTAAATCTTTATACGATTTCACATCATAGAAATACTTTTCAAGCGGTCTACTTGCAATGCTTTCAAGTACTGCCTTATCTTTGAGAGCAACTGGAATGATGGTGACTTCGATTCCTTCGTGTTTTGCATCACTAATTTCCGATTGAAGGACAGAATGATTTCCTGTGGGATTCATGTCGGTTAATATAATCATGATCTTCCTGGCCTTTTCCTGAAGGAAAAGTTCTCTTGCTTTTGCAACAGCTTTTCCCAAGTTGGCAGAGTCAAATCTCAGTTTCTTTGGAGTTTTTTTGATTCCCTTAATAAGGCTTTTCTTACTAAGGTGATCTCCGAAGTTAAAAACTACTGTTGGTATATCTCCATAGACAATTAAAGCGACTCGCACTCCGTTCGGACTAATTTTTGCTCTTTTAACAAGTTTGATCACGTATTTCAAAAACTGTCTCTTAAAGTTCCTTTTGTTAACTCTAGTTGATGCATGTAAAACGACTGCAATATCTGCAATGGAATCATCTAGAGGAAAATAGAAAAGAAATCTAATTATAAATCAAGATTCAAATCGTAACCTTCATCAAAAACATAAAGAATGAATAAAGCAGTTATACCTTTATTTTGACCGATTTTGTTCAAAGTGTTCAGTTGAAGTTCTTTAGAGTCAGCGTCTAAGTTAAATAAGTTTCAAATACAACATTTTGCTTTTTAGAGCCTTGGCCAGCGCCGAATGTAAATCTAGCAATTTTATTTCAATCGTATGGAACAACGAAACCAAAGGACTTTAACAAGCACCTGCTACCTTTTATGGCAAGCATTGTACAATACCCAGACCTGCCCAGACACAGAACTGACGTCGCTGTTATCAATTACGGAAAAGATGTCACCATCATTAAGCTCACCTCTGAAGAAAAAAATCTGTTATTATTAGAATCTGGTTATTAGCTGTCTTAAAATTCTCCAAATTTCGAAAAGAATTCAGCGCTTCTTCTACGGTACACAAAAATCAAAGTAACGTTGATAAATAATTGATAGTACTTCCTTTAAATTGTTGTATAATTGATAACAACTTATTTAACTGTTTAAAGCACATTAATACTAGATAATAAATTTAATTTCTTTTTTATATATAAATTCTTAAATATTTCTTAAATTTTTCTGACTTACCCTAAAAATGCTAGAGCAATATAGCAAGACCGGAAGGATTCGGATACTAGGAGCAGGCGCAGACACCTAGATAGAAATTCATTCTCTCCATTCGCCTATTCATATTCTATTTGCATCGTTCCTACTATCCTTGTTACGAAAAGCATATCTTAAGCAAAGGCTATTTACGGAAGAACTTATATTTCTATGAGATAATTCGTTCGCAAAGGTTCTATTCCTTTAAATATATAGTGCATTTTTCATGCAGATATTAAAGAGGACTTTGCTAGTTTGAGCGTGCACAAACAGTTAAAATAAATGTAAATGAATTTGAAACTCATAACAAGATGAAAACGTTCCACGATTTTTTACAAAGATCAATTCGTTGCTTGTTATATATACATGTTTAATAGATCTATAATCTTTTATTTATTTGTGCTAAAATAAGAAAACGTACATGCAGCAATAACGACAAAAGATGCCCTTGTGCACATGAGTTTTAAAAATGAAGCAATTAGAATACTCAGCATTCATAGTACCAATATTGTTGGACATTTGATTACAGCTTCATGCAATGAAATCTTCAATTGTTTAATTCATGTACCATATATATTGAACAGTAAGTTAGGCCACATAAAATCAATAGTGTGATTCTCATTCTATGTTGATCATCCGTTTTATTTCATAACTTTTCATTAATTGAACTAATGTAGTGATAGTAGTGTAACAGTGCCTTTGATGAATTGAACTTTTATACCCCCCTTTTTTCCTATAAAATTTGTATTTGAAACAATTTCAATTCCAGATTCTTTGTCAAAAAAGTAACCCGATGCCTATTTGTTTTTTCTTTGTGTAAGTTAACTATATTGACACTGAATTCAGTTATCTCAATTGCTTTTCCTTTTTAAATCAAACTAAGATAATTATGACTTGTACTGAATATTCACAATATTATATTGGTTCGATCAAAATAATAATTTGTATTCCTAGTCTCTCTATTGGATCAGATTTTCTTTCCCAGCTTCTCCATCCATTATATATGTGAGGAATACATGAGAATCTGATAATCAATTTTATGTGGACTTACCAATTTACGTACAAACCTGTGTTTAGTCCAGGGGCTGAGGTGGCGTGAGTTGTCTTCGTGGATTTACGACCTTGAACTGTATTTTAAGTAATTTTATCAAATAACACTGATTTAAAATGACAGGCTTATATGCTTTAAATGTTCTGACTGTCTTTTTCATTTATTTTGATATACATTTAGATTTTAGTTTTAAACTTACGTGCCCTAATTCCGTTAACAACATTTGCCAAGATATCACTATTTGAAATGAGGTCTTTATACTGTGTAACTGACTGGAAATAATTTCCTGTTGGACTACTTGAAATTGTCTGCAGCTCCTTCCGATCGGCTTTTTCCATTCCAATCGTGAAAATCGACGTTTTAGAATCTCTTTTTAACCTATTAGCCTCGTCTTGGACGGAATATGCTGACTTTGATGACGCCATATCAGTTATAAGGATAATGGCAGTAGGAACCCCTTCCTCTGTTCTCGAACCCTCTTGCTTGGTAAACAATTGTGTTCTTACTAAGTGTAAGGCATCACCTAAGTTAGCGTTGCTGTTTCTAACTTTTGGGTTGCTTTTTCTAATGGCTTTCCGCAAGTCTGACTTTTTTAAGTATTTGTTAAAGTTAAATAGAATCTTTCCCGACGCACCATAATTAACTAAGGCAACCCTAACTTCTCCAGAATCTATTCGAGCTTTTGCAAAGAGATTTGATATAAAGTTCAGCAATTTGTGTTTAAAATCCTTTGCTTTCGTTTTATGACTTGCGTGAAATACAACAGCTACATCTGCTTTATCGTTACCTGCAAAGAGAGAGAAAAATAAAATTACTTCAGTTAGCAATAAATTTCATTAAAAATATATCTAGAAGTAAAACCTGTGCATGTTAAACTATTCACAACACTTTCATACATGGTATTTGTGACTTTAAAATTACTTGCATTTTACGTTTATAACCATGTGAGCATCCAATTCATGTAATTAAATATTTTCCGAATGCACAATTATACAATGCGTTCATGAAAAATGAGTACATTTAATATTTCTTTTCAATGCGTTTTATGCATACTTTTGAAGGGGCAAAAGATTTTATAACAAGAAAAAGAAATACAGACATGTTTAATAAGATTGCATATCCAAACATAAAGGTATATAATGGTATAAAAAGAAATATTCAAGGTGCAAAAAGAAGTTTATAAATACTAGTCTGACTATAATAGTGGCATAAATTTCAAGCAGGTGATGTCAGGTTTCCTTATTTTTGGTAGGTTTTTTGTGAAGTCGACCCCAGGGCAAGGGTGCCGCTAAAAAAATTTCTAATTTACTACATCCTAACCTATCAAAAACACCCCAGGCCTGCCCTGAAGGACTTGATAAAGCAAAAATCAATGCTTTTATGGACAAAATAGAAATATGGAAGTAAAGTTGTAAATAATAAATTTGAAGTATCAAATACAAATTTAAAAATGTAGAGAGAATTGATTTTTATGAGTTTTTTCCGGGGCAAATTCTTTTGTTAAAGCGAATACATCCTTTAATTTTATTCTTTTTTGGCAATCTTGTTGTGTATAAATGAAAATTATTAAAACTATAATCCAGAAAATTCAGAGTAGAAATATTCGAAAGCAATACATACACACAGTATATTGTCAGTCCGTGCAGTGTGATGAGCAGACGTTAACAATTGAACGCATCCGGTGAATCGTTAACATCAACGATAACAGAGCTCGTGCCCTGTTTGAAAAAAAAAACTGTGTACGTTTCACGGGTGTGATCAATTTGCTAAACTCTGTACACAACACTTAGCGCGGAATGAGGATACTTGTGAAGGGGGTTTGCTTTCTAACATTTCTACTCTGAATATAAATATTTTTCTGGATTAAAGTCTTAATATTTTTCATTAATGCACAACAAGATTGCCACTTTTACTAAGTATTAAGAATAAAAGCAATATTTGTGAGAGTGCAAGGTTGTGTCAATCAAACCCACCCAAAAATTTAAAGTTTCAATAACTTTAAGATGAACTAAGATTTTTAATATATTTTTGTGTGAAATGCTATTGAAATATAACTCGTTATAACGATGCACTTTTAAAATAAGATTGCATATCCAGACATAAAGGTATATAAATATATAGGAATATTATAACGCCCTCCTTGTTAAGTTTTTTTTCAAACACCCCATGCCGTGATAAAGAATACTTCATAGAAATATGGAAGGTGACAGTCATCATAACAGAGAGAAATTATGAGTGGCAAATAGGGTCCTTATATTATCTTTTTTAGAAGAGTCTATACAGTTTATGAACATTATTAATCGTAAAATTTAAAACTTTTTTTTTTATCTTACTGGCTCTAAAAGTATATCTATAACTCTTCTAGGTGTTTTATCCTTTTCATAGGTTTTAGATTTTTTTTCAATTATTTGCCACTCATGAAAGAAATGTATATTTAGGAATCAAACATCAGAACCATGCAATATCTATGTTTCAGTCTATTCTTTACTTTATGTTTACAAAATAGAAATTCAAGAATATATATATGAGCTATTACAGTATAAAATACTTAATATATGTAATAGAAAAACCTCCTAAGATGTTCAGAATTTCTCATTAAAGATTTCATTATTAAACAATGAAGGCAAAGGTATTACATTGCTTATTTATTATCATATTTTGCAAATGAATGATTAAGCAAATGATTTGTTATATAATAAACTTTGCAAAGCTTTATTTTTTTTTAAAGCAAGACGAGTTTTTATTTTATTTTTTACAATTGTAACGAAGCACATTCAAAGACGAACCACTTTGACGATTAACACGGAAGTTTCATTAGATCATGTTAATTATATACACAGTGTGGGTATAAAAATACATTGACTTTTATCTTTAAAAAATTAAACTGACGACATGAATCATAGAAGCTGAGAATGTTATAGAAATACAAATCATGCATGCATGCATTTCAGAGAAACATGCAATAAAGAATGAAATTCAGTGTAAATTATAAGTAAATACATGACATCTATTTTTTTTCACTATAAACTGTCATAAATATTCGTTTCAGTTTACTTTTTTCAGACTCACAATCAGATTTGACTAAAAGACCGGCAACGGAGATGAAACTAGTTAGGAAAGCGAAGATTTCAATATACATGTACATCAAAAGAATTATGATTTATTTCACATAGTCATTATATATTTTAATATATGTGAATCAACATCTACATATTAAAATTTAAAGCAATGGAAACTTCATTATCACCGACATTGATCTTCCAAAGTCTTTGTAAATGTCTAGTCGTCTAGACGAATAGGACAAGTTTTTTTGCAATATTCTTCTTGTATCGTTTCTTATCATGTCATATATGACATAATAGAAATTCGCATAATAAATTATCTGAATTATATTAAGAGAAAAAAACAAGGGGGTATGTTTCCTCTCCGTTACAATGCCTTGTTAAATATTTATGTCAAACGGCTACAAGCAAATTCCTCATCCTCTTCTTCTATATACTTACTATCAATACCGTCTGTAATTTGTATGTCAGATGTTGATTCTGAAAGGTTAGAAAAAGAAAACTACCCAAGAACCCTTATTGACGTAAACATAGAAACGTCATTTATTTCACCCTCGCTTTGCTTACCTTCATAAACGATGCTTGGTGTCGTGCTTACAATTTTATTCACTAAAAAAGGAAAAATTTCGAATGAATTGATACTGTTAATAAAATGACATTTTATTAAAGAAAGGAGAGGTATTCAAATTGAACATCACATTGAAATGAGACAATCTTATTAAGATTCAAATGAAGATAGCACAAAAGATATAGAAAAGCCAAAAAAAAAAAATAAAATGACGCACGTGAAGGAAGTCTATTTTGGATTTCTTGCAAGACAACAGCGAGCTGAGAAGCATCGTTCAAAATGAAACTAAAGGTATGAGAATCAGAGAGCGCATTCACTTCATCCTTATTGTATAGATTCAAGCCCACTCCAATCATTGTAACTCCGCAGTTCTTCATTTCAGCTACACTTTGGGGAAATGCAGGGACATATTTGCTATCAGAGTTATCGTTCGTGATTACCACAAGCGTATTTGGAACATCCAAGCGATCACCTGAAGCTTCCAGAAAAATTGACGTGCGAACGACATCTAAAGCACCAGCTAAATTCGCTTCTTTAGAACCCCAGCTGCTAAAATCTATATTCAGTGCATTCAAAAGCTTTTTCTTGTTTTGTCTGTAATCATTAAAATCAAATATGGTGGTTGTTCCCATGCCGTAAACAAGAAAAGCTACTCTGACGTCATCATTATTAACGTCTGCATTAGATATCAGATTTTGCAAGAACTGTACCATTAAATTGAAATCACTCTCAGCTGTGGTGTCAGAGTAATGGAGAAGCAGAGTTAAATCCGTTTTATTACTTCCTAAAATGGGATATGAATTTAATTTATTAGTATATCTTTCTAGTATAAATGATGTTAAATCATATCTCCGTCTTTCATCATTAGGATAGGAAACAAATATAAAAAGTAATAATTTTCAAAATTTACAAATTCGGTTCCTCACCAAAAGAATAAATGTAGCTATTAATCATAGAGTATATGACTAAATGTTATTTGTAAGTGAACTAACTATCAAATTTATAAACTAATATTGATATATATATAAATGATATTGAGGTTTGTTTAATTTTTCCAAACGTATTTATTAAAATTCTAAGCACATGCAATAATACGGGTTTAATTAGAACATAAATGAGACGGATTTTTATCTCTAAATAGCTATTTCGGAAATCGTTAATCACCGCTTAAAAAACCATTGTAAGTGTAATTCTAATGAATATTTCCTAAAATTACAGTGGATTTTTAAAGATGTATAAAAAGCTACATAATCAGAAGGGTTTGGAACTAACCTTCTATGGGAGAAAGAAACGCCAGATGGGTTCCTGAAAATCATCCAAAACATGCAGATTAGATTTCTCTAAGGGCAAACATCAGCTGGGAAATTAGGAAAGAGGTCAAACACATATGAGAAAGCAAAAGGAAAAATAGGAATAATCTACAAAGGTTTAAAGGGAATCTAGCTACAATCAGCACATGGGGACATGCCTACATTATTTTTCTTTCAAAATATACCTGTGGCAGTTACTGCAGACCCTTCTATATCCTCATTATCATAATTATAAGTAGTAGTTACTATAAATAGAAACACGATCATTGTCAACTTGTCATTTTCACTAAATGTTCAGAAAATAAAAAAAGGGATGTAGAAGAAATCCATTGTAAAAACATAGCTTGATTAAACAGTTTGATAAAAATGTTAAAAATTACTGACTATATAAAAACTCACTTGAGCAAATTCCAACATACGCTAGGTCTTTGATTAAACTAATATTCTCCGATTGTGTGAGTTCATAAGTATTCTCCAAATAAGGGACGCTGGCAAAAGAGTGAATTTCTGTCATGTCCTTTACCCCTTTCGATACCACCAGTATGCTGTTTTGGTCTTTTAAAAACTGTATTTGTTGCGATGCTTCATATTTTTTTCTCTCAGAATTTCCTGTTGTTATCAAAAGGATAACATTTGGTGCATCCGGTCTATCGCCATAAGGCGCAAAGAATACCTGCCTCCGAAGTAAATCGAACGCATCTGCAAAGTTTCTCTCTCCTGGCGTAAAAACTGCAGATTCTATGGCCGACTTGATGTCCGCTTTAGAAGAGTATTTATCAAGTCTAAAATGTAGCACTGGACTGGAACTGAATGATACAAAGGCTACCCTGGCAGTTCCAGAGTCAATATGAAAATCTTCGACTAAATCTAATAGAAACTTTTTGAACTCGTCATTTTGTGTTGAATTGTTTATAGTTGTATCAAGTAAAAGCACTATATCCATAGGTTCACTGCAACCTAAGTCAAAGGGAAGTCCTTCTGTTGGGTAAAAAGAATGTTTTGGTCATTTTTCTTGTTCACACACCCTTTTTCTTAATGCAAAAAGATAATTATTTGCTTTACATATTCCAAAACAAAATAATAACGGGATATTAAAAATCTTTTTTAATCAAAATCAAGACATAAAAGTTTTGAAAACCTCACTCAGTAAGTTAAGTTTAAAAAGTTAAAGAAGCTCAAGTTCACAACGGACTTACCTTCATAATCAGCTGGAAAAAGAAAGTTTAAAAGTTTACATTAATGCACAATATTTCTGTTTATAAACAAGTCTATTGATAAGCTATCAATCATCTTTTTCATGTATGTTTTCCACATTTTTTGGCATTAAATCTATGTTGACACTAAAATAATATTGAAGAGGGTTTGCTAAATAGTCATTTCCCTTTGTTTGTAACTTCGTTGCGTTTTTCATAGACTTAAACAATTCATCTACGACTAAGGGTCATTTACCAGCTAAAAATTAGCTGATTTATTAATACGAACCTTGATAAGACTTTGTTTAATTAACAGCAGCAGTTACCATTTCCGTATCTTATACATGTCTATTTTACAATATTTTTTTTCATTGGTAAAGTTTCTAATTTATCATGTTTCGATTACAAAGATTAGTCAGTTTTACTATCTTATTAAACCATTCTTTTGACTTACACCTCCGTTTCACAATCTTTAACTGTACTGTGGGGTTCTTACTGGTATGTATATTTAAAGGCTAAACTTTTGAAAATTTTAATTTTACAATAATGGATTGGAAGTCGTTACGTGAATTGCAAATAAAATTTAACTTATTTCTGAAAGGAGATATAAATGCTTTAAAACTTGATCTTGTGCCACCCAGAAAAAATTGTATAATGAGACGTTTTGATGTAGATATATATTCTTTTATCGTCTCGATGTTGTAATCATACGCTGGGCTTATCTCTTGACTACTTGCAGGTATGTAAATATTTCTAATCAGCCGTTACCGAATTTTACCATATCTTTATATCTAAGATGAAGCAATTACAAACACAAAAATAAATAAAATGTGAGGGATACGGAAAGAAAATATCAAGTAAACAGCAGTTGCTGTTTTAATGATAAATGATATTTTCAACGATTAAAGGATCGGAGATCAAGGTCTCTTGATTACCAAACGTGTCTCGAATCCAGAGTACTATTTTGATATGCATCTTTCCTGAAACTCACAATTAATTTATTTGAATTGATATAAGAATCTGGAAATATTATTTCTAGAAAGTATAAAATAAAGCATCTTTGACAATTTATTTTTGATTCTGTATTGAAAAATTTATATAAAATGTTTTATGTAAGTAAACGAGAATCAAAAACTTTCTTCGTAAAGCTGAAAAATATTTATACCAAGTCATAATAATAAAAGATAATTGGAAACTTCTCTTTTACCATAAGATTTGAAATACATTATATGTACATATAAAAATACAAAAACTGCAACAAAAAAAGCTTTTCATAAACTTTTTTTGATAAATGTAAAATCTAGTTTCTTTCGTGGCAAAAATAATATCATTTCTAGACGTTTATGAAAAAGAAAAAAAAATGATTATATTTCAAATATGTTTGAAATGTATAAAGCTAAGAAGATGTCTGTAAGATATAAAATCGTTCTAGATTTCATGCGGTTGAAATAAATGTTAAGATTATGCAACAAGCTTGAGATTCAAGATATGCCATTGAAGTGTTATGAAATATAAAAAAAATGTTAAGCTCAGAAAACAAACCGAGATTAGCGAGGTATGCGCAGTTTCATAACTAAATACGACCTCAAGTATTCATTTTCAGAGAAGAAAGTTTGCCGTCGGGTGTGTAAGAGTATAAAAAGTAAAGATTTTTATATATGATTCACATTGTCTACATGCTTCCCTGCAACGCCATTTATCATGTCACAGTTGGATTAAAAAACAATACTTACAAATGGAATGTGAAGACTTGAGTAATACACAAGTAGCAATTAACGTCAACCAAAGCGAGCCCTCCATCGCTGAAAGAGAAGGAAAATAGGTAAAGCATTATAAAACAAAGTTCTATTATTCAGTTGAGTTGACGTGATTCAGCTGCTTGTAATTAAACGGCATTCCTAATGATAAAACAAGACTAAGTCAAAATGCTTTAAAATATCAAATTTTTTTTATTAAGCTAAATCTATTCAGTCCTAAAGGAGGAATTTTGGTGATCCGATGGAAAAATGTAGTTCTTCAATCTTCTTCTCTCTCCCTGTACACATGTATATTGAGCAGACAATCTGTTGGTGCATGGTTCTGATGCTTTGAGAAAACAAGTTAAATGCAGAATTATGATACACAAAATTGACCACAACTACAATCTACAAACATCCATTTTTGGTATACCGATCCCTATTTAAGGTTGTCCGATCCTCAGGTTCAGAAAATCAGGTATAAAATGAAAATTGTTACATCAAAAGATTTAATTTCAAGCTTCATATTGAGACATTTTGAATTAAATTACAAATTAAAGAGTCCACTTCCTGGCTGAGGATAAGATATCCTTAATTTTCATAATATTTAAAATTTTAGTTTTTTGATAACATTACGTCATACAGTTTGAAAGTAAAGCATAAAAAAACTCATGACATAATAGCTAATTTGAAAAAAACCTCTCTAAAAATTAACATACGCTTAAATTAACCGTGCAGAGCATTTTAGCAAAGAAGTTAAAGGGAAAGTCATTTTTAGCTAGTGTTTTATCAGAATGTTTTATGACAGACTGTGTATGAAAAATATGGAGATAACGAACAGTATTTAAGATGAAAGATTCATAAAACAATACTAAATAGGAACAGAGCAAACACGGACCTCCAAAACATCAGAGGTGTGATCAGGTGCCATGAAGGAGTGAGCATCCCCTGCCGACCAGTCTCAGCCGCCGTCTGCTCCTTGTCATGATCGGAAAATGACGGGAAAATCCGTCGTCAATTTAGTGTATAAATAATGGACTTACAATTGGTATGAAAAACGTCAGTCAGCATTCGACTCAATGATAAATTGTATTTGCTGACATGGTCATTGTATCGACCATAGAACTTATGAAATCATGACTTTAAACGAGACTGCTGAAATTCTTGTTTCCTTAAATTCGTTGTCAATAATTTATCTCGGTTTAGAAATTGTTCATAACTAGAGCATGCTCTTGTGTATCGAATCAACTGATATATATATATATATATATAAGCTCCGTATGCAGGTAAGGAAGGGAGTAATTTTCTTATGTTTCAGATATTACAAAGCAATATCATTAACTTTGTATCTTAATTAAAATACACAACAACAGCAACAAAACACTAAAAAAGTCAAATACAAATATGGTTCTTTTTTTTTAAATGAAATTAATTAAATTTCAGTTTTCAGAACATAGAAAAAAAACTTTTATGGAGAAAAAATATTGTATAAGCTCGGGCAACAATAGTGCTTTTCTTCCTCCTTCCTGTACCTGGAGTAGGAAATATAAATTAAGTTTTAAAAAGTGGACTGTCGGTAAAACTTAATTTTGAAACAATTTTCAAACAAAAAAATCAGAGCGAATTGTCTGCCTTGGCATGCTCCAAATAAAAAAATTCAGAAAAACGTCACAATATAAACATCCTTTGCTTTTCCGGTACTTATATAGTTTGTTCCCACTGATTGATTGCTTCATACTTGGATATTTTACTTGAAAAAGACACTAATGGTAATCTAACAACCAAGCTCTATGATAAACGTGATGGCTTTAACTTTTCTATCGTAAACTTCCCTTACTTATGCAGCAATATACCTTCATCACCTGCATAGGGAGTTGTCATATCTCAATTGATTAGATACGCAAGAGCATGCTATACGTATGAACAATTTCTGTATTGAGATAAATTATTGACAAACAAGTTGATGAAACAAGAATATCAGCATCATTTCGTAAGTTCAATGGTCGATATGACCTTGTAAGCAAATACAGTTTATCATTGAGTCAAGTGCTGACTGACGTTTTTCATACCAATTGTAAGTCCATTGTTTATAAAACGTGGGGGGACCTTTTCTGATACGGGCCGGACCTTTTCTTATAAAAGGCGGACCTTATATGTTATCGTATTAGGTCCCCTCCGAACCTTTAAACGAGGCGGACCAAATATTATGCGACACCGGTCTGCAGGGGATGCTCACTCCTCCATGGCACCTGATCCCAACTCTGATGTTTTTGGAGGTCCGTGTTTGCTCTGCTCCTATTTTTTATTGTCTTACGGATTTCTGATTTTGAATATTGTTCATTATCGTTCATATATGTCATAATATGTTCAATTATTGGTATTTATACTAAAGGGTGAGGGGAAAATATATATTTTGTACTTTAGATCAAGCCTCAGTTTTCAAGATCATATTTGCAATAGACGTGCCAAAAGTTTCGCCCAAAATTCTATTGGGGTTGTCGTTCTGTAGATTTGTAATTTCTCTGACATATCTTATGTAATATTACATGCTATTTTTAGAATAATACCAGTAACACGAAGTTATTCCTGATGTCTTTCACAAAACCCTGTCTGTGTTATGACTCCTAGAAAACCTTGACTCGTATATTTCAGTATATTGTAGTTCTATCCCTGTTTGCCTGAAGTTCCTCTTGCCATGGACAGATGGAGGCCAATCAACGGGAACATTATTTTGTCCTTTAAACTTTAACTCTTGCACCACTTATGATAACCGGTAAATCTTATGTTGTACGTGATTGGATGAAACATGTGGCGAAAACGAACAGTATTTAAAATCAAAAGTCCACAAAACAATACAAAATAGGAGCAGAGCAAACATGGACCCCTAAATCATTATTTTAGATAAAAACCAACGTCTCATCAAAAATGAGAATGTATATAAAGTATCGAAAATATTATATAAATTTTGCATAAATAGCAAATCCGTATGGACATAGTCATTGTTATGATGGTACTGGTATTGATGTCTGTAAGAAAAATAATAGATCTTTCAGTACTCATATGTACGAAAGCCCAGAAGGCTCATTCGAGATTCAAGTTTCGAAATACGAGATTCAAAATTCGAGATTCGAAATTCGAGTTTCGAGATTCAAGATCCAGATTAACCAATCAAAAGGCTCATTCGAGATTCGAGGTTCGAAATTCGAGATTCGAAATTCGAGTTTCGAGATTCAAAATCCAGATTAACCAATCAAATGCGGGTTCAACACTGATTACTCCCCTTTATTATGTTTAATCTATCAATAAATCGTTTAATATATTTATAACAAATGAGTCATTTGAATAAATTACAATGCAAGAAAGAGTGTTATATATATTAGAAGGAAAGCTAAATAATCATTTGATTTTTGATCAGCAAGATATACTTCAATTTATATTATGACTTCTTAAATATTAAATAGAATACATATATCAGGAATATATATATTTTTTTATTGTCTACTGTATATAAAGGGTTGCTGACATAATAATACAGTTATAAATAGTGTCTAAAGATTAACAAAATTCCCACCCCTACCGGCAACACCTGCCAATTTTTCCCGACACTGAAAATGTTACTTTAAAAATTTGAAAGGCAAGGTAGCCTTGATAAATAAAAACCGCGCTCGTTTTCCTAATAGAGGGAATACATTAAAATAAAGTTTTCAATTACTTATCTTCATCTAAGGCTTTGATTTCTTGAACTAGTTAACAATTATATATACAATACAGATTGCAAATATGAATCAGAATAAATGCAGCATTCATTTTATCTGATATCAAACAGTAGATTAGTCTAAATTAGCTGCAGAACTATAGCGTTATGGTTTTATATTTTAGTCTCTGACCATAGCGTTATGGTCAAAGACTAAAATATACTCGGTTTTTATTTATCAAGGCTACAAGGATTTTGTTAATCTTTAGTCACTATTTATAACTTTATTATTATGTCAACAATCCTTTATATATAGTAGACAATGCAAAAATATATATATTCCTGATTATGTATTCTTTTTAATATTTAAGAAGTCATAATATAAATTGAAGTATATCTTGCTGACCAAAAATCAAATGATTATTTAACTTTCTTTCTAATATATATAACACTCTTTCTTGCATTGTAATTTATTCAAATGACTCATTTGTTATAAATATATTAAAAGATTTATTGATAGATTAAACATAATAAAGGGGAGTAATCAGTGTTGAACCCGCATTTGATTGGTTAATCTGGATTTTGAATCTCGAAACTCGAATTTCGAATCTCGAATTTCGAACCTCGAATCTCGAATGAGCCTTTTGATTGGTTAATCTGGAACTTGAATCTCGAAACTCGAATTTCGAATCTCGAATTTTGAATCTCGTATTTCGAAACTTGAATCTCGAATGTACGAAAGCCCAGAAGGCTCATTCGAGATTCGAGTTTTAAAGTACGGGATTCGAAATTCGAGTTTCGAGATTCAAGATCCAAACTAACCAATCAGAAGCGAGTTTCAAAGTACGAGATTCGAAATTCGAGATTCGAAATTCGAAATTCAAGATCCAAACTAGCCAATCAAAAGTGGGTTCAACATTTGATTACTCCCCTTTATTATGTTTTTACTATGAAGAAATCGTTTAAAATAATTATAACAAATGGGTCATTTAATTATATTACAATGCAAGAAAGTGTGTAATATATTTTAGAAATAAATTTTAATAATTTTTGGATTTTTGATCAGAAAGATATACTTCAATCTATATTATAGCTTCTTAAATATTAAAAAGATTACTTATATCATGAGTATATATATATATTTGTATTGTCTTCTAAACTTAATTTTTATGTATTTCCCCGCATAAGAAAACCAAATGTACTTGTGGACAGGGCACCCCCCCCCCCCCTCGATATTCAACCCTAGGGCTTATTGGACTTTTTTTCACAACATATATCTAATACACTTATTCATCGTGTGTTCAATGCCAAAAAAAAAAAATCGTAAAAACCCAGAATAATCGCTCAACACAAAAAATACCCCGCTATAAAT